GGATACGTGGTCGCCAACGTACAAACAAGAGGCTCCACAAGGCGTGCAAAACGACCACGTATCCGGAATCAGAATTCTGCATTCGCTTGAGAATTCTGATTCTCGATTCCAGTGCCTGGGATTGGCAGAAAAAGCTGAATCAGAGCGCGACTGGCCAATCAGCAGCTCACAAATTGTGATATGGCGGTTTCGTTTTGCGAACTTCCCATCCAAGCAACGTGGCATTTGACAATTTCCCAGCAATCGATCACAACCATGACCACCGTCTTCGAACGCCTCTCCACGCCGCGCCACCACATCGTGGCCGAGCGCGCTGCTGCCAAGGCGGCACGGGAGCTCGCGGGTTGTACCTTCCGCCCGCGCGTCAACAAGCGTCCAACGGCGCAGGCCTCGGAGCCTGTCTTCGACCGATTGATCAAGTCTCGGCATGACATCGTGGCCCAGCGGGCGGCTCTCAAGATGGCGCGAGAGCTCGAGGGTTGCACCTTCCGCCCCAAGGTCAACCCATCGCCCCCGGTCAAGCCACCGACACTTGCCGCCGCGTCCAAGGCGACCACATATCCTCGGCCTGGCTGGCTGGCACGCACCGTCGACCGAATCTTGCTCGAGGCGCGTCTGAAGCAACACATTGAGTAAAGACCACTCGAGCCTTTACAACTATTCTATATGAGGCCGATGATCGGCCACTTCGTCCTCGGAGGGTTAACAAAAATCAAGCGCTTGAAGTGGATTTCCGTGTGTCATTATGGACTGCATCCTTGCATTCGCTACTAGTATGGCGTGTGATCTATTATATTAGCTGGTGAAGTTGGTGCTGTCAAATGCGGCACCGAAACTCGTGCTAACATGTCGGTAGCGTTACAATTCTTCAGCCTTCAAGACACCTCGGGACATGTTGATTCGGGATGCGCTGTACTACGGTAGGAGATCGTGGTGTGAGATGACTCCCCATGTGGTCGGTCCCTCGATCCATGCACGAGCAAAGTAGAATGCACGGTGACCCATTCCATGTTTGAACAGCACCAAGGATATATATCCGTGGTCTTGCAGACACGACCACATCCAGACAGCACGAGCCAACAGAGGACAAAACGACCCTGAGCAATCGATGTGCTCAACGACACTGCTCCATGAGCCACTCTCAGTGCAGAGTTGCACCTCCATACGATCGACTTCCGACGCTGGTTGTTGCATTTCGGAGAGAAGCTCACACTCACTTTCTCAGCACCATGGTGCTGTACGACCCGCAGTACCACCAGAAGCGCGCTGCCGCTCTCGCACAGAGGAAACGGGATGAAGAAGATGCACTCATGCGCAAGCCCACTCGGCGGATGCCTCCTACCGCCTATGACGCACGCCGTGTAGCGCCCCGACAAGCGCTGCAGTCGCCGCCGGCTCAAACGACAACAACCAACTGTGTAAAGGCAGGGCGCACGATGCTACCCGCGAAAGTACCGGCGTGCACCGACAAGAAGCGAAACGCGGCACGGCGACCTAGAACGAAGAGCGCCAGGCATACTGTGCAGGCTTGCGATCTTCCAGCTAGCTCGGATGACGACGACGACGGTCTGGCGCTGAAGAAGGTGCAATCTCTCACAGCGCAGATTTCCGCACTCGAAGCCAGCCTCACAGCGTCGCGTGACGCGGCCGCTGCTGCCGCGTTGGCCCACCAGCACCAGCTCAAGACGATGCATGCGGCGCAGCAAGACCACATTATGGCCCTAGAGACGAGCGTTTCGGCGACGCGCGCCGCCGCCGAGACAGCGCGCCAGCAGGAGCTTGGGAATTTGCATTCGACGCGCCGCCAGCTGGTGCACTCTGCAAAGAGTACGGCGCCACCCGAGAGCGCGATTGCTGCACTTGGTCGCGCGCGATGCTGCAAGCACGACACTGAGATCCGGCAGCTGCGCGACGAGCTCCGAGTGGCGTGCGAGCTGTCGGCAATGACCCTTGAAGATGTGTCCGCGCAGACCGGACGGCAACTTGGGGCGCCCGCAGCGATGTACGATAATGCTACTGCGTGCCACGAGACGAAAGCGCTTCGGGCAGTGTTTCAAGCGGTCCTGGTCGCCAGAGACGCTGCGGCCAAGGCATCGCATGAACGCAAGCGACGCACGCTGGAGACGCTGCATGCGCGAGCGGTGGCAGATCTCGAGGCCGATCTTGCACAAGTGCACCAAGCGTCCGCCAACGTCGTCCGCCGTCTTTGCCTCGAGCATGACCAAGTGGTGCGCGATATGCAGACTGCGATGGAGCTCGAGACCATGGCGCTCCAGAGTCAGATCAAAGCGACCGAGCCCGTCGTGGCACAGCTGCTCCAGGCACAAGACGAAAGCAAGCGCTGGCGGCTTGCGCTCCACCGAACAGTCATGACCGAAGCTGCGACGGTCGCCTCGATGTGGATCCTCGTCCGTGACTTCCGTGGCGAGATGGAGCGTCGTCTCCATGCTATAGAGAAAGCATCGGCGCAGCGCGAAGCCGACATGGTCGTACAGCATGCTCTCCAAGTCCAGCGGCTGCAAGACGAGCTCGATCGCGCCGACGCTGCGCACGCCGCCGATCTCGCTTTGCACGCAGAGGCTGTCGAGGCCATGGACGACCTCTACATGTCGACTGTTGCAGGCCACGAAACAAGGACAGATTACCTTGAGTGGCAACTTCAAGCCGTCGCTTCGAGTTCTTCTTACAGGACATGAATCTGTTCCCTAGCTATCAACTTCACTCTATTTTATTCCCTTCCCGTGACGACATGGTGTCTTCAACTACGGGATGCTGCAGTCAACAAAGCCACACAAGCACAACTAACTATAAGCTTCGCTAATACGTCAAATCAATCGGCGTCGCAATGCGCCAGGACTCGCGGTCAGGGTTAGGGTAAGGTTGGGTGTATCCAAAAACGACGATGCTTTGATACCGACGAGTGTTCACCCACGCAGAGTCGTTGTCGTCGTGCAGGGACGTATGTAATAGTACTTGCTATGTCGCCTTCCGCTGTCATCAACTAGCCTGTTGCCCTCGATACAGTGTACATCATTGCGATACCACCACGCTGACGAAAAGCCAAGGGCAAAATCTCGTAGAACTTTTGTTTTGGATGGACTCGTCGCGTCGTCATCAACAACATTTGGTGTCGACTTAGACGACGACAGTGCGGTAGCGCTTGGCGTAGACGACGATCGAACCTGCAGCCAAGAGGACCGAAATCAAGAGTACATAGAGGCGCAACGTCAAGCTACGTGGCGGCCATGAGAAAACGCGGTGGTTGACATGAAAATTGTACTGTACCTGAGGTACTTGAGCAGAAAGAACACCAAGCTCGCCGACGCCGAGTGGTACACTTGAAAGAGCGAGAAGGCCGTCATCGCATCGTCCGAAAACTCTTGCCCGAGCACGACTACACATGTGCGATCAGTCCATGCGTATCAATATATCCTTTGGAGGCAACCGTTGGCCAGGGTGCAGGACGCTAAAACGATTGAAATGAGTTGCCATGAGAGAGAACGAGTCCAGTACCTGCATCGCCGAGGCTGAGCAAAACCGCCGACGATAGAATGAGCGCCCACTGGCCGTCGCACTTTACAATCGGCACCCAGAGGCAAAGAGCATACACAATGGCTTGGGCGGTGCAGCCAAGTACTTGGGCCCACATGGTACCGACCCTACAACCCGTCATTGCATTGAGAACCATACGAGGAACGAGGACAACTTGTCTGCGAGGCGGCCAATGCCAATTGAAAAGAGAACGTTGGTCGCGCCAAAGACGGCCATGACGTAGCCGATCGACGCTTCGCCGAGTGACTCGCGAATAAAGTTGGTTGTGAATTCGGACGACGTAAAGCCTTGCTGGATGCCGTTGAATAGCATAAGCGGCGCAAGCACGAGCATGCGCCTAAACCAACGTTAGCAGATTGATTGGACGTATGAAGATGACACGCACGGGTCTTTGGCCAAAGCAAGAACAGCTCGGATCGAAAGCGACGATGACGTTGGCGATGCCACCGGCAGCAGCTTGGAAGTCTCATGGGGCAAAGCCATGGGCTATGATACTTTGCCTCATCACAAGATCCTTGCAACGACTCGGTACCTTGTGCAGCGGCTCGAGAAAGCACAGGAGCAATGTGCCGAGGAAGGAAAGGGTCGCGTACACCGTGAAGAGCGACGCCGTGGACCTGGATTGTCCAGGTTAGTGGCGTACATGCAGTTGAAGCTATGTATCGATCGACGCACCATTGCAGCGACCCGAGCACGTACGACGACAAGACGTTGCCAGTGAGCTGGCTCACCTTGAAGATGGCGAAGAACGTGCCTACATCCAAAGATGAAGTCGCTACACATGTAGAATCAACAACCAAGGACACACCGTTCATAAAGCCCATGGAGCTAGTTTCCGGCAGGTGCTTGAACTGGGCGTAGTAGACACTGAGGCGCGTCAGGTAACTCCCCTACCCATAGTATGTACATGTATCCAATATACACAACACATGAGAATATTGTCCTACATTGCAGACCCAGAGCACCGAGGCCGCAAAACCAATGAGCGCCGAAGCGGGGATGAGAATCCACCAGTGCAGCGTCGTCGCCGTCGGGTTGAGCGCCACGACAATGTTGGCGACCGCAAAGAGCCCGCTACGACGAGTGATCTGCTGTCGCCTCCGTCGAAATCAGTTGGACAAACGTACTAGCACGCGGAGCTGCCAACCAAGCTGAGCTTCTCGCCAATCAGGTCTACGCAACAAATCGCTGAGCCATCGGCCCGCATTCCTTCGATGCAGTACTCGGGATGACCGGGCCAAAGAACGACGCGGCCATAAAGACGAGGTAAATGACGCCCAAAGTCGTGCTGCCTAGCGTCGCTAGCACAAGACCAAGCTGTCACTGCAGCCACTCATGAGAGAGCTGGCGTACATTTGCATTCCTCCAACGGCGCCGCGCACGCCACGTCGCAAGAGAACGGAACCTTGGCCGCGCACACGTCGCCGAGCTGGCACATGGCGTTGGGCACCGATACAGCGCAGCCGTCGCATGCGCCTACGCCACAGTGAGCAGTTTGCGGATGGACGGAACGCGACCAGGAATGATCGAGGTCTCGAGGTTCTACGACAGGCCATCATGAGATGCTGGCGATAACAGCCAGTACCTCGATCGCATTGTACGAGGTGAAGACGAGGAGGAACGAGAACGAGAGCACGAGGAGCCCGCGAAGGCAGTCGCGGACGCTGCGCATGCTCGAGTGTCGGCGGAAAGGGCAACTGAGGCCGGTGATAGGCTTGCTGTTGCGGTTTTTGAAGTCCGATTCACGTCAAAAAAGGTTTTTTAAGACATAAAAAGGTACAAGATATGCTGCAATGCCAGAAAAGGGTTGATAGGGCGCGCGATGCGTGTGCCGGCCTGCAGCATCGTACTACCCTCCTCTGGTACCGTGCTACAACCCACTTGAATGGACCGCAACCGAACGAATTGTGGCGAATGCTCCGATGGACGCGTCGACGCTGTCAAGGCAAAGTGACAACGGCATCCTGCACGCTCGATTTGACCGATTGTGAAAATGGAATTGCGTGTCCTAATGACAATATTGGTAGTCGTCTGTAGAGATACTATTCTATTATGCGGCATAGCAGCCTTTGCCGCCGGCGACGACCATGCACATGGTCGACTCGAACATGGAGAGGAGACTCGCAACGATCGAGTAGAGCAGTACGATGCAGCAGAACCCGAGCACGGCACCACCGACGTGCGGGTACTTGCCGCTCGTGACTTGAAGTTCGTGGAGTTCGGACTTTTGGCTCGGTAGCAGCACGACGCAGAAGCACGCGAGGATCGTGGTGGCGTAGTAAATGATATACGTGGCGGCGACTTGGCGGCGCGTGTCGGGTGTATCGGCCGCAATGGCTTCGGCGCTCACGTCAAACGAGCCAAAGACGACATTGGCCACGACCGGGCCGAAGGCCGCTGGGAGGTTCGAGACGGTCGTCAGGAGGCCGTACACGACGCCTTCGTTGCCGACTTCGGCGAGTTCGACAATGACAAACGTGGTGACAATAAACTGCATCGCGTACGGCAGATTCTCGGCGAGGGGAACACCAATGTAAAACCACTGGTTGCGCACGACGTCGTAGATCGTGCAGAACTGGACGACGGCGTCGATCGCGTTGGCGCTCAGCGTTGTCGCCACGAGCACGAGTTTCCAGTTCCAGAGCGTGCCGTACTTGCCCATAAAACCGAGGACGCCGGCAAAGATGATGTTGCCAAGAATCCCGGTCAGCTGGTTGTTGACGTTCTCGACCTTGGCCCATTCGTACATGACGTACGGCGCGGCGGTCGACGTCACCCCGGCGTTGAGGAGGTTGAAGAGAAAGCTGAAGAGCATGATTTGCCACGTCGCGCGTTTTTGGACCAAATCCCAAAATTGCAGCACGTACGCATGGAAATGGACGCGCGGCGCCGGCGTCTCAAGCACAAAGAGGTACGTGATCGGGAGCATCGCAGCCGACGCCATCGCGAGCAGAATGAACATGGTGTTGACGCCCATGTCCCACGAGTACGACCCTGCGAAGCGCGGCGAATTGAGGCAAAACCCAATGAGCGCCGTCGAAATGCACGACGAGATGGTGCGCGTGAGGTAGATGAGAGACTGCATGCGACCGCGGATCGCTTCCGGCTCCCGCTGCGCGAGCTCCACGACAAGCGCGTCGGCCGGTACGTCCGAGATAACGTACGAGAGAGTGCCCCACGCACAGAGGATGACGACGATGCCGCCTGTGGCGGCCGCTTCTGGATTGACGTTGGTCCTATTGATATGGCCGCGGGCCGACGACGCGTCGCGAAAGTACGGGTCTCCCATGTCCATGGTGGCAAGGACGAGCATCGAGACAAGGCAGGACATCCATCCGAGGAGCATATACGACTTGCGCCGGTAGCCCAAGATCGGGACGCAGTCCGAGAGGATTCCGACAAAGGCCTTGAGCGACCAGCCGAGACCGATGAGCACTTTGGCCGAGTTGAACTGGTTGCCCGTGAGGTGGAAGTAGCCAACGAAGAGCGGGTAGAGCAAGTTGGGCATCGCGCCATAGAGCAGCCCGACAGCAACGTACTGCGCGAGGAGCCCGACGACCTCGGCACTCTTGTAGTCGGGGGTGGGCCCGCCCGCAGCGCGCCATTCTCTAGTCCGAGGGGTGTGTCCATGACGCCGTACGCATCTTGCTTGGATGTCGGCGACGAGACGTACGACAAGCGCTCTTCGGCGGGGTGCTGCATCGAGCCGGACCAAAATGATGCGCTCGCAGAGGAATCCCAGCGCCGCGCTGCGACATGTGCCAGGCGACACCATTCGTATCCGGACGCCGCGCGCCACACGAGACGTTTGTATAAACGCATCCGGACTTGAGACAGTCCCAAGTGCAATCTGCAGCGACGTGACAGTATCATCTTGCGAGAATCTTGGACGTGCGCGGAAGGATTGCTCGGGTGTTTCTTTGGCCAGTTTGCTCCACTGCGTTTGCTATGCTTGGTCCAGTGTGTACTTGCACCTTGCGCTTCTCGCTCTTTTACGCGTCAAGGTGTGACCGAATCGCATCTTATTTTGGTGCCAATGCAAAAAGCTCTCTCCTCCGGTGACATGACTCGTCCTCAGAGACGTAAGACAACCTGTCGAAATCTTTTGCTGCCTTCAATAGTACTTCGCTAACAAAAAGAGAGCTTTCCGATCCGATTTTACCCACAGTTTGTTTTCACGGAATGCTATCGCAACATTGCAAATTCGCCTCACCAAGGGCGTGGGACTCAACCGTGGGGCACCTCACGATTTATGATTGCAAGCGGTGGAGAACGACTGGGTCCTTGCTGCCTTGCGCTTGTGCTGCCATGATAGAGCACCTCCGGATTCGCCTCCGGAGGCACTGCAGGCATCAACGTCGTCTTGTCGAGCGTCGCGGCGTAAACTAAAACCATTCGTTCCGCCCTCTTGTGCAGAAACGACAAACTTGACATGATCTTCTGGACAACGCGGAATGACCAGCGTCCGACGTGGGATCGATGGAGATGATAATACGAACGCTCACCAGTCGCGTGGAAAGTCTGACGGCGTGACACACAAAACCGCAGCATTGTAAATTTAGCTCGCGCCGTCGTCGCCGCATGCACCCGCTCTCCAAGCACCAATGGCTCGTGAACGAAGCTGCAATCGCTGCGATCACGCACGGCGACGCTCCTGGCCCTGGGAACGTACGTTCTGCTCTCGCTACATGTTCTCAAACACGGCGCAGAAATCGTCGATGGAGATCGCCGAGCTCGAGCAAGTGTACAAGGTGTTTTTGTTTTACGACTCGTCCTTCCATGGCGACCAGTACGTCTTGCATTCTTACAAATTAGGTTGTGGTCACGTAAATTTTGGGTAGACTTCCGTCCATCAACCTCGCGCGGTTCCTTGAAGTCATGCGCGATGCCCACGTTTTGTCCGTCAACTTTACCGAGCTACATGTATTGGATGCGGTGCATCCTACAACTCAAGCAATCGATGCAGGCGGAAGAAATCTTTGCCACCGCGATGCTCGGAAAGCTCCGCACGTACCTCGATGCAGGTGTGACCCACATCGTTGAGTGCGGCGGTTCGTGACGCATACTACGGTAGACGGTGCGCCCGCGCTCTCCTTCAAGCTCTTTTGCGGTGCACTCATGCAAGCTGCCATCGTCAAGGTGGCCTTGACTTCGCTGAACATTCTTGCCGTACTCTCGCGCTGATTTTGTGGTTTAGTTTCCAGGCATTTCGCCGAATCTGGCCCTACGCAAGCTCGTGCGCCGTCACTTGTTCTCAGTCTTTAACGACGCTCTTGTCGAGCCGGATGGATTCAGACTCAGCCGGCGCCAAAGCATCGCGATGTCGCTCACAGACACACACTGGCGGCCATCGGAAGCACGTGGCGAAGCCAAGCTCGTACACAGCCGCCGGTACGCACTGGGAGTGTCTTGTCGCCTGCGGTCACCTTGTCGACTAGCATTTCCCAGGTGGTGTACGATAAAGTGGTGAATCGAATCGATCCGTCGCCGGCCGCCGTCGTGACGGAAGCAGGTGCTAGCAGCGCACGGCGACGTCCATCTCATGTGGTAGTGGGCTGTAGACATCCCCATGGACCTTCGCGAACATTTTTCCGACGCCAACTTCCGTGTCATCGTCGACCGCTTTCATTTGTTTGACCACAAGGAGGCGGGTATCCTCGACCACGAAGATGTCTTTGTTTACTTGCACGGTCTCACCGAGACGTTCCCCATACGTGACGTGCAGCACGCAGCCGAGCGCCTCACCGCGTTTCCATCCAAGCGCGTCACGCTGCCGTCTGTCTTTAAAGTCCTCTCGACCCACGTCGAGCGCGACCTCGGCGCACCACCGCTGCCGTGCGACGACGACAACAAGACTGGAACCGAGGTGCCGTCCGCGTCATCGACGCTTCCTGGATCGTCAAGCACCGAGGTGGTGACACCTCGCACGCCGCAGAACACTCTGCTCGGCATTTCAGTCGACACGCACGACGACCACTGGGACGCCCGCGCCGAGGTAGGTTGAATGGAGAGGTGAGGAAGCGAATGGATGTCGGTAGATCGTCCCAAGTGAGAATAATTGCCGACGAACAAGCATTGCCGGCCTCTTGCAACCGCGCTTTGACGCCAAAACCGTCGACAGGATCATCCAGCGCATCACCATCACCAACGCCAATGAAAAAAAGAAGACCAAAAAGCGATTGGAGCCGCAGCTGCCGCGGATCGTGCTCTTGATCGACGAAGCCGTTTCCGGCGTCACCAAGTTTTGGGAAGGCCGTCTCCGTGGTTGCCGCGTCCTGGAGAGCGCGGGGATTATCCAAGGGTGATATCGCTTCATGGTCTTTATGGTTTTTTGGAACGCAATGTAGAGGGGAACGGCGCATGATGACCGAGGCGAACACGCGCATGAATTCCGAAGAGTCGGCGCTAGTGCTCTTGCACCACCGTGTTCGGGCACGACTCAAAGGCGGCTACAGAGTCATTGAAGGCAAGCGGTTTTTGCCCGACGATGTTCACACGCCCAAGCCCCTTGTCGTCGTCGAACATAAGAAAGCGTCGCTGGAAAAGGGCAGCACGGTCGTTCGCTCCATGCCCAACCTGCCACTGTACCCGGCGACGCACCATCGAGCGCTGTACCAAAAACCTCCCTACGCATTGCCCGACAAGTGGACACCGCCGCCTTCTCAGCTCTCATCCCCTGTATGCGTATATGACGTTCATCTTTTATGTATCTCTCTTCTAGGACACATCGTGGATCCACGAGAGCTTTTCGTCGCCTATCGCTTCCGAGGTGGCTCGGTGCGACTGCAACCTTGCGACTGATTCCAGGTTGTTGTAGCCCACGAGTGGTCGACCGCCAAGCAATCAGCGTGTGCAGGGCCACACGTACCTTCGGCGCCTTGGATCCCCGAAACAACACCGCGTAAAACCTTTGGTCTCCCAGCATAGTCCGTCCTGAGACACTATGACATGTACAAAGTCATGTATTATTTTGTTTCTACTTACAACTAAATGTCGAGCTGCGTCAACATGGCGACACCCCGTCGGATCCAATGCTTTTGGTTGTGCTCTGGCGCCATCGGGATGCGCAGGAACATGACAAAGTTGGTCGAGTGCCCCGTCGTCGAGAGCGTGCCTTGGCGCAAACTCGTCTTGTAGACCGGACACATGTACACGTGGGCGGTGCCTTTCGGGTCGCTGTCCTTGACAGGCTCGATCGCGTCGCGGCGCTTGGGCAAGAGCAGGATGACGGGCATCGCAACGTGCAGCTCGCGGTGTCGCGACTCGGCGATCGCCATGATGCCGTTGTCCCAGCGCGCGCCTTCCATGAAGAGACCGTTGATATAGGCGCCATCTTCGGCTTTCGACGAAATGGCGTCCGAGGCTGCCAGCGTCAGCACTTGCATATCGTACCCCACCTACTCGGACGGTCGACGAAAGAAGAGCGTGCCATGGCCGTACCTGGTCGATGGGCTGCTGGTGCTTTCGCGCGTAATTTTGGAGGGTACCCGTAATAAACGCTTGTGTGAAGAAGAAACCCGAGACCCAGTAGATCGTCGGCGACTGCTTCGCATCAATCCACGCTTGGAGAAACGAAAGTCGAGCCAGGAAGTCGGTGACCCAGCTGCCAAGCGGCTTGAGCGACGGGTACGCGACGCTCGCCCACATACTGGGCACTTGGCCATTGACCATCGAGTTGCCCATGGCTTCGAGCTCGGCCGAGAGTACGACAAGACCTTTCAGCGCGCGCTGGATTTCCCTGAGACTCCGGGAGATGATCGCGATGAGCTTGTTGAAGCGAATGAGCTCTTGCGTCAAGACCGTGTTCATGCTCTCTTCGTAGCACACGGGGAAGTCGAGATCGGCCTTTTCGATATCAAAGATGGGTGGAATGCGACTGCCAATGTCGGCTGCGACTTCGGCGAGCGACTGATCCCAGGACTTGCCGCCGCCACCGCTGCTTCGCGGCTGCAGGGACAACGCCGACTCCAACAGCAGATTGGTCTCGGCGATCGCACACGAAATGTTGGCATTGTCGTGCAGGCCAAAGATCTCGGGGCCTTCGTTCATCGGGAGCTGGTCAATGTAGTCCAGATACGTTTGCAGCGGGCCATTTCTCGGTGCAAAGTAGAGCCCGGACGGGCTAAACTTGTACGTGTCGTCCTGGATCAGCGGCGTGTAAAAGTCCGAGAGCGTATTGACAATGCAGCGTCGATCCTTGTCGTCCGTGACGCGACCGCCATAGTTGCACTCGCCGGCGAGGTACCCAAGCGCCGCGTACGGAATCGCGTCGCTTCCATTGAGGTCGTCGAGGCAAATTTTAAGCTGGTCCTTGGAAATGTTGAGGTCCGATCCTGAAAAGACATACTTGATGTTCCAGCCGAGCGGCCCAAATTTGGTGCGCTCGCGCACAGTCGCGTGGAAGAAGCACAAGCCAAAGAGCAGCTTCTTGAATTCTGCGGGCCGCGAACACGAGCTGAGCCAATCGTCCGTGAACGTGAGGTAGCTCCCCTTCAAGTTGGCACGCATGCCCTTGGGTGGTTCGTTTGTCATTTTGACGCCGTTTTGCAAAATAAAGGGCGGGAACTGCCGCGACGGCTCGGACGTGAGCCATAAACGGAACGACGCGTGGACGCGGTCCGGCGTAATCTCTTCACAGAGCCGCTCGAGCGTCGGGAGCCAGCTCACGCTGAGATGGCAGTTTTGGAGGCAGACCCAGTTGCCATTGTCGATCGCTTCCGCGATCGCATTTTCCGCAAGGGGTCCCTGACCCTGCCCAAGTGAAATGGCCACAAACTTTTTCGTAAAGCCCATCTCGGCTGCGAGCTTGAGAAGCTCCGACATCGGATCCGCACCGGGCGTAAGCACAAAGATGAGTGGCGTCGCGCACGTCGAGTCGTCGTAACCGGCTTTCAAGTCGAACGGCTGCGGCTCGATGAACCGCTGGCCCATTTGTGCGGCGACAAACAGCATCACGCTTGGCACGACCTTGTCGGGTCGGAAGCAGCGCAGCACGACAAGGCGCTGGAACGAGTCGTACGAGGCCATGGACGGGATCTGCACCATGTCGACTGCCGGGTCCTGCGAGTTGTAGCACGCGGCCCAGAGAGCCAGCTCGGACACAAAGGTGTCGCCAAAGTTGGGGAACGCCGGCAGGTTCTCAAGCCCGACGACGTCGGCCCACGTCTTCATGCTCATCCAGTGGGGGCACGGATTCGGCTTGCTCGAGTCCATTGCCGTGTTGCCCGTGAAAAGTACCGGAGGTCGCCAGGCATTATCGTCTTGTTGCCCGTGAGGATCTTGACGGTGAGCAGGAAGGCGAAAAGAAGCTTGTCTTTCTCAAAGAGCGACCGGCACACGTTAACGTACAAGGTGTACGTGAACTGCTCGTTGAGGTTCACGAGCCGCTTGGCCAAGTCGGCGCTCTTCTCGGCGCGCGCAATCGAGTAGACGAAGAGCTGGATGAACCACTCGAGCGCATACTGGTACATCGGGTCGATCACCGAGAGATCGGCAATGCAAAAAAGAGCTGAGAGGCGCGAAACGCCACGGGTGTGTACCCCGCGCGCTTTTCGGCAATGATGAGCTGGGTCGCGGCGGCCTCCTGGACCTTGATTTCGATCGTATTCGCCGTGATCTTGGAGGCCCCGAGGGTCTCAATGAGGCGTTCGTCGTTCAAGATGTTGCCTTCGGCCGTTTGGAGCATGTGGAGAATCTTGTCTTCGATTTCTTTGAGCGTCTTCTTGTTGGCCGCGTCCTCGAGCACAAGCTTTTCTCGCTGCGCTTCGAGCACCGGCTCTTCTTTGGCGACGACGATACCCAGCATTTGGTCTTGGAGTCCTTCCTCGGTCGCCATAAAATTGAGCAAGTTGACCTTGACGCACGTTTCCGGCGCATAATGCGGGTTCCGGAGCTTGGTCGTCATGTAGAGTCGAAAGTTGGGGTCGTACTCGACCGTGTTGTCCCCGAGTCGGATCGTGAGCACGCCACCGGCCTTGACGATCTGCTTGAGCAAGACGGGCTCGAGCATCGGGTCGATTTCTTCCGCGAGGTTCTCAATGAGCATCGGCGCGCCGACGACAATGGCGTTCTCGAGCGCGCGGACAAACCCCGCTTGCGTGAGCTTGACGACTTTGAGACTGCTTGATTTCTCTTCCATGTTTTTGACCCACCGATTGGCTTGGCCTTGCGGATCAATCATCTACACCGTGGGTCCTTCATATACTATCCGATGTGTCATTGCATGGACGTACGAGGGGCCAGCGGTTGCTGCGAAAGAGCATGATGGCATTGTCGATCGAGAACGAGTCGTTGGGCAGTTTGCAAATCGTCCACTCGCGAATTTTCACTGGGTCGCCAAGCGTCGTCGTCAAGCTGTACTTGTCCGAGCACGTAATACCCTTGATCTGGAGTTGCTCGCTCCAATGCACGACTGCATTCTCGCGGAACGCCGATGTGAACGCGCCGAGGTACGCGATGACGCCGCTACTGAGCATGATGTCGCCAATCACATTGTCGTACACGATCTGTAGCTTGGCGCTCATTTCTTGCCAGCGCGAACGCTCGCCGCCAAGACCACCAATGAGCTGGTTGGCGCGAATGAGCTTCTTGCTGCAGTCGTCGACCTGGAATTGCAAGTCCGCCTTCTTCTTCATCGCGCCCGCGAGATCGGCCTCGAGGCGAGCGACCTTGTCGAGCACGACCTGGAGCGCGTCTTGCTTGGCCTTGAGGTTCGTTTGCGCCGCTTCCAGCTGCAACGTCGCGGCTTTGAGGGCTTCACGCTTGGGCGCGACAACTTTGGAGACGCGGTTGTAGACAACCATCGCATGCACCCACGAGCATAGACCGGACGCGGCAACGGACGCCTTCTTGATGATCGGCGGCGAAAAGTCGGGGTTCTCTGCATACGGCCGGACCTTCTCAGCGATTTCAGCCGAGATGTTGTCCTTGTCGTAATCGAGGAGGTTCTGCAGAAAGCGCGTATCGTTCAACAGCGTCTTCTGAGCTGGTCCCCAGTAGTCGTCGACCTTTTTCGTACCGCCCGCGGGGTCCTTGATCTTGAGCGGAGCGACACTCATCATGATGCACACGGCTTCCATGACAAGCTTGACACCGTCCGGCGGCTTCTTCATGGCCTTGACTTCGGTGATGTCGCCTTTTGTCAACGTCTGGAGCGCCTTGACGGCCGACTCGAGCGCTGGAATCGCCTCGGCCAAGCCGGCTTCGCACTGCGTCTTGATCTCCATCGCAGCTGCGGCCTGTTCATTGCACTGGGCCTCTTCGGCAGCGACAACGGTCTTGGTCGCATTCGCATCTTTTGTTCGCGCGCGATCGTCTCGAGAAGCGCGTCCGTCTCGACGGTGGCGACCTTGAGCATTGGCTGCAGCGCTTCGAGCTCGACTTGCATTTTTCAACTTGATCGGCTGTCTCCATGAGTTTGGTCAAGCCATTGTCGTAGCGCTGCTTCATTTGGCTCACTTCCATGCGCTTGGTGTTGAGGAGCTTCTTGAACGTGTTGATGAGCTCGAGGTACGACGTCGGCGTCACGTAGTAGTGCCGGCGCAAGCTCTGGAGGAAGTCGCGCGACATCATCGAGACCCGCTCTTGCATGTCGACGCACACATCGACGAGACCAATCTTCATCTTGGACGGCATTTCGATGTCGACAAGGAAGTGGTCGGCGACACTCCGAAGCGCCTCTTCCGGCCACTCGGTGAACCAATCGATCGTGCAGCAATTGACAAGCGACGGGAACATGCGCAGCCGCCGACGGAATGCGTCGCCGATCGGACTCAGCGCGAGCACCACGTGCAGATTCGTGCGGCACCGACTCACAAAAAAGTTGTACACCTCGGCGGCGTTGCTCGTATTGAGGCCCGCGGCGTTTGCAGCGCTCTCAACCCCTTCGTTGATGGTCATGAGCTCGTCGTTGGCCCAGAGATTCGCGACTTCGCCCGTGTTGAGAATGCCGTTGATGTCCTCGAGGTATGACTCTTCGACGATCTGCGTATCCGAGAAGAGAAAGACTGTCGGCTGGTTGGAGACACCGCTGAGCTGCAGCACTTTTTTCAAATCGTTGCGCCAATCGTTGCGCGAGTACGACTTGGAGATTTCAATCTGGAAGAGCTTAAAGTCGGCCATGAACACCGCGAGCGTCGTGAGCGATTTGCGCCCGCTTCCGCCAACGCCGACGAGGAGCGAGTTGCCGTACGGCTGATGGATGACCCGCGAGATGCGCGCGACGTGCTCGATCGCGTTTTGGAAGAGGACGAGGCTCATGGGCGCCGACGTCATGTTGTTGAAGTCTTCAAGAAAGAGCGTCATGGATTTCTGGAGCGTGTCGCGGTCCCGGAGCTCGGCGTAGATCTTCTTGGTCGACTTGGCGTCGCCGAAATTCCCGTAAATGAGCACTTCGTTGGGCCCTCGGACGTCCTTGACGTAGTTGAGCGCAAAGTGCGTCTCGACGGTCTCGCCGAGGACGTTGAGGAACCACGACCGGTCGCTTTGGTCAATGAGACGGTCGTGGAAGACGCGGAGGCACTCGTGGCTCCAGAGTCGAACCACGTCTTTTGGGTCTTTGAGCACGTCCGGCGTGCCAAGAGAGATGCCTTGAAACACCTTGGAGAGATCACGGAGGTTGAAAGTGTAGTGCGACTTGGCCGGCGTCGGCAATAGCGTCGACGAAATGTTGTCGTATATATCAATCGTGGCCGCGACGACAGGCGTTGTCATGGCCTTGATGGACGCCGGGAAGTTCATGAGGAACCAGTCCGAGATTTTGGAAAAGATGAGCTTGAGGCTCGTCGAGTCGAACGACACAAAGTTGATCAAGTTGAAGTAGCGAATATAGCGCTGCGTGATCTTGGTGCGCCCGCCACCCGGTGGGCCCATGGCCGCAATGAACTGTACGTCGACGAGCTGCAAGAACGTATTGTCCTTGCGGTTGTACCACCCGCCGTGGCCCATCCACTGCCGCAGAAGCTCAATTGGCGGCTGCGCACCATACGTCTCCTTGGCCGGCATGTTGAGATCGTCGACAAAAATGACGCAGCTCATGCCGAGTGGGGGGCCCAAAACGCCCTTCCGGCGCTTATCAAGCTTGGACTCGATGATGTCTTGGGTCTGGTTGGCGCTGGTTTGGGCACTAAAGTTCATAAAGATGGACGAAAACGTCTCGTTCAGCCCCGTGAGCAGCTTCTTCTTGATCGAGACCGATTTGCCCGTGCCCGTGTCGCCCGTGGCGAGCACGTGGTGGTGGTGCGTCAGCAGAGTGTCGAGAATCCATGAGTTGCGCTCCGTATCGATCGTCGGCACCAGGATCGACGTGAACGGCATGTCGCGCGGGATCGCTGCCGTCGACGCCGACTCCATCCAGTTAACCCACGCCGCCTTCTTCCCGTCAAAGCGGTAGTCGTAGACAAGACCTTCCTCTGGAAACGCAGCGGTCGTGGCGCGCGCTGCAACCGCATACGAAGGGTTCTTGAGCCGAAAGTTGGCGTACGCTTCATTGTTGCTGCTGTCAATCGCACCCGACGTGAGCGCGCGCAGGTACGTGTCGAACGCAACCCGGGACTTGGCGTCGACGCAGGCACCGAGGGACCACACGAGTGCCTTCAGAAACATGCCTTCGAGAACGCTTCGAATGTCGGACGAGAGATTGGCAATCGGCACGTCGAGGATGCAGCCAAAGAGACGAATCAAGCTGGCGACAAGCTCGAGAAAGGTGACGGACGTGGGCACAATGCAGTTCTTGTCGACAAAGAATAGTAGCGGTGGCACGAGCCACTCAAAAAGATTGTGGATAAACGCCGACTGCGCCTTCAAGTCGCTCGGTAGCAAGTGTTCGAGCCTACACATACATCCACATAGTATGCTTTGCTCGCAGATCGATCCTTTGCGTACCAGGTTTTCAGCAGGGTCTCCCAGCCGAGGTTCTTTGGCTCTAAAAAGACCATGCCAACGCGACTCACGGTCGCAGGACTCGCTTCTTCAAGGTCCTCGGTCTCGAACATCATGGTCATGCGGTCCGTCATCTTGACGATCTCGCCGCTCATCAAGCACAGCTTCTTGTTGTCGTCGAGGACCGTGTTCATGTTTTCGATCCAGACGGCGTCGACGGGGCCGTCGAACATGACCCACTGCCGGTCGTCGGTCGTGTCGCGTGCGCAGTCGCGGTACGTTTTGGCCAAGACGCCGTCGCTCCACTCGTGCGTGTTTTCGTCAAAGTTGCCGTAGAGCTGACCGGACGTGATCGACTTGGGGTTCATCGTGTGCACGTGCACGAGCGACTGCGACTTGCCCTCGCTTTCGTTGTAGACGGCCGTGATCGCAGCTGCTAGCGTATGGACGATGCACGTTTTGCCACTCCCCGTGATGCCAACGACCATGAGTCCATGGCGCACGAGTACCTAGACCAGCAAAACTCGTTGGCATTTCTTGGAGTCTGAGAATGCATGGAAAGGGCGTACGGTCTCGTAGAGCTGAATGACTTTTTGACGAAACTCGGCCTTGGGTTGAAGCTTGGTGAGCGAGTCGGGCGCGATGCTAATGCCTTGTGTGCACATGAGGTTAATCATCGGGATGAGGCGGCCGTGATCTGGCGATGGGATCTCGGCGCCAGGAAACAAGTCGGACGTAATGCCTCGGAAGAGCGGCAGATCGTCGGTCGTGAATTTCGGCAAGTTGACATCCTGCACCGACCTAATTTTGGATCCATCGCGATGAACATCGATAAGAAGTCGCACCGCAGAACAATCTTGTCTTCAGTCCAGAACGGGTCATCGCCAAGTTGTTGACGAAGGTTACCGGCCGCGACAAGGATCGAATTGACGGCACGCATGCCGTAGTCGTAGTGCTTTTGCGAACTCAGCTGCTCCGAGCTGAGCTGCAGCACTTGCGTGAGCTTGCGTGCATTGGCCCGGGCGTTTGCAAACCCAAACGAGTAGAGACGGATCTCCGAGATGAGCGCATAGTCGGGCACCATCATGGCACACGGACGAAAGAGTGCCTTGAGGTTATCCGGTAGCTCAGCACGCCCAGCATAGCCTACGTCCATCAGGTTTCATGTCGTTGCCATGAAAAAGGATGAGGGTGTACCGGGGTTCATGGTAATGAAGACGTTGGCGCTCGCATTGAGCTTGATGTACGTCCCCTCAAACATAAACTTGTCCACGTTGGCCTTCTTGCCTTCGTTGATGGTCAAAATCTGCTGCGCAATGACACTGAGCACTTCAATGTTGATGCGGTTGAATTCGTCAAAGCAGCACCACGAGCCGCAGCCCGCAAGGCCCTTGAAGAACTTGGCCATCGCGAGGTAGTCGAGTCCGTCGGAGCAGTTGAAGACGACGCACTGAATCGCAATGGCTTTCGAGAGATCCTTGACGGTCTCGGTCTTGCCCGTACCGGCGGGTCCCTCGGGCGCGCCACCTACATTAACAGGTTAGCAAGGTGCTACGCCTCCGGAAGGTACCATAAAGCAAGTCGATGGCACCCATCATCGTGCGGTAGCAGCGATCTGTGAGCGGCGTAATCACAAGACGCATCGTGTTGCCGAGGTACTCGTAGCCGTACTTGACGCGCGCGTTTACAATGCGCGCTTGGAGGTCAAACTGCTTGGCAACCTTGGCGCCTTCAATCCAATAGTAGCGCAGCTGCGAAATCCACTCAAAGTCCTGGTCGTTCTCAACGCCCTTTGCAATCATGTGTGCGATCGTGTCTACAGACCATGAAAACTCCAAAATAAAAACAAGAAAGTGTACCTCGGGCGTGGACGTCAATGACAACGAGCGCACCGATCGTTGTGCGCTCCAGCTTGGTCAAGTTGCCCCGCACGAGCATGACGACCTTGTCGAGCTGCGTATTGAGCACTTGCACGTACTCTTTGAGGCCTTCATTGCCCTTGGACGTAATGGCGTCGTTGACTTCGGTTGTCCAGTAGACTTGTGACGCGCCGAGCACGACTTGAGCAGGCCACTGCAAGATCCACTGCTCGCGGATGACCTATGCCAACGTGCAGCATCTGACGACATATGGCCACCCACGCACCTGGGGGTAGGTGCCGATCGCGCGTGCCGTGTGGTCTCGGATCGTGTCCCACTGGTTGATTTCAAGCTCGAGCAGCCACATTTCGACGTTGCCCTTGTTCTTGGCGCTTTCGGGGTTGACGGTCGTTTTTAGCGTCACGACCTCGCCTTGGCTCGAGATCATCTCGGTAATCAAAAGGACGTTCGTGAACGTGACCTTGTTGATGCCTTCAAAGCACTTGCCAAGATGCGGCTGCACGGCCTTTGGCTCCTTGGTCTGGCTGAGGATCTCAAGGAGCTCGTCGTTCGAGAGAAAGAAGAAGCGAGGAAAGTACAGACGCTTCATCTCGAGGTAGTCGTTCAGACCTTTCTGGATCTCGTCGAGCTTTTCGTTGGCCTTTTGAAACTTTTGGAGCAATTTGTCCATGTTGATGACGTTCATAAAGTTGGGGTCCGCGACCGTGTCTTCCATGGTTTTGCGCCAGAGCGCGTCGACGGACGCGAACCGACGCGCCTCGGTGGGCATTTGGCGCATGATATCCTCCGAGCTGAAGATCGCCTCCAGGTACAGCCACGTGCGCTGGCAGCTCATCCACTCGTCAATGAGTTGCTGCGAGTATTGGAGCTTCTTTTCCCACGCCTTGCACTCCTTTTCAATGTTCTTGACGTACGGAGACCCGCGCATCGTCTGCGTCTTGACAATGTGGTCGTCGAGGAGCGCAATGATGTCGTCGACGCTCTTGATGAGGTAAGTGCCCGTCTCGCGGTACGGCAGGCACTCGAACTCAATCGGCTCCCACTCGCTGATCATCGCACTGAGGTTCTTCTCGAGCGTATACTCCTTCTCGGCGACCATGCTCACCTCTTGGATCGTATCGATATGTTGCGTGATGCCCTTCTCGAGCAGCTGGGCCAGTGTGAGCTCTTCGTCTGTCTCTTCGAGCCCAATCTTGTTGCGGAGCAGCTCCCAGTGGCGTTCTCGGAGCGCTGGCGACGCCAGTGACTGGATCACGGGCAAGTACGCTCGGAATTCGTCCGTGCGCTCGCGCAAAATGAGCGCGACCTCGGCCGACCCCGGTGCTTCCTCGGCGAGCTGCTTGCTGAGCTTGTAACTGGCCTTCCACCATTCGGTGACGTTGGCTTCGATCTCCCCGCCCTTGAGCTCGAGAAACGGACCGGTGAGCCACGCTTGCTTGTTGACGTTGAACTCGGCGCACATGGTCCAGAGCTTGTAGTATGGATTGAAGTCGGCTTCGAGCTTCGTGATCATCGCATACTCGGTGGGGCGAAACCCAAAGACGGCCTCGCGCTGGTTAAAGTTGTCGGCCTTGAGCTTCGCCTCACAGATCGCATCGTACAGCGTGGACGCCATCTCGACGTACTTGTCCTACACAGTAATCTTTCAAAAGGCCGTTGTGATGACAACGTAGGTTCGCACCGTCATGTCGATTTCGCCGTACGACCGAAAGAGACCAACATCTTTCTCGAAGCGCTCGAGGTCGACTTCGAATATCTCCTTTTCCATCGCAAGCTTGTCCATCATGCGGATCTTGTCTTCTTCGAGCGCCGAGTCGCACGTGTCGGCAGCGTGCGCGACGCGCTGTGGCCACTCCTTGGTGCTCCACGCCAGTCGAAAATCGTCGTCCGTGATGGTGTGCGAGAACTCGTGCAGCGCATGGAGCCGTTCGTGGATTTCTTCGACTTCCTTGACAATTCCTGCGATGGTGCCCTAGTCCATAATATATGTCAGAATGACTCTCTCGTCATTGCACAGAACAGCCGAGAACAACCTTGCTAACGTTGATAAAGTCCTTGAGGGCCGCAAGCTCGGCTTCGTTCGTGGGCTTCTCGGTAATGCGATTCAAGATTGATTGGTAGCGCCGCGTAATGTCAATGTTCTTCTCCCGCGCGTCAAGGACGATATAGTCGATGAGCGCATCCCGGATCGCTGTCCCGCGCTCCCGCAGCGTCGCTTTGAGCCCCATGGCGTTGACGCACACAAGAGGAAAACCAGTCACGTCAAAGCTGAGTGTCTCAACCTCGAGCACGAGCGCGTGGTACCGTCGGATCGCGTCGCACATGACGTCCAGCGAAATGGGCGACGGATGGTCGGCCTTGAATTGCTTCATGAACGCCGCTGCGTCGACACCAATGAGCTCGGCGTGCTTGCCGTACGCGTCCGCAACCCCCATAACCTGGTTCATCGACTCGTTCACGTACTTGAGCACATCTCGACGCGCACTGGCAATCTTGACGACCGTTTCTATATTCACGTAAGTGTGAGGCGACGGCGCATCAAATTGTATCCCGTGGGTTTGTTTGTACCGTGTACGACCTCGTCTTTGACGGAAATATCAAACAATTTGCGGTGCTCGAGGTTGAGAAGCGAGAGCAAGTCAGGGTCAATGACCTCGATCGCACTGACGTTGGCGACCATGGTTTCCAGTGGAGCAAGCATGACCGTCTTGATCTCTTGGCTCGACGGCACCATCTCGACAACGCCTGTCTCGCCGATCGCAAGCTCGACTGCAAAGACCGACGCCACCGGCACGACCATGTCAGCCACCTTGGGCGTGCAGCGTTTGATGGTGGCCTCCACAAGCGCGACCCACGTCTGCGTCGACTGTTCCACAAGCATGCGCATCTGCGCCGCCATGCGCACGCGAATGCTCATCAAGAGTCGTTGCAGCACGCCTAGCACCGGCTCTGTCGCTGGTCTAGGAGGCAGAGACTCCTACCCGATGCGTAGGCGTCGCGATCCGAGATGAAAAAGTCGTGTGTGTCTTGCAGGCTATCGACGAGATTCTCCGAGATGGCGCGGCGCCAGTCCTAGCACGCATCTCAGTCCACCATGGTACCCTCTATTGGCTAACGCACCACGGAGAGCATTTCAGTGACTTTGGAACAGTGCGTCATCTGTACGTCGTCAAAGTCGGCGAGCCGGCACGGTAGCGAGAGCGTGTCGAGAGACGTTGTGCAAAAAGTGAGCTTCTGAAACGACGTTTCCCAGCCGTGGTAGATCTTCATGAGGACGGGAAGGAACCCACCCATGGCCGTATAATGCTTCCGTCCGACAATGCGCTGCGCCTTCTCGTACGGGTGGGCGGGAATTTGAATTTTTCCGAACGCGGGGGCGGGGGGCGGCCGTGGCATTGGTGTCAAATGCAAGCTCTGGTACTTGATCCGAAGCTGGTCGTCAAACTCGATCTTGTGCGCGAGCACTGCTTTCTTCATGCTCCGAGCGTACTCGCGAATGACCACGTCCGTGAGGTTCCGAAGCAGCACCGCGTGAGTCTCCTCGACGCCAACGTCCGGCGTCAAGCCCTCGACCACTCGGCGATGGATGCCTTCGAGCGTCGGTCGACCCATTGCCCGAGGCTCCACTGCGTCTTGCTGCGCAATAAAGTAGTCAAAGCGCATTTGCGCCTTGGCGTCCTCTCGGCGTCGGACCGCTTCGTCAATGCGTTGCTGAAAGACAGCGGGATCTTCCTACATGTTGATCGATGCAAAGCATGATATGGAAACCATCGGGAAAACGACGTACGAGGTCAAAGCGAAGGTTGATGCGACGGACTTGCTTTTGCTTCTCCGAGCCTTGAAACTGAATCGTGTACTTTTCCGTGATCGAGTTGTAGCTGTCGACGACGCAGGGCCGCCAGCGCCACTCGTTCTTGACAAAGAAGGGCGACGCACCCATCTTGGTGACCGAGAGCCACTCGTCTGGCGTCTTGGTCTCGTACTCGGTGCTATCAAACTGATGCAGCGGCAGCTTGGACTGGTCGATCTTGAGGTACTCGTCGAACTCGACGTTGGCCGCCCTACGACGCGACGTATGGAGATATACTTTGAATACGACGGACGTACGCTTCGTTCTTGGCCGCGTTCTTGGCGTACTCTTCGATCTGCTGTAGTCGCTCGGCGTCGGCGTCCAGCGTGATGGGCGCCGTCGTGCGAATACGGCCTGGGAAAGGGCGCACGAGCTCGGGGCCACGGAGCACCTTGAGCTGCTCACGCCGTTTGAGCTCCTCCTCGAGCACGACAGCGTCCTTCCACTTGTGCGGCAGATTCTGGTAGTCGACATGCGACTGCTTCTTCCGTGTCGACTTGGTCTTGATCAACTCGAGGCGCTCCTTGGCTTCTTTGCGCATGCGCTTGTGGAGGCGGAAGCGCTGTTCGAGCATACGTCGGTCGTGCTCGAGCTGCTCCTCGGGCGAGAGACCGGTCTTCTCTTGCTCCGTGCCCCCCGCTCCATCGTCGGCTTGCCGGTCGTCCTCCATGCAGTTGGGTCTTCCAGGCGTCGCTGCGAAGATGCGTCGTTTCAACTCCCGCCCCTTGGGCCGATCGAAGACACGCTCCTGATTGGTCCAAAAGTCGATCTTTCGATCGCGCTTGTGATTGGCTGAAATACGATTTTCGTTCGCGCATGTTGATTGGATACCTCATTTGCGTGTCGACAAACTCTGTTTTTTGCAAAAACAGAGTTTCGTGCCAGCGACATATGCTGACGCAGCCGCGGCAAAGCGGCAAGCCTACTGTGCGTGATGGATTGATTATACGTACCGGTAGCGTGTGGTTTCGTCCAGAGATGCGAGTCATATTCATATCGGGTACAACCGTGGCACTCGATGTCTTCTCCTCGTCGGCAAAGAGGGAGGAAATGGCCAGTGCGTGGTCAGTTCCATTCGTTTTCGCGCGCATGGTACACGGCGAAGCGCTTGATAGCTTGAAGCCATTGAAGCCGACCGCGCTGTATTAGTATCCAACTCGGGAAGACTAAATGACAATGGACGTTAAAATTGCAGTGCATGAACATCCAGTTGCGGCCGACGCTGCGACGCGTTGCTGGTGCCTACGACGCCAGCAAGCGGTGGCCGTGAACACGAAGGATCCGCGAGAGACTCTGAATCCGAGTTGTTCTAGTAGGTGCTCGCACGCCACACGCAGCCAATACCGACCAATACAGAGCAGAAATGCAGCATGCGAATCATGGACGCCACTTCATATGGCAAAGGCGGTGTGGGTAGACGTGTCCACTTCAGGATTGCACCACAGGTCGCATTAACGAATCGTTGCCTGACGCTTCTGACAACACAGACGACGTCTCGACGGGGCACGTCGTGTCTATTAGTGTCGTTGTTGCCTTGCATGAGACCCTTCGGCGATAAGCCATCTCGCGCTGCTTTGCCGCAGAGACGACGACCAAATGGACAGTCCTTTGCCTATCCTTCGAATTTATCAGAGTCGATTTTGAAGCAATCACGCTGCGAATATTGCGCTTTCCTAATCGTTTGACGCTGCCGCGATCGCGTTAGTCACGCAGTGTGTGCCCACGACCATCGCGGCGATGTAGACGCCATACAGTACGGTTGATATTTATACCTTAGTGCGCTCTGCAGTTATTATGTGCATGACGACCATGCGGCGTTCGTAGCAAGTCGACGAGAAAATCACATTGCACAATAGTGCATCGTGTTGGTCCGAAGCAGCTTGCAATGTCATCGGTCGACGCCAGCGATACCAGTACGGTCCAGGGCGTACTGCAAGAGGATCTCATGTGGCTTCCCCTCTGGTAGCGTTTCGAGACGCGGAGGGCGATCCGCAGCATCCTTTGTGAAATGCACAATATGGTGCGCACCAAAAACCCGATCTTTTCGGCAATGTTGCCACATCCCGGTGGCACTCGCATTGTCGCCATTCGCCAACTGTCGTCGCCATGAACAGGTTTGTCGATACGTTCCGGAGCATGTTCAAGGACATTGAGCGCACGACGTTGCAGCGGCCGGTCCGAACCTCGGACGAGCCCGCGCTACAGATGGCCGCCGTGCGCCGGGCGAAGCGCCGGTCGCACTACTCGGACGTGCTATCGACGACGTTTCCCAACACGCCAACACGGGCGTCCGACGACGCCGAGCACGCCAAACACAGCCAGATCCTCGAGTTCCTCTTGCAGTCGTTCGACGCGACGTGCGACGAGTCGCATGCGCACGTCCTGCAAGCGCTCGAGCTCTGCGGGCGGCTCTCGGCCGTGGTGGGCGCGGGCCGCGTCGCCAAAACGCAGCTTGAGATGGCCTTCATGGCCAACGTCGTTGCGCTCGCGTACCTTGGCGACGAAGGGCTACAAGCCATCGTCATTGCGCAGCTCGAGGCCGCGACCGCTGCCCACGACTGGTTCCGCGTCCCATCCTCTTCTTCTTCGCCGATGGCCAAGTACCCAAAGTGGGTGCCCATGGCGCATGCGCCGACCGCGCCGTCGTTCGAGTCGAGCGTCCTGGCCTTTAGCATGCTCGCCAAGCTTTCGCCGAACGACATGAAGAAGGGGCCGCCGATGTCGCGCGACGTCGACGCGCTCCTCGGCAAGCTGGTGCTCGATGGCGAGTTTTACACGCTCTTTCTCGCCTCGGTCCTCAACCAAAGCCGAAGCAGCGTCACTGAGACCAACGACTGGAAGCGCGTCGTGCCGCACCACGACCGACTCGTGTACGTGGGTCTTCGGCTTCTCCACGAGTGCGCGTACGAGACGTGGGCCATGGCGGGGCCGTCGCCACGCACGTACTTTGCCTTTACGATGCGCGGCGTCAAGACCGCGATGCTCAAGGGGCTCATGCTGCTCTTGAATCCCAAGCTGACCTACCTCACGCTCCTCGCGCTCCTCGAGGCGACTAATGTCAATAACGAACGCAGCGTGGGCCACTGCCTCCACCAGCTCGAAGAGTGGTTCATGCGCCTCACCGAGTACAAGTTTGATTTGATGGCGACCGTCCGCGATTACGACAAGGACTTTTCGTGGATCTTCGCCATCAAGCTCTTGCTGCTCTCCGACCACATGGACATTCTCAAGAAGACGCTCTTGTTCCTCTACAACGTGCTTCCGATGCTGCCCGACACGCTCCGGACGCTCATCATGCGCGTCCTCCTGCACCGCCATTTTGAACTCTTTCTGCATTGGCAGCGCGACGTCCGGCGCTTCTACCAGCATGTGCTCGTCTACCGACTCTGCCCGGGCGCCCACCGCGTCTTCCTCTTCTCGATGACCGATAGCTTGCTCGCCAAAGTGGACGGCGAGCATGAACTCAGCTTCTTCAACTACGACGCGCTCGCACCGGGCATGGAGAGCCTCCTCGACGACGAGCGTGCGAAATGGACCTTCTTTGACGTCCTCATTCTCTCGCTCTGTCTCCGCGAGCGCGAGCGCGCGCACGAGGCCAATAAAGAGCAGCGCCGCGCCGCCGACCTCGCGGCGGCCCGTGTTGCGACGCTTCAGAAAGACTTGCACAACTGCTCGCAGAGCCGCGTGAGTGCGTCGTTTGCGCGCGAGTGCATGTCGGCCAATGCCACCACCGACGTCGAAGAGAAGCTCGCGGCCGAAGTCGACCGGCTCCGGTTGCTGCAAGCGTCACTGCCGTACCTGCGCGTGACGCCGCAAGACCACGAGTTTGAGCTGGCGGTGGCGAGCAGCAACGTCGATCGGTTCTTTACGCCGCGCGAGGGCATTGAGTGGAAGCACCTCCAGCAGTATGCGCGCGTCGCACTTCTCGAGTATACCAACGTGCTGCAGTCGTACTATGCGCAGTGCTCGCGGCACCACGCGACCGGTCGCTTTGATGTTGCGCGCTTGCCTCTCGCACCGGAACTCACCTTTTAATCTAATCTTTTGTCGTGTGTACACAATATGTATGTGGAGAGAGCGTCCTTGTTGAAGTAGACAAGAAGAGTTTTTTTGTCGACGTTTAGTCCATGCGCACGACCGCCTCGACGAGCTTGCCAATGTTGTCGTGGACCGACGCGGGTGTGCCAGCGTCATGCATGTAGGCGGGCGCCGATACAATCTTGTTGGTCGCGTCAATGTGGATCTCGTCCGACGCCTTCTCGATCGCGACGGCGCCGAGGGCGTCGACCGCATCGGATGCACCACCGTTCGACCACGTAGCACCCGAGCGCTTGCCCATGGTGAGTTCTGCGCCCGGAAAGAGCTTGGCGCCGAGGACCGGTGCAATGCACATGAGCCCGATCGGCTTCTTGGCGGCGTGGAACGACGAGAGCGCCGACGCCACTTGCGGCTGCACGGTCATGTTGGCGCCGTCAAACGCAAACGAGCTCAGGTTCTTGGCCGCGCCAAACCCGCCAGGCACCACGACCGCATCAAAGTCGGCCACGTCCAGCACGTCCAAGGCCTCGACTTTACCACGCCCAATGCGCGCCGACTCGACCTATTCGTCGTATTGTCTCGTATCGATACCGATCGATAGGAAGAACGTACGAGCACGTTGCGCGACTCGGGGAGGACGTCGCCGGTGAGGTGGTTGATGACATGGTGCTGGGCAATGTTGGGCGCAAACATCGTCACGTTCGCATTGGCCTTGCTCAAGTGGATCAAGCAGCTCACGGCCTCGGTGATCTCGGTGCCATCGTACACGCCGGCGCCTACGCCATACTATCGTTTGATGCTCCTGCGTGCGGATCGCCGGCTTACCGCTGAGGATGAGCGCGACGCGCTTCGAGGGCAGCTCCTGCTTGGGCGCCGAGAGAGCGTTCGTGAGCGCGGGCTGGAAGCGTGTCATGGCATGCTTCACCAACGGTACCGCGGCGAAGCCGACGAGGACAAGCCCGCCAAGTGCAGCACCTCGACGCAACATGTGGCTGGTTCGAATCTGTGGCGAGCGATACTTTTTTGATTTTTTATTCAAGCTTGACATTTGTAGGCTCGATTGCGCTTTAAATGGTATAATATGATTGGACCGCTCGCGAAAAATGGGGCCAATCACGATGCGGCTTTCGTTGACGATCGGCGCAGTCTGATCGGCGCCATTCCAGGCCTGCGTCGTGGGGGCAGCTCTTGGGGACCAGGTACTGGACTTGGCTAAGAGGACAACAGTTTGGTCGTAGCCTACGATCAAGCTATCCTCGTTCGAAACGGATTGCCATCGATGCGGGTCTCAGTCCTAACCTCCCATTTGAACAATTGCTTATTGTTGTATAGCACTTATTTTGCACTACGCAACACATGTGGGCGTTGTTTTTGTCCACTCACAGACGCGACGGCGGTGTGCCACTAGTGAGCGCTTGCAGCTGGCCCCACAGCGACGCTTCCATCGGAATGACACCTTCCGTCACGTGCTTCTTGTAAATGGCGTTGCCGCGCTCGCCGGGGAGCCAGATCGCGTCGACATTGGGCATCTTATCGGCCGTCTTGACACGCTGGAGCACTTGCTCGACGCGCGACGTAAACGCACCCGGCTGCGGATGGAAAAGCGCGGGGTCAATCGCGACAACGCAGCTCGCCCAGTCGTTGGCATTGTCCTTGTCGTGGATCGCACCGCCAGCCAGCGCCGACGAGAGCAGCTCCACTGCAAGGGCCAGCGCCGATCCCTTGTGTCCGCCAAACGGCAGAATCGCATGGACCGCCGCAGGGTCCGTCGTTGTGGCACCTAGAAGACACCTTGAGACGACAGCTTTTTCCATGAAGGGCAAAGCACCATTGACATCGACAGCAACGCCTTCCGGGATTGCGATTTTGGCGATTTTGGCCAAAATGACAGCGTAGTACGAAATGGCCGACGTCGCCAAGTCCATCACGAGCGGCTCCGAGGCGTCCGAGCGCGGGAAGCTCATGGCGAGCGGGTTCGTACCAAAGAGCGGCATCTTGCTGCCCGTGGGCGCTACGAGTTCGGGCGAGCCCGAGAAGACAAAGCCAATGCACCCTTGGCGCGCCACCTCCTGGGCGTAATACCCGATCGCGCCCGTCGACGTGCCTACATGCAAGAACGATGCGTCAACGCCCAGTCGAGCGTGTGGTGCTGCGTACAGTAGTTGCGGCACGTCACGACGCTGACACCCGCCGTCTTGGCCTTGGCGATCGCAACTTCTGTGGCTCGCTGCAGAACGAGCATGCCGCAGTGCTGGTGGCCATCGATGGCCGCCATCGTCGGCGTCTCCCGCGTCGTGTGAATCGGATGCGCCGCCGACAAGGGGCTCTTGTCGAGCGCGTGCGTCACGAGCTTGACGACGCCCTGCGTGTTCCCTCGGAGCTGCGCATACAAGAGGATGCGCTGGATGATTGTCGCCTCCGTTTCCGAGTACCCGAGGAGCCGCAGCGCCTTGGTTGTCTGCGCCGTCAGCTCGGGCACGGGAACCTGCACCGTGGGGGCCATGATGGCGAAATCCAAAAATGATCCGCTAGCTTCGATTGGCTTCCAAATACATACAATTACCTAGGTACAGGCCAGCTGCGGCAACCCTTGGAGCTAATCACACTCAACATATTTTAGTCGCCTCTCGCTAAAGCGATGCTCGCGAGTAGTACAATCGTTCGTCCACGCCAGGACCGCACGCAGCACCTTGCATCCGCACTTGGCGTGCATTAGTATGTGACAGCGCGTGTGGGAGCTACGTGCTTTTGTTGGTCGAGCAAAAGTTGCGTGCGCGTAGCCTCAAGTGCAAATCACCAACGATGGCCGCGCTGGCGATCGTCTTCCTCAACCCCAAGAACGAGGTTCCCGAGTGCTCGTACGATGCAGCCGCGATGCTTCGGCGCGCTGGTATCCCTGACGTCCGTGTCATGTCCATGGAGGCCATTCCCAAGGCGCTGGCGGTAGCGGACCCGGCAACGACATTGTATGTGCAGCCCGGTGGCGGCGACGACGTCGATACGTCGTTTGCAACCTTCTTTGCCAACAACCGGAAGCTCCGACCGTCCGTTCAGCGCTTTGTGGCTGACGGCGGAGTGTACTTGGGCATCTGTCTCGGCGCCTATGCTGCCGGCGTCGAGCAGTTCGACCTCGTCCACGACAAGGACCATGACCCGTTCTTTAGCTTTGACGAGCTCGACGACGACGAAGCGCGGATTGTTCCTGTCGAGTTCAACAGTGCGCGCTATATGACATACCACCAAGGCGGTCCCGACTTGACGCCGATGCTCGACGTTGGCGCCGAGCGGTTTGGGGCGTATGTCGGCCGGCGCACCGCGCCCATCGGTGTCATTCTTCGGTACTGGAGGAGCCCGCGGGGCACGATCGGGCTCTTGAGCCCGCACTTCGAAGCAACCGACGAGTGGGACGATGCGGAACACGGGCGTCGCGCTGGTGACTGCTCCGTGCCTGCCCTCGCCTTTCTGTCGCAGCTGGCGGCCGCTGCTTCCCGGCACCGCGACGCTGCCACGTGTGATGGCGCGAAGCCCTTATGTTTGTAGCAAGACACTGCATCCATTTGCAGAAAACAATTTGTTTCCAGTGTTTTTCTAGCATTACTCTCAGCCGCTTCTTCTATGAGCTGCGTCCTCTGTTGATCGCACATAACATTGCTTACAGTGTATCCAACAACACAGTAATTGCACTGGTTCGCCACCACGCGCGATCTTTTCTTGCTGGTAACGATCCCGACACTGCTACTGACACTGCTATCAACCTCATCGCGCCGTGACGCACAGACTGCTTCTGTGACCGCTGATTGCAGCGGACCGTACCTCCACGTTATACCACCGAGTAGGACTCGCTGCGGACTGAGAAACGGGTTTCAAGCATCGCCCACAATCAATGTCCTGCAGATATACACAGGGCTGTATCCAACTCCAACTTTCTTTCTCCCTCCTCGTGCCCATACCACCGTCTTGGAGTCTCTGCGTCCTCGTCGCGTGAGCCCTTGTCAACTGCCCGAGAATTTCTCAAGAAGCCCCTGCAGTATGCTGCACATATTTGCAAAATTCGGCCAACTCACCAACGAGCCAATCAAAATACGTTTATCTTACTTTCCAGCCAATCCGATTCATGTATTCCGTACATTTGCAGGTTTTTGGAAATACGCAGGCCAATTGCGAGTTATTTGAGAAATACACGCTTCCACAGGGTGATCGCAGCGCCACATGGTCCAAAACGTATCTTGCAAGATCGCAACGCGCCACGGTCTGGCTGTACAAGCTATTAGTCTGGCGTGCGGTCTGGCTTGCGGTGGCGGCGCCAACAAACGGCGGTGCGTTGGCGGCACATGGCCTCCAGATCGTCGCCCGGTATTCACATCGACGTTGGTCACGCTGCATACACTGGTTGTCGCAGCATCCAGTGGTTGGGAAAGAAGATCCGTGAAACGTTCGATGGAACATTGCGCGTTGTGGTCCTTCGAAGGCGTCATTTCCAGACCGACGGTAGATGAGCGAAGAGTACCGCGTCGTGGTCGTCAAGGCGACCAACCTCGTCGGCAACGACGGCTTTGGCGCCAACAAGACGTCCGACCCGTTCGTCGAGCTCTCGTACCTCAACAGCAACTACGAGCCGCTCAAAAGCGAGACGCGCAAGACGCGCGACGTCTCCAAGACCATCAACCCGCTCTGGAACGAGACCTTTGTCATTGGGAGCGACACGGACCTGCGCACGGTCACGTACCTCGCCTGCACGGTCTACGACAAGAACCTGCTCAAGAACGTGCCGCTGGGGCGCGCGCTCGTGCCACTCGGCGTCATTCGGAGCGGTGTCATGGCTGGCGGCTCGTTTCAGCACAAGTGCACCGTCGAGAAGTTTGGCAAAATGCGCTTCGCGACCGGCGACTTGTTTCTCGAGTTTACCGTGCATCATCACGGCGCGTCGGCCGTCGCCGCGCCGGCAAGTGGCGACGAGCAGACGGCGGCGCCACCGACGGGCCCGCCCAACGTGCTCCACGTGACGATCGACTCGGCGACGGGGCTCCCGGCCATGGACATGGGCGGCACAAGCGACCCGCTTGTCGTCATCACGTGCAACAAGACCAAGCTCAACACGACGACGAAAGCCAAGTGCGTCGCTTGCATGTGGAACGAGTCGTTCAAGTTCCCGGTCACGGACGCGACCCAAGACGTCTTTTTGTGGTGGAAGACTTCGACGTGGCCGTCAACGACTTTATGGGCCAAGCCAAAGTATCCCTCGAGGCGCTCGGCGACATGAAGCCGCGCACGGTCACGCTCGACCTCCTCGACAAGAAGTTTCGGAAAAAGAAGGACCTTGGTACGCTCACGGTCACGCTGCGCTGGGTCTACTCGGCCAATGTCACGGACGTCGTCGCGTCCAACAAGAAGAAGGCCGGTGACATCTTTTCCAAGATTGGCAACGCGCTCATGGGCAACCCGGATGTACGCAGCAGCATCGCATCGAAAGGATGTGGGATGCTCACGATCCATGCATATATCCTAGGCGGGCGACGACGACGAGGAAGGCATCGACGCGGACGCGGAAGACGACGCGCCCAAGAAGAGCGACGAAGAGCTCAAGAAGGAGCAAGAAGAGAAGGAAAAGGCGATGCAGGAAGAAAAGAAAGCGCTCGAAGACATCAACATCCAGTCGGGCGACTACTCGGTACAAGTCCATGTGATTGAAGCCCGGGATTTGGTGGCGAAGGACGCGACCGGCACGTCCGACCCGGTCGTGTACGTCAGCGTGCTCGGCCAGGAGCAACACACAGCCGTCAAGAAGCAGACGCTCTCCGCGGTGTGGGACGACACGCTCATTTTCAACTTTCGCAATTTGGACAAGGACGAAGTCGAGGCCGGAGCGATCAAGCTCAGCATCATGGACGCCAACACGCTCACGCGCGCCGAGCTCATTGGCGAAATTCAATTCGACGTCTCGTTCATCTACTCGAACCTCAACCACCAAATCTGCAACAAGTGGCTCGGCCTCATTGCACCCAACCAAGAAGGTGTCCAGGGCTACCTTCGCGTCTCGATCACAATCGTTGGGCCTGGTGACAAGTTTGTGCCACCGCCGCCGGTCGGCCCCGACAGTGCAGGCCTCGACGCCGTCATGATGCCGTCGAGCGTCAAGCAAGAAGTCAACTTTCTCGTGTGCCGCATTCACGTCGGCGAGCATCTACCGCCCATGGACAGCCTCCTCGGCGGCTTCAAGCAAGGCCTCGACGCGTACGTCCAGTGCTCGTTGGGCAATACCAAGCCGATCCGAACACGGGTGAAATCCAAGAGCGGCGAGCGCCACCAGCTCAACCCGGCTTTCAACGACGAGCTCTGGCTCGTTTTGCACGAGCCCAGTTTGGCCAACCAGATTGTGGTCTGCGTCAAAGACTGGGACAAGGTCGGGAAGGACGAGGTCGTCGCGCACTCGTACCAATCCCTGCGCGTCATCAAGAAGCTCGGGGGGCGTATGGGGCCCATGTGGCTCAACTTGTACGGCGCGCCGATCTCGCACGCCAAGGGCAATGTCCTCTCGGGTGACACGGTCAAAGAGCAAATGAACACGTTTCCCGACACGGCCACGTTTTACCGCGGCCGGATTCTCGTCACGTTTGAGATCCACGCGAACGACAAGAAGCTCGAGGAAGTCAACCAGCGCGTCAAGGCAACGCCGCTGCCGCACCACGCGTACCCCGAGACCGCCCTCTACCGGCTCCGCGCGTTTATCGGTCTTGGCTCGGACATTCCACAGATCACGTCGCTTGCCTCGGGCGCGACGCGCAAGTCCAAGATGCAGATTGTGGTGACGTGCGGCCTCAACTCGCTCGAATTTGAGCGGCGGGAAAACAATAAGGGCGTCGTGGTCTGGAACGAGCTCAAGGAGACGGACAACCTCGTCTTGCCGCGGGACCCGACCCAGATCCCCGACATTTTCGTGTACCTTTGCAAGGGCAAGGTCGACGGGAAGCTCTCGACGCGCAAGCAGGTCGCGTACAAGCGCTACTCCGCCAAGGACCTATTGGAGAAGAACATGGTGTCCGAACCGGCGTGGGTGACGCTCAAGGAAGACCCGGCCGTCGATGCGCTCAAGGACGAGGTGTTTCCGGGCAACATTTTCCTCAACCTCGGTTTCGGCCATCTCGTACGACGTGACGACGCTAAACGAGCGACTTGTAACTTTTGAGCTGGATTAGGACACGTCAACCGCGACGGTCGATGTGTGGAACCGCGTCTGCAACCAAGAAATCTTGGGTACCCGACTCAAGTACCAAGTCCAAGTCAACGTCTTCCAGGGTCGGCAGCTACCGGCACTGGATGACAATGGGCTCTGTGACCCGTATGTCAAAGTGCGTATGTGCGGCCAAGAAGAGCGTACAGAAGTCAAAAAGAAGACGCGCGACCCGCTGTATTACCAGACGTTTTGTTTGACGTCGACTTGCCGCCCGTCGAGTACATCCAGTACTCGCCTCAGGTATACTTTCTTGTTCTTGTAGACGATCGTTCATCGCGACTAGGTCATTTTGCGCGCGATGGACTGGGACATTGGCATTGGCGACTCGACGCATGATTACATGGGCTCGGCGTTTATCTCGCTCAGCCAGGACCACATCCGACGCCCCGATGACCAGCGACCGCTGCCCGTGCCGCAGTGGTATGGCCTCCTCCAGCAAGAAGCGGGTGACACGGAAGGCGCGATCCTCGCATCCGTCGTCGTCATCAAGAAGGACACACCGGACATGATTCTGTCGCCGCCACGCCCGATCGCGCCCAAGATGATCACGGCGTACTTGGAGATCATCGTGCTCGGTCTCCGGGACATGCGTCCGTTCCAGTTCCTTCCGATCCAGCTGCCGTTCATCGAGTTCACGCTCGGCGGCAAGTCGCATGCGAACCAAGAGATGAAGACGGAGACGTCCAAGCGACCGACGGGCGACAACCCCAACTTTCTCCAGCGCATCGTCCGCGAGGTCGAGCTCCCGGAAGATTCGCTTTTTGCGCCGATGCTCAACATTATGGTCCGCGACACGCGTCTCGGTGGCTGGCTCAAGCCAACGATCGGGAATGCGTCCATCGATGTGCGTATTTGTGATCCCTTTCCAACGAAATTGCTGATGGGATTTGATGCCGGCGTAGATGACCACCAAGCTGCCGTGGGGCCAAGGCTACATTCCACCGCAGACACCCGACTTGGGTTGCGTGGCCAACGCCGCACCTGACGACGACGACAACGACGACGAGATGGACTTGAGCCCCGACGCGCCACTGCTCAAGGACCATGCCGGCAAAGGCGAGAATGGCGCGGGTGTCTTTGGTGCCCTCCACTCGATGAACATCGCGATCGACCTGGAGAACCCGAGCTTGCTCACCGAGACGGCCATCTCGGACGAGTCGCCGTCGCCCATGATGCGGCGCGCGAGTTCGGTCCTGAGCTCGCCAACCTCGGACGACGTAGTCGAGGACGACGAAGGCGCGGACGAGTTTGAGATCAAGAAGAGAAAGTACATGAAGAACCGCGACGAGTACAACGAAGACCTCGAGTCGGCGGCACTGAGCTCCAAGCCGTTCGAGACGTATGCGCTCACGATTGGCCAAAAGAAGCGCAAAAAGTCGGTGCTCGATATCCTCAGCGTCGGCAAGCTCAACCCGTTCAAGCTCGTCGGCAACACAATGAACTCGGTCAAGAAGGTTGCGGGTCTCGGCGGCGCAAGCGGTGGTGACGGCGAGAACGGGCTTGGCACGTTCCACATTGCGGGCATCTTCAAAGGCCTCGTGCGCGTCATGCGCCGCGAAGACGAGCCACCGCTCGTCGACATGCAAAAGCTCCTCAACCCGCAGCCGTACGCGCTGCGTGTGTACGTTCTGAACGGCTCGAGCTTTGCGCCCATGGACCCGAGCCTCGATGGCACGCCCGGCAAGTCGGACCCGTATTTGATCCTGCGCCTCGGGAAGGACAAGATCAACGACCGGAAAAACTATATCGAGGACGTCGTCGACCCCGACTTTTACAAGCTGTACGAGTTTCACTGCCAGTTTCCCGGTGTCGCCATGCTTCAAATCGACGCATTCGACCACGACATGATTGGCGGCGACGACCTCATTGGCTCGACGCGGATCGATGTCGAAGACCGGTTCTTTGATAAGCACTGGCACGCGCTCGGTCACACGTTCCAAACCACGAAGCGCTGGGGCCCCAAGCCCGTCGAGCAGCGGACGCTCACGATTCCGACGTCGCGGGCGCCGATGGGCCAACTCAAGCTCTGGATCGACATTTTGACGCCGAAGGAAGCCGTGAACTTTCCACCGGTCGACATTGCGCTGCCGCCGCCGCGCGAGTTTGAGCTGCGCGTGGTGGTATGGAAGACCAAAGAGGTGCCGAACGCAGACGAGATTACGGAAATGAACGACCTCTTCGTGCGCTGTGCGCTGGAAGGCAGCGACCACCAGGACACGGACATCCACTGGCGCGCCAAGAAGGGCAAGGCGAGCTTCAATTGGCGCATGAAGTTCAAGGTGCTCCTCGGGCACAAGCAGCACAACTCCAAGTTTCCGTACTTCAAGATTCAAATGTGGGACAAGGACGTCTTCTCGGCCAACGACTGCATCGCCGAGGGCATCCTCGACCTGCAGCCGCACTTCAAGAAGGTGTGCAAGCTCCAAGCGCCGTACCAAGTCTTTCAAAACAAGACGCCGCGGCCAAAGGAGACGGCGAGCCAAGCCCAGAACAACGACGCGATCCGGTCCATCAAGGAAGCCACGGGGCTCTTTGACACGGACCCGACCGACTCGAGTTGGATCAAGATGGAGCGCATGAACCGCGAGACAGGCGTCAAGGACCCGATGGGCGCCGTCTGCATCAGCATGGAGCTCGTGCCGATCGAGAAGGCCAAGACGATTGCTGTCGGGTACGGCCGGAGCGACCCGAACAACAGCCCGTTCCTGCCGCCGCCGGCCGGCCGTCTCAAGTTCAGCATGAACCCGTTCTACGTCTTCAACGAGCTCCTTGGCCCCAAGATCTGCCGCCGCGTCATGTGCGTCGTGTGCTTCGTCGCCATCGGCGTCATCATGTACTTTGCGGGGCCCATTATCAACCTCCTCATCGTCATCCTCAAGTAAAGCGTCGTCTAATGCATCCATCATTCCCTTTTGAACTTGTGTGCGCTGCGTACCTTCGCTGCTGAAACACATTCTGCCGAGTGCGCACTGGGAAGCAGGGAAGAACCGCCTTGCATGGTTCGATGACCTCATGGGAAACCAAAGAGAAGGCAGCTCTTACGGGGCTGGAGCTCCATATTTCCTGCGTGTACAGAAGAATTGCCGCGACCAAAGATGGTGTGGAACGGAAGTCGAAGGCTCGAGGCTATAGGTAGGTAATGGGACGGGTGGTCTTGGTACACAAGCGCAGCCGCCTTTAAGGTCTTGCATGGGAAATCCAAAAGGTCGGGTTGGCGGGAACCAAGAAGTCGCAGCGTCAACCGGTTCCATCCAATCGGATCACAACGTTCAAGTGACCGTATTTTGTATGCGATGGCGCTCAGCGAGCGGAAACTTGGGTTTTTTGTGGATTGTACAGGTCACGCAACCGCTGGGAGGTTTGGACTGCGTGTAGTTTTCCAGACCAGGTGCATGAAGCACCAGTGAAAGGCGCGGGATGAAGATGACCTCGAGCGCCCCGCGGACGGACGCTGCCGGTACACGACCCGATGGACCTGCCCGCAGCGACGGTACAGCGCATGTAGATGCGCCCCCCCATGGCGTCCGCGCGATCCGCCGGACGCTCGCGCACCAGAAGCACGAGCGGCGCCTCGAGCGCGAGATGAAGCGCGAGAGACAGGCGCTGGATGCGAAAGCGTCGCAGTGGCAAGACCACGTGCGTCTCAAGAAGAAGATGCGCAGCCTCCACGCCGTCACGAACGGCGCGATGATGCTGCAGTGCTTGACCATGGCCCAGCCGCTGTCCCGGGCGGCCAAGCGGCAGCAGATCCAGGCCATTGACGCGGCCAAGATGAGTGCCATCGAGCAGATTGAAAGCCTCCCGACGCTTTCTTCGCAGCGACGCCGTCGGATCCGGTCGTTCGAGTCCAAGATGCGATCGGTGGTCCGCTGCCCGTCGCTGCCGCTGCTCGCCCCTGTTGAGCCCGTGTCCCGCGCCAAGAGGAAAGTCGACGTGAACCCTCTCTTCTACCTCTATATGTGGCAAAGCATGGAGCGATATAGCAAGCCGCAGCTCGAGCAGATGCTCTTGCACCCGGCGGACCTGGACCTGCTCAACAAGCACACCGAGCAGTGCCTCGAGACGATCCTCGAGTGCGGCCGGCACTCGGCCGGCCTCCACCTCACGCACGCGGCGCCGTTCTTGCACGAGATGGCGTTCGCTGCGCACGTCGTCGGTGCCCACGCGTACGCGCAAACCGAGTTGCGCCAGCCGTCGCTTCTGTACCCGCTGCCGATTTACGAAAAGTCGGTCGTCAGCAGCAGCTGCAAAGCGATCCGGCACAGCCTCGTCTTCTTGCCGTCGCACTTCCAGGACGACGACAACCGGTTTCCGGACCTCGCCGAGCTCGTCGACGCCACGGTGCGCGCGGCGCCCGAGATCATGCACGAGGTCGCACGCTGGACGCAGCCCGTGCCGCCGATGACGACGCTGGCAGAGCTTGTCGCCGAATTCCAAGACGCTGCGGGCAACCTCGAGCGCCTCCTTCTCGAGTCACCGTCGTGCCTCGCGTACGTTTCCAACGCGGTCAAGGCCCTCTGCGTGCACCTCTTATCGATCGTCGAGCGGGCGCTCCTCGCGCAGTGGGCAGCGTGGGCCCGCGACATGCCCGAGTGGTTTGTCTCCAACCGCCAACACATGCACCAGCTCCCGCCGCCGTCGGCGTTCCTCGCCGATGCGATCGCTGCGTCGATGCCCAAGCCCGTGCACGTGCGGCCGGACGCCTCGGCGCGGGACCGCTGGCTCACGTCGCACGTCGAGCACTTTACGATTGTCAACGCGCGTTGCTACCTCCTCGACGAGCAAATGCAGACCAAGTACCGCGACGAGATGGTCGCGCACGCCGCGACGCTTCGGTACATTGAGTACGTGCGCCTGGATGCGAGCGTCAACATGGAGTGGCCGCCGACGATGCGCTTGAACGAGCGCTTGGCCGAGGCGGCCGCGCGCCTCGATGTGCTTGCCAAGCAGTTTATGCTCCACGAGTGGTGCGTCTCGTTCATCCAGAGCCAAATTCGACATCGCCACACGCGGCAAACGAACCCCAAGCCCATGAAGGAAGAGACCCCGGATCTACCCCCTGTATTGACGCCCGAAGACGCGGTGCCGACCACGGTCCTTCATGACGAGCACAGTGAGGAGGAGCATTATGAAGACGACCACGCAGACGAAGAAGACGACGCACAGCGCGATGCGGACGAGGAAGATGCGACGCGCGACGATGACGACGACGATGACGATGATGCTGACAGCGAGGTCGATCACAACGCGTTTGCAGTCCCCCACGTCGTCGACAAGGAGGATCCCACGGACGAAGACGCAGACGCCAATGACGATGCGGCGACTGGTCTGACCACGGACAGTCCATTCGACGACCGTCATGACGACGACGATGGTGTTGTCGAGGACGTGGCCGACACGATCGAAGATGATGTCATGGCCAGCGGCAACGAGGCGGACAGCAGTGCCGACGCAGTGATCGGTGCCGATGACAACATCGGAGCCGACGTTGAGATTAGTCTTGACGACGCCAACGACGAGATTGCGGGTGACGTCGCTGCCAACGATCCGGAGGCCGAGCTTGCCGCAGCGGACGACGCCAGCGTAAACGCTGCTATGGGCGCCGACGACGTGCCGCAGTCGGAAAGCAGCCGTGCCACCGATGCCGAGCCTGCCGTCTGCGGCAACGACCAAGACGACGCACCGTTCACGGCTCCAGCAATTGTCGAAGAGCCTTGCATCGCCCACGAGTCTTCCAAGAAGGTCAAGAAGAAGGCCAAAAGTGGGGGTGGCACGCCACGTCGCCGGTACCCGCGCCGGTTTACGATCGATTTGACCAACGAAGACGACGACGAAGAAGGTAGCTCGGACACCGCCAAGGAGAGCGAGGATCCGGACCTGGAAGAAAAGGCGCCACCGAGCGCGTTTGTCGAGACGCCGAGTGACGACGAAGACGATCAGCCGCTCTCGATGCTCAAGCGGTCGGCGCGGGCGGCGACAACCGACGACGTCCGTTTCGTGCTCGTGTCCGACACGACGATCTTTGAGACTGCGAGCGACGAGAAGGCACCCGTGCGCACCGACTCGGACGACGAGGTCGCCAAGCCCCGGCGCAAGCGCAGCATTGGACACGCGCCGCTTCCGTCGAGCAAGCGTCCGTGCGACGAAGCGACGGCGCGCGGCCGGTTCCGTCCCAAGCCCAACGCCCAGATCGACTTGTTGTGCCAGCAAGCCATGTCGCGCATGCTGCACACGATCGAGACGAAGCTCGGGTGCCCCGGCATGTCGTGTGGCCAGGCCTTCACCTGCCTCCGCTGCAAGCATTGCGCCAGTCACTGCACGTGCCGACCGGCGCCCGCGTCAGCCGTCCCCAACTTTGTGCCCGTCGATCGTCTCCGCAACGAGCAAGAGTATGTGTTTCAAGCCGCCCGTGCGCGCGTGCGCCGGCGTCTCCGCGTCGTCGAATCGGCGGCATCGCCGGCCGCGTCGTACACCAAGTGCCTCGACGGTCCGCAGCTCTGGTCCTCCCGGCGCATCGTGGCGCTTTGGAACGCGACAAAAGACGCGCACGGTGTCCTCGGTGTGCCCAAGCACGCGTCGTGGGGCACGGTCAAGAATCAATACCGGACGCTCGTGCTCAAGCTGCATCCCGACAAGAGCCGCAGCACGCCCGAGAAGGTGTCGGCGTTCGTTGCCGTCACCACGGCGTACAAGCGCCTGCGCAGTACGTTTCAGGCGCCATGATCCTCCTCAGTAATGCATCATCGTATCGCGTAACAAGAAGAAGAAGAAAGCGAATTGCATGCGAGCTTAGTTGTCATGGCCTGTCTGGAGATCAAGTGCGGCGGCCGCGAGCACGGTCTGATGTGCTGTGTCCGCAATGCCGAGGAAGTTGAAGTCGTCTTCGGCCAGCCCCGTCTCCCGGAGAAAGTCGAGCGTCGTGAAGCCCTTGGCCTTGAACGCCCCAGCGTACTGCTCCATGTGCAATCGTCGGAGCCAGCTGTAGACTTCGTCGTGGAGCGAGACAGGTGACATGGGCGGGGACTTGGGCGGCGCGTGTTTCGCATGCGTTGCCACTGCGATCGCTTGGTCGAGGATCGCGAGCCAGCTCTGGAGCTCAATGGTCGACGTCGCCTGGAATTCCTTGCGCATTGCGCCTTGGACGAGCACAAACCTCCGGTTGGCCTTCTAGAAGGCGAGTTGAGTATCGAGACAAAGGCCTCGGGCAGGGACCTTTTTGAGTTTGCAGTCGGCGAGCGCCAATGTGTGCTCGGGCGACGGCGCAAAGCTGTCGTTGCCGCGCAGCTTGTCGTAGATCTTCTGCGACGTGTAGTACGTCAACGTCGAGTCGGCAATGACCACGTAGCGCTGGCGCCACCGACGCAAGCCGTGCGCCGCACGCTTCAAGAGGGCGCCGGCATGCGCCGGTGGCTCGTCCAAGTCCAAGTCGACGGCCGGCCGCACGGCAACGCTAAACTCGGTCTCGTCGAGCATTTCAGGGCTGCACTCGACGTTGTTGTCGTCGTCGTTGCGGAGGTCGGCCAAGAGCTCCGTGAGCCACTCGACGACCTACGTACGGTGTGTGAGGAAAAGACAGTCGAACGAAGGCGACCGACCTCGCCAGCGTGCGGGCGGTCGGATGGCTCGAACGACGTGCAGTGCTCTGCTAGCAGCGCAAAGGACACGGGGCAGCTCGATGGTGTGACCCGCCGAAACTCGTTCATGTCGATGCGGAACTGCTGCGCTGGCGTCCGCGGCAAGAAATCATCGACGCCCACCTACACCGATATAGATCGCTCGACGGGCTGGCATGGATTCGTACGTGGCGAAGGCAAATGAGCTCCATGATCACGACGCCGAGCGAGAAGATGTCGGCGTGCTCGCCGTACGCTTCATCAAAGTGGATTTCCTAGCGCATAAAGGCTCAGGCGAAGAAAGCGACGCGGTGACGTACCGGCGCCATGTACGCGTCCGTGCCGCAGAGCGACATGCGCCGACGCGGCTTGGTGCTCGTGTCCACTTGCGCTTCGCGTGCAAAGCCAAAGTCGCATAGCTTGCAGCGGCGATCGTCGTCCAGCTACGCATATCCATGAGTCGAATGCATTTGCGAGTGGGCGAAGTACGAGGAGGTTGGCCGCCTTGATGTCGCGGTGGATAAAGCCATGGTCGTGCAAGTACGCGAGGGCCTCGGCGGCATCGAGGGCGATCTGGACGCGCTGGTACCACGTGACGGGCGCCGCCTTCTTGAGGAGTTTGCTCACGTCGCCGCCCTTCAGATACTCGGTGACGATCCAGACTTCGTCGGGTTGGTTGACTTGGCCGACAAAGCGCAGCAGGCGCGGGTGCTCGAGCTGGCGCAAGATTGCGATCTCTCGCGCAATGTAGTCGTTGATCTGCGGGTCGCGCTTCTGGCGCTTGATCGCGACAGGCGCGCCGTCGTACGCGCCGGCAAAGACCTTGGAGAAGGCCCCGCTGCCGATGAGCGGGCCGAGCGCGAGCCGCTTCGCATGCAGGTCGGTCGCCGTCTCCTGGTTCTCCGGTGGCATCTGGAATGTCCGTCGCAGCTGTCGGCGCAGCTTCTCCGCCCACATCGGTCGTTTCGCCATCTAGCTACTCGGCAACTTTTGTTCCGCCGAGAATTCGGTCGTTCGTTTTCAATCCACTGTCTTTCCAGCGTTTTCTACAGGCACTTTTATTACACTGTTACTTCTCACCAAGCACGGCCATGGGCGTCGTTGTGAGATTCAGGAGGTACGACAAGTTGAGTGTCAAGTGCGTGAGCATGCCATCGCTGCGACCCACGAGCGCGCTGTACTCGTCGAGGCTAATGCACCCGTCCGCGTCGACATCGACGTCGGCGAACGTGCGCTCGATGATGAGTGCGACTTGGTCGTTCGTGAGCAAAATGCTGTTTTCCGAAATGCTCGCGAGGAGGACATCGTGGACGTCGGTCTTGGAGAGCTTCCCGTCGCCGTCCAAGTCCATGATCGCAAACGAGACTAGTCATGCGGTCAGCAGATTCTGTACGATACAGCGTTTGCCTACACGCAATCTTCTCGGCGAGCGGTGCTTTCGTCGAGAGGAGCGTGACGACGTGCGTAAACTCGTCAAACGAAATGAGTCCGTCCTTGTTCGTATCCATGAGCGCAAAGATGCGGTCGACATACAGCGACTCCTTCTCGGGAAGGCCAAGCACGCCTTGAAACTTGCGCACGTCAATTCCTGGTGCTCCCGGCTCGCTCGAGATGGCACCGCCGTCCATCGCCCGGCGGAAGTGGCTCCCGAGGATCTCGAGCTCATCGGGCGCGAGGCGCGTCTTCGTCTGCGCTGCCGCGAGCACGCGCGGTGTGAGCACGGGCGTCGGTGGCGCCGTCTCGACGACGACGGACCCCGCGGCGCCCATTCTTGGATGCGCGTATTTATTTCAATGCACACTTGGTCATTGTATGCTAATATGATTGTATTAGAAAATAGAAACGGCCGCCGTTTCGACACGGCGGGTCGCGTTCTAAACGCTGTAAAATACAGAATTTCAGATCTACGCTCGCGATGGCATCTGTGCATCCAACGCGACTTGACCAGGTACTAGACTCCGGCACAGAAAAATGACTCGAGTAAACCGGTCTACACTTTCTTGTACGCGTCGGTGGGGTGGCGCACTACTGTAGTGGTTGCTTGGGACACGTGCGCAAGTGCTTTGATCGCATCTGGAAGGATGTCGAGCGTTCTCTGACGCACTTGGTGTTGGCACGGGCGGGCTGAGAACGTGTAGCTTCTTTTATATCGCTACCTGGTACCTCGCCAGCAAGCGCAACGATAAGTACATAGTATCGGTAGTACGTTGGAGCGGCTGGATCGAGCGGTCTTGCCAAGCGGTACCAGTCTTGCAAACCGGTTAGAATGATGCCAACCGGATAATGCCAAGTACGGTATTTGGCCAACACTCCGGATTGCACGCTCCGGAAACGCGGACCGGCAACTTTGCAAAAGTCGGACGTGTGGCCGATGAACATGATGGACCTGTCGCGCCAGTCGTCCCAGGGAGGGCAGAGCCCACCGGTGGGCGGCCCCGGGAGCGGTCTCGGGTCGGAGCAGCTGTATCACCTCGTGCTGGAGCTCTCGGTGCCCGAGCAGCGCGAGAGCGCGCTCTTGGAGCTGAGCAAGAAGCGCGAAGAGTTTCCGGAGCTGGCGCCGATCCTGTGGCACTCGTTTGGCACGGTCGCCGCGCTCCTCCAAGAGATCATCTCGATCTACCCGCTGCTGTCGCCGCCGCAGCTCACGGCGCACGCCTCGAACCGCGTCTGCAACGCGCTCGCGCTCCTCCAGTGCGTCGCGTCGCACGCCGAGACGCGGACGCATTTTCTGAACGCGCACATCCCGCTGTACTTGTACCCGTTCCTCAACACTGTGAGCAAGAACCGCCCGTTCGAGTACCTCCGGCTCACGTCGCTCGGCGTCATTGGCGCGCTCGTCAAGATCGACGACACGGACGTCATCAACTTTCTCCTCCAGACCGAGATCATTCCGCTCTGTTTGCGCATCATGGAGGCGGGCAGCGAGCTCTCCAAGACCGTTGCGACCTTTATCGTGCAAAAGATCCTGCTCGACGAGATGGGCCTCACGTACATTTGCCACACGCCCGAGCGCTTCTACGCCGTCGGGTCGGTCCTCTCCAAGATGGTCACGACGCTCGTCGAGACGCCGTCGACGCGGCTCCTCAAGCACATCATCCGCTGCTACCTCCGGCTCTCGGACAATGCGCGCGCCAAGGAGGCGCTGCGCCAATGCCTCCCCGAAGTGCTCCAGAACCACACGTTTGACGATGTGCTCAAGGAAGACTTGACGACGAGCCGCTGGCTCGCGCAGCTGCTCTACAACCTCAGCGACAACAGCAACCCCGTGGGCGCCAACTCGTTTGCCAACATGGCCAACCAGCGCTAGACTCTCGACTACTGCCTTCAATCCAAAAGTAACACCCAACTACAATACACTGCCCCTTAAGACGCTTCATTCCTCATACGCAGCGTTCAAGAATGCTGCATATAAAAGTTGATCAAGACGTCTCATGAACCAAGTGAATCGTCCCTTCTCTTGACTACGCAGTGCACGAGATCGATGGTAGCAAGGCATGTGTCCTTGGTCAAAGCACCGATGGCGGTGTCTTGACGAGTGGCAGTTGGCATTTCGGACGAGAGAGGCCGCGATGCAAAACACGCATTCGATGCGGGCCGGCACTAACGCGTTGTGCCGGGTAACAGCTGCGCGAGGCGACGATGGCTGCACTCGTGAAAACTCACGGAACCCAGTTCTATGCGATCGAATTCAAGTCTCACGTCGCTTGCAAGCTCATGACTCCCTTGCGAGCGCCGAGGTATAAAAGCCCACGATCAACCAGGGGTACGTAAATCTATGTACCCCTGCTCCCAACCTCCTCCTCTTAACCGGTGGGACCGACGACTCGCTGCTCTCAGAGTTTAATACGACACCCATCGGGCCGGCGACAATGAGGGGCACGCGGGAAATGGCTCTTGGTGGTTTGATGCAAGCCCAACATGTAGAACAAGTAAATGGGTTTTACGACCAGACATGATCTCGGCGCTCGGTAGAGAGTGGCTGAAGCATATCTCCTCGTGTTAAAGCAGACAGCTTTGTCTCTTCCATCTAGTGTCGTCGGCGTAAGAACGATGGTTGAAGTGGGTCTAACGTTAGTCGTTTTCGGAACCGGTTGAAGCGTGGACGGTCGGCGCGTCTGATTGGCTAAAATGCAGCGCTTCGCTTCCGAAGATCTCAAGCCCAATACATAGCGGTCACCACAGAACCGCAACGGCAGCAGGAGCATGATGGTAGACGACGGGGCCGGGCGCAGCGCGTCCGAGACAAGCGCGCTCTTGCCAGCGCTGGGCATCAAGTCGGTCGAGCCCGAGTTCCGGCGCTCGTTCAAGAGCAAGCGCCGGGCCTTTCTGCACGAGGCGCGTGCGATCTGGAAGATGGCGTGGAAGGTCTCGCTTGTGACCGTGTGCCAGACGTCGCTGCCAACGATCAGCGCAGCGTTCCTGGGGCACCTCGGCAACGACGAGCTCGCGGGCAGCGCGCTGGCCAACATTTGGATTTCCGGCGTCCAAGTTGTCATCTACGGCTTTGCCGTCGCCCTCTGTACGGTACGACCACGCTTTGCCGCATCTTGACGCTCATCATGGGCGAGTAGCTCTGCGGGCAAGCGTATGGCGCCGAGAACTACGAGCTCGTGGGCATTTGGCTCCAGCTTGGTATCGTCTTCTTGACGCTCTTTTCGATTCCCGTGTGCATTTCCTTCTTTTACGTCGACGTGATCCTCGCGGGCCTCAGCGACGACGTCGTCGTGCTGCAGTTTGCAAGCACGTACGCGAAATGGTCGGCGCTGAGCATTTGGCCGCAGTGCGTCTACTACGCGCTTCGGTACGTCCCATGGCGTCGCTCTATTATGATGATGATGCCTCTGCATGTGTAGGCAGTACTTCAGGCCCAAGAGATTGTGACACCGGCGACCGTCATCAACGTGCTCAGCGTCTTTGTGTGCATTGGCGCCAACTACGTGTTGATCTTTGGCATCCCCCCCTACTTTGACGGGCTCGGTTTTATCGGGTCGCCATTGGCGCAGTGCATTGCGTCGATTTTCCAGCCGCTCTCGCTCATCCTGTATGCGTGCTACTTCCAGCGGCACCACGAGAAGACATGGTATGGCTTTACGTGGGCCTGCCTCGAGCGCGACCGCGTCAAGCGCTTTCTCCTCCTCTCGATGGGCATGACGATCAACATGGCCATGGACGAATGGGTCTACTCGATCGCGACGTCGCTCGCGTCGTATCTCGGACCCGTCGTGCTCTCAGCCAACAGCATCCTCTTCAACCTCTGGAACCTCGTCTTTGGCGTCTACTGGGGCTTTGGCCTTCCGACCCAAGTCCGCGTCGCCAACTTTCTCGGGTCATATCAGCCCGAGCGGGCCAAGACGACGATGCTCGTGGGCTTTGTCCTGGGCACGGCTGCCAGCGTCGGGTCGGCGCTCGTCGTGTACATCTTTCGGTATCCGATCGTGGCGGCGTTCACCCCCGACGCCGAGCTCCAAGCCACGATCCACTTGGCGCTGCCGATCTTTTGCATTGGCGTTGCGCTCTCGGGCTTGCACCTTGTGCTCGCCGCCGTCGTCGAAGGCATGTCGCTCGCGTCGACGCTTGTGTGCATCACGGGTGTCGGGTCGTGGGCCATCTTGTTGCCAGCTGCGTATGTGTTTGGTATCGTATGGAACCAAGGCCTTCCAGGGCTCTGGTGGGGCAGGTACAGTCTGCGTCCTTGATACTACCTCTGAAAAGGATGTAGTGTGCTCGGGGAGCTCGCCAAGTTTGTCATGATGGCGTTCTTCCTCTCGCGCATCAACTGGGAAGAAATGGCGATCCTCGCCGTCAAAATGTCGGAAGGCGAGCTCGACGACGACGAGGTCGAAGCCGATGTGATCCAACGCATGACACGGTCCATGTCGACGCCGTCGCTCTTGAGCAACCCCGTGCTCTCCAACTTTTCGACGCCGCAACAAGTGCGCCCGTTGCACCGGCTCACGGACGACGAGCGCATGACGCACCTCCTGCACGCCCACCAACACGCGACGCGCAACTATGGCACGAGCGAGAGTTTGTAAAACGACTTGTGCACAAGCATCTTGTTGTTGTTGTTGTTGTTGTCTGCAATACAACGCACACACGCTCGAGTGTCTACGCGTCGTCGTCGCCTTGCTCGTCGTCCGACTCGGTCGCGCGGCCCGCGTTGCGCAAGGCCGCCGCCTCTTTTTGGACTTTCCACTCGTCGAACGGCAATGTCGCATAGCTGAACGGGAACGCGTCGAGCTGGAGGAGCCAGAGCGGGAAGATCGCGTGCTGCTCTTCCTTTTCCATGATTTCGGGGAAGATCTGGTCGTGCTTGAACGCCTCGATGCGCGCGAGCTGCGCGGGCTCGTCAAACTCCAAGCTCGGCCGGTGGTTTTCATTCTTGTCGTTGTACACGTCAAAGTGCGCCTTGGCAAGGTACAAGCCGGCGCTCGGCGCCTTGGGGAGATCCATCTTGGTCTGTTCGAACGCTTTCGAGATCGTTGCGATCGGGGTCGCGCCGCGGATGACGTCGATCATCGTGCCAATCATCTTGCGGATGTGGTGCAAGAGGAAGCTTTGGCCGATCACGCGCATCCGAATCCACTCGGAGCCGTTGAGCACGAACGGCTTGTCGGCCTTGAACGACATGATGTACCGGTTGCACCTACCATGGTTGCGTATCAACACTGGATACAAAAAACATTGGATCCATAGATGGTAGGATGGAATGTGTACTTGGGGCTGTACGGCGGCAGCTTGGACGTAAAGTTGTGAAAGTTGTGCGTGCCTTCGTAGAGCGCCAAAGTTGCTTGGATCTTGTCGTACGTGGCGTCGTCGAGACGGTACTCCTTTTGCTTTTGCCACGCCGCCGGGTCGACAGCGAGGTTGGTAAAGAGCTCGTTTGCGTGCGCGTCCCACGGCTGGTCGTTCGAGACGGCCGACGAGGACGGCGCGGCCGATGGCTGAAACACAAACGTCGGGGCAAGGTACTCGTATGTGCGGCGGTCGCACGAGTTTTTCGCGTTAAAGTTCTTGGTCACCGCGACGACTTCGAGGACTAGGAAGGAGGAGGAGAAGCATGAGGCATATATGAGCATGACGCTGAGTACCGCGAATGTCCTTGGGCAAGAACGAGTTGACCTTGTCGCGGAACTCGTCTTCGGTGCCTTCGACGCACAGCTTGGCACAGACGAGCTGCCCGGCAGCGTGGACACCCTTGTCCGTGCGCGCGGCGCGGTTCCAGCCAATCTACATGACGTGTTGGTCGTGAGAATCATCGATTCACGTAGTCTCGACGACAGACCTTTTGGATAAAGCCATAGTTGCAGCGCGCAATGGCGCCGGCGTTGTACAGCGCTTGCTCGAGCTCGGCCTCGACCGTCTTGACGCCAATGTTCCTACATCCGATGTTGAGCATCTCGCCGCCGACGCCGCCAGCGTACATTTGCATGCCCGAGTACTCGCGGCCACAGTAGGCAATGAGGAGGCCATAGCGGCGCTTCGGGCCCGTTCCGCACTTGTCGGACGTGTCGGTCGGGTCGAGTTGCGCCGCGTACGAGCCGGGGTGGATCGCTGTCGGGAAGTGGTTGCGCCGGTCAAAGTCGTCGTCTGCCGGCTTCTTCGTAGCCTCAGAAGCATCGTCTTCGCCCTCGGCCTCCTTCTTGACCTTCTTGGCCTGCTTCTTCTCGTACCAATGGACGCGCTTGCGCTGCTTCCCGGCCATGCTGCGTTGCTTTTGGATAAGGTCATGAGCGAGCATCCGTATACCGACATCCGTATCCGTAACTCGTACCTAGCGTGCCTTCTTAAGTGCGCTTTCGATCGCCGCAGTAAGAACACGGCAGCGGACACCCGCACTTGACCGGGTCTCATTCAAAATGACTGGTCGAGGCGGGGATGCATATTATAATACACGCCGCATACAAACATCCAATGGTAAATAAACTGAGCGACAAAATGTTTATTGGTGGAGAGTGTGGCTGGTCCAAAGCCTATGGCGGGTGCATGGGCTTTCGCCATTGGGCTTTAGTTTCTTTTGACGTGTAAAGTTAAGCAATGGTACGTGGCCGACGCAGGAAGATGATGCACGTGCATGCAGAAGCTCATGGTGGCTACCGTAGACCTTCTCCCGCTTCGTGACGATCGGCCGTGTGGCTCTCATTAACTACGGCCCCGACGCCGGCAAGCTCGCCACCATCATCGACGTTGTCGACGAGAACAAGTGCCTCGTGGAGGGCCCGTACTCGGTCACGGGTGTCAACCGCCACGTCATCTCGTTCAAGCGCCTTGCGTTGACGGACCTGACGGTCAAGATCCCGCGCCAGGCGCGCGAGGCGACCTTGAAGAAGGCGCTTATCAAGGCCGACACCCTCAACAAGTGGGCCGCTACGGCCTGGTCCAAGAAGATGGAGGCCAAGAAGACGCGCGCGGGTCTTAACGACTTTGACCGCTTCAAGGCCATGATTGCCCGCAAGCAGAAGTCGAGCTTGATCAAGAAGGCCGCCGCCGCCGCCAAGAAGAACTAAATTGCTTTTGCCAGCCACATGGTGATTGAGGATGACCTTCTTGAATGGTAGTAGTCTTGCTTACATTTTGGGCGTCCCACCCGACTAGAATAGCCCTTCCATCCGAGTAGACGCACCTATGAACCTAATGCACGACGTCGAAACACATGCACTTGACTTGACATCCTGACGTCAACGTTGGAAGTTGGACCTCATGGACCATGAGGTCGAACTTCCGAAGCACCATGAGTCATGGTGCTTCGGCTTGATCGACATCGATACCATTCGGCCATGTGCCCTTCGGCCGACCTGGCATGTCTCGTCCGGCGGCAGGCGACAGGGACAGGTCAGGTCACGGCGACACCACAACACAGGCTTGCAACGGAACCATCGAGCTTATAGCCTCGAGCGTCAAGAAGTTGGCATTTGGCCGTTGCGCGCGTCGAGTTCCATAGTCCTGCCACAAGGGCAGCACTAAGGCATAACCCACACCCTTGTAGCACTGAAGAAGCATGAGGAGCTGCAGTATACTTTCCGTGCACAAGTGATGCGCAGTAGACTTGGCATCAACGCACCGACCCATCATCGTCTCTTCAAGTCCATCGCTACCCTGTTATTGACGGAAGGTGGTAGCAGCCTGCCGTAATCCAGTCGCGATGACGGTAGATGATGACGCTATCAACGTCGTCGATTCCAGTCGAGCTCACGTGAACTGAGTGGGCAATGTCAACGACGGCAAAAGCAGAAAGTGACAGAGTCAAAAAAGTAGATTCCCCATTGGTTTCTCTTACATGTCGACAAGAGACATTTAGTTCTTGGCAGCGTGGGCCTTCTTCTGGGCGACACGGGCCTTGAACTGCGAGAGCGAGCGCTTGGCCTGCTTCTTGTACTTGGGGTCCGCCTTGAAGGGCTTCTTCTCGGCCGGCGTGGGGTCCTCGCGGATGGCCTCGTGCACCGAAGCGTACAAGTCCTCCATGTCGTCCGACGTGATGCCAGCCTTGATGTAGTCGGCGAAGTGCTTCTGGTACATCTCCGGGTCATCTTCCTCGAGCTCCTTCATGTGGTTCGAGATGTGGTCGCCGAAAATGCGCTCCTTGTGGACCTCAGCGTCGTACGACTTGGCGTCGCGGTCGTAGCCGGGGAAGCGCTTCTCCGAGTGCGGGATGTCGAGGCCGGCATCGGTGGCACCCTTGAGGGCACCGAAGACACGGTTACCCGTCGAGGTCGAGCGGAGGCCGACGTCGAGGAAGGCGCGGAAGGGGCGCTTCTCGTCGGCGACTTCGGCGACGTAGTACGTGCGGCCGTTGGCTTCCGTCTTGACGACTTCGCCATCAACCTCCGTGTTGCCCTCGTAGTCACCGTCAAGGCCAAGCTTGTTCAACAAGCGGCGGCCGACAAGGAGACCCGTGCAGTAGGCAGCCGGGTAGTTCTTGAAGCCGCACTTGAGGCCGTAGCGCTTGAGCTCATCCGAGTACGCCGAGGCGAGGATCTTGTCGCCGTCAATCTCGGCGTACGCGATCTGGCAGATGACGCGCTTGTTGGTGATGCGCACGACAAGGCGGTACTTGGGCGAGTTGTACTTGTTCTTGTCCTGCGTGATCAGGCGCTTGCGGGCGCGGTAGTCCGTCTTGCCCTCGCGGCGGCGGCGGTACTTGGTCTGGTAGCGCTTGAAGTAAGCCTTGCTCTTGTTCACCTTGACGAAGGCCATGGTTATTCAATGGGGAATTAGAGAATGGAAATAATTGCCAAGCTGGACATGCCAGAGCCACCAATCGTTGATATCCAACCAATCACAGCGTCACCCACCCGGTTAATCGGTACTTTCAGCCAATCACACACCCTCATTTGAAACGCGCTGGCCACACGATTCCCCACCCTGGTTAACCAGCACCACATGGCAGCGCAAGCAGCAGGGCAGGCAGCCAGCATGACCCTGCGCTGCGATGGCCGTCGGGTCCAGCGTACGAAGGCAAGGCGAGCATGCTGCGAGTGTCTACAGCGAACAAGGATGGGCGCGCCCGAGATGGCAACGACCAGCGACTCGAGGTGGTGCCAAAAGGCTGTCGTAGCGCATGGAAGGAGGGTCCTGCATGCATGGTAGCGGGCATGGGCTACGGAACGCAGCAATACGATATGTACCAAGTCGACGTTATGCATACTAAGATCTTACTACGGGTGCTGCTGGAGCTCGGTGAGGCGGCGCTGAATCGCGAGGAAAAGCTTCGACGGTGCCTCCTTGGATGGCGGGACAGGATCGTCGCTTTCGCTTGAGAGGCTCTGGCGCATGAGCGCACCTACCTCCAAGAGCAGATCCCAGCGCGTCTCGTCGCTGACCGTGGACGGTCGGTGGCGTCGGAGGCGCACGTGGAGGTGGTCGCCTTGGCGCTGCTTGAGCACGGGCACAATGAGGACCAGGAAGGCGTCCTTGACGTCGTCGCTAAGGCTCCGGAAGCGAAAGTGACTGCTTTCCTCGTGGCCGTCAATGTCACCCGTCGCAACGTACGAGAGCCATAGCTTGGCGGCTTGCTGCTCGGCGACGCTCGCACTCCAGCTCGTCATGATGTGGTCGACCTCGGGCGAGTGGATGCCAAAGACAGGAGTTGGTCCCACATAACTAGATACACTCCTAAGATCAAGGCGCCCGTAACATGGTGCGTACTTGCTCTGGACCTCGTGCCATCCATACAACTGGTCGTGCACGGCGCGGTGGCACGCGGCGACGGTCTCTCCAAGGGCGTGGGGCGGTGCCGTCGACACGAGGCGCTGGGCCAGCAACACCATCGACCAGATACGCTCGTGTGTCACCGCGTCGGACCAGTCTTCGAGCGCACGACCATGATGCGCCTAGCGAAAGGATCATCAATGTCAAGGGAAGCTGCGACTCAAAGAGACCATCGTCTTGAGAAGGCTCTGCAGCTGGGAGAGGCACTGGACGAGCTTCTGGAAAGGCCCCACAACCTCGAGTAGTGTTGGCACACAGGTCGACCACGGCGCGTTTGCGTCGAGACCTGTCGTGTCGTCGACGAGCTCTGGGGCGGTCGAAGGTGATCGGGACGCTTGTAGGTTGGCGACTTGAGCAACGACGTAGACCATGGCATCGCTCTGCTCTTCTGCGAACGCCGCAAGCTCTGCTTGGCAAAAAGCACGAAGTGTCTTCCACTGGGCGCGCAGCGACGTCGCCGTCTCCACCTTGGCATGCTCGAGGCCTTCGACCTTGGTGCACAAGTCGGCCGCCATGGTCTTGAGTGGTGCTACCTGCGCGAGTTGGAAGGCCGCCCACTCCTTGCAAAGGTGTGCTTGGACGCTCGCCAGCGTCGTCTGGACGTGGTCGTGTGTGAACGCTCGGAGTGCGGCCACGTCGCTTTGCAGCTTCACCTTCTCGCGCAGGAGGGCCGCCAGCGTCGCTGGAACGTCTGAAAAGACCTTGTCCGTCTCGGTCATGACACTCGACGCATCTTGCAACTCTATGCGATGTGCTTGCTTTTGGTCGTGCTGGGCTACCGCGTCCAGCTCCTGCTTGAGGGACTGCACTTGCGACTGCAGCGCGTCCGAAACTCGCCGTACAGCATCTCGGTCTTCGAGGGTCAGCGCTAGCTGCTCTTGCAGCGTATGCTGCTGTAGAAGCAGCAGCCGCGTGTGGTCTTCAAGAGCCTCCTTGGACGCTACGTGGCCGGCCACGACAGTCCGAAGCGTCGTCACTTCGTCTTGGAGCACGTGCTTTTCCAGGAGTACAATCGCGTTGGTTTGCTGCAGACCGAGGACCTCAGCCTCGTGCGTCGCCTGGCGCTCCTTGAGGCTGTTCTGACTCGCGTTCTGGTGCGCGACCAAGGTGGCGCGGCATTGCGCGAGCTCCGCTAGCGCCTCTTCGCGGTACCGATGCGCAAGCGCAAGCTCATCTCGCAAAGCTTGAACTTCGATCGCATGCTTGCGCTCGGCAGCTTCAATGCCAAGGCCATGGTGTTGGCATGGCATGGACTTGGTCTCGTCCAGAGGCTTGGCCGCCAGCTCGTCGCGGAGCGCGTGCACTTGCAGTTGGTACTGCTCGAGCTGCGCCTTGAAGTGGTTGCGCAGAGATGCTGTGTCGGCCTTGGACTTGCTAAGCGCATCTTGGAGGAGCTTGATGGCTTTGTACGCGTCGCGCAGCTCCGCCATCGTCAGCCGGCAATCGAATGCAGAATACGATTTTAGCCAATGGCCTGCCACGTACGCTAGAATATCCATACTTTCCACCAATCGGAGCGTCGGATGCAGAAAAGCCAACCCACATATCTCGGCAGCAACCGCCACAAGGCATGCTCTACGGCCCCTTGTCGTTGCCACACGGCGACGCACACTTGCACAGATCACTTATGATTAACGTACGGTATTACTGCGTCGCAGGCGTCGGCCGATGGCTAATGTTTTGGGCAAACTCGGTCTCGTCGACAATGTCATAGAGGTACGCTTGGAGGATGTGCTTGAGGTAGAAGCCGATGAGGTTGCTCCACGCTTCGCCAATGTTGGCGTGCTCTCGTTGCCGAGCCAGTACATGATGACTTCAATGCACGTGCTCACGTATACGGCAAAGTGGTGCGGCCGCACATTAGGGAACACGCGATGCGCGTGGCCGAGATGGCGGCACCGGTTGATCATGCGCTCATTGCTCTCGGTCGTGCCCTGGAGCATGAACGTCATGGCTGCGATGAGTACCTCGGCGCGTTTCTTGACGGACGGGAAGACGACCTCCATACTCGCGTCGCGCTGGAAGAGGCGATGGAAGAACTCGTCCTGGAAAAGCAGAATGCCCTGCTTGTCGTACTCCTTCATGCGGTCCGTGTTGGCCATGCAAATGTCCTTCCACGACTTGGTGCAGTCGACCAAGTACGTGGCGTTGATGACGGGAAACACGGGCAAATTCGCCGGGAGGTAGTGGTGCACTTCGTTTGGTGTCGCGAGCCCGTGCGCCGTGAACGACACGGCAGGGTACTTGCTGTCGTACGCGCCCGCTTCGCCGGACCTCGCGCTGCCCTCGAGACGACTTGCCTTGGCGCCCATTGGATCTTGTATATCGGGAACTAGTGTAAAACCAACGTCGAAGCTTTGCAAGATTTTGCCGCGTTGGGCGCTGATTGGTCGGCGAAACGCCGCCGAACGAGCGCGGCCGTCGCTTCCAGTGCAGTTGCCGAGGTACATGCATGTTTCCAGTCGCCGACATCTGTTCCTTCAACCGTCGATCAAAGACTCGGCCACCGTGAGACGAGTCGTTGTGCATTGGAATGGAGCCTTGCATTTTTACCGCGACGACTGTACATGTACACCGGAACCACGGCCACCATTGTGATGCATGGGAGTCCTTGACCTTTATGTGTCGTACATGTGGCGAGTCGATGGACTCGGTGTTCAATTGCATCGGAGTTCCTGCGGAGTCCGACCTTTTGTTTGTCCACATGTGGCTCGAACACGGACGCAGCTCGTAGAATGAAGCGCTCCAACGCCGTCGAGGAGATTTTACATATATTTAGTCTGAAGCTTCGGCGCGAGATACACGTCGCCGCAGAGATTTGCACGGCAACGGCAGTGTACGGCATGGCACTTTGCAAATCCTTGCGCCATGCTCGGTCGGCTTCTTGTCTACGCGGCGTGGGTGCTCTCGGTGCTTGCAGGTACTGCTCCCGACACCAATAAGTTCTGCCTCCATTGATGCGGTGCATGGGGCGTAGCGGAGGCAAACACTACGTTTGCCGCCAGCTCCAACTCGCACGACGCCGTGATTACGACGCCACGACCAACGACGGCAGTGCTGTCAACGCCAACGACGACCGCGCCGTCGACACCAACGGTCACGCCGTCGACACCAACGGTCACGCCGTCGACACCAACGGTCACGCCGTCGACACCAACAGCCACACCTTCGACGCTGCCACGAACGACAGAGGCCATCATCACAGCACCGCCCGCAACAACCACGACACCGACGGCACGAGCGACGCCAGCTCCGACTACGGAAGCACCCCGGCCAACAACGCCTGCATTGACGACAGCTGTACCATCCCAGGTCCCGACCAAAACACCCGAGCCGACGACGACTAGACCAACGACCATGCCTTCGACAACGACACCGCGCACGGTCGCTGTCGTTCAGACGGAGTCAGCGCCAAGCACCACACCTCTCGCGCAGACCGAAGCGGTTGCCATCACGACGACCGCAGACATGATGCACCGTACGCCACCTTCTTTCGTTTCCCACAGACATATCACCATGCACTTTAGCTGGTTCCTCGACCTCGGCTACACCTGCCGCCACGAGCTCGACACCATCGCCCGAAAACACGGGCAGCAACAAGCAAGCGGGGACGTCATCCGCGGCACCAACGAGTCCGCTGGTCGTTTCGGTGGTCGTCATCTTGTTTGTGCTCTGCATTGTTCTTGCGCTCCTCACAGCGATTTGCATCTGCCGACGGCGCGCAAAAAGAAAACAACGACGACGACGACGATCTTCGGACGCCGCCGACGCTCCTCAGCTTCAAGTCGTCGTCGGCGTCGTCGGCGCCAACGTGCTTGGCGTCGCAGCTGCCATTGACAACGCCCAAGAGCCTACCCGACGCGCGCTTTGAGTACGAGCCGTCGTACGCTTTGGAGGCCTTTCACCGCGAACTCGACCCGTTTGAGATGGAGACCGAGTCATATGGCAATGACTCCAAGCCCGACTACGCCGAGTTTCTCATGCTGGAGCAGACGCCGCGGAGCTCGAGCCAGTCCGAGACGTTGTATGCAGCGAGCTCGCCCCGTAGTTCGAACGAGTCGATCTTCCTTCCGACGCAAAACGAGTGGATTGACGCCATGGACCGCGATTCGCGTCTCGACGACGACGAGCTCGACGATGCGCGGAGTACGACCGGGTCGACCGTTCGCCGACACAACGAACCTGCATCGCCCACCGTTGCAAGTAGCTACACAGTCTAGTGCGAACGTTGTCGATGTAGTATATTTTGGTTGGACTCTTGACGTTGTCCTCTTCTTTACTTCCACGTTGGCGTCACGGGTGCCGTTTCCACGACGCCCAGACGCGGCTTGGGCGGTGGCGCCACATTCGGCTTTTTCGATGCAGCGTGCAAGAGCGAAGTGGACGGAACCTCGAGGACCGTTCGAAAACCATGCGTACTCGGTGGGGCATTCGCTGCCTGCACCATGGCGACGAGGAGCGCCTCAAGCTTGTCTTTGGCACGGCGCTCGGCGTCACATGCGTCCCGAAGGACGGTGATGGTATGTTTGTCACTCGTTTCTTGCTCGACGTGACGCCGCAGCCGCAACTAACCTCTGTGCATGTCACCTTATTCAGTGGCGTCGATGCAAAGTAGTACCTGCAACTCCTCGAGGGACTCTCGCTGGGCGCGGACTTGGTCCATCAAGACGGCGTTGTTGGCATGCGACGTGGCCAAGAGCGCTTGGAGCTCGTCGTTGCGCGCGGCCGTCGCGCGGGCCGTCGTCGTCAAGTCCTCCTCCGTGCACGCGTTGCGCTGGACAGCGTCTCGTAGCTCCACGCGCAGTAGCCGTAGCTCGTCTTTGAGCCGTCTATCTGCGTCGATCCATCCCGCAGAACCGTCATTGCGTCGTGTAGTACGTGATTTCGTGTTCTTGGCCGAGGGCAATGTCCTTCCACTTGGTCTCGGTCGTTGCGCGCGCCTCGGCGATCGACGCCTGCTCGTGCGCCTACGCGGAAGCGCTAAACATCGTTGGAGCATATTCGAGGCAGTTGTACGAGCTGCGTCACAAGGGCCACGGTGCTTTGCTCGGCGGCGACGAGGAGCGTCTCACAGCGCAGAAGGGGTGGTGCACCGAGGTCGGGCATGGAAGACTCTGTTTTCCGGGCAGATTTGACGGCGGGTGCGGCCTCCTAGAAGAGCAGTGGAGGATGAAGCGAGAGGTGCGTGTCTATTGTATTGGTACTTGTAGCTCGAGCATTTTGCGAAGCCCGTCGAGCTCCGATTGAATGTGGCGCTAGTCGATTGCGGAAATATCTTTGTGCGTCGTCGGTGCATCCGTCATTGTTGTACTACCTGAATGGCGCTGAGCGATCCGTACCGTCCATCGTCGCCGTGACGGTTCATGGCGCGGCTTGCAAGATACATGCTCCACCAGTTACATTCTTGTTAGTATCAAGTGGCGAGGTTGATATATAATACATTAGAGTGCGTGTAACTAGACTTGGACCATGAAGCGTGCGATGATCGTCGGCTTTTGGTGATCAACAAGGGGTCTAGCGAAACCCACACCGCCTCGACGTCCCCGCAACTGGGCCGAGCGGATCTCGACACATTTTTTGAAAAACACACAAGTCAATACAAATAATAATGGCGCCAAGAGGAGTCATTGTTAATTTCAAACCGATAGGATGACCAGACGTTGAGCGGAAGATTTACAAGCACTGCTTGATGAACTTGTTGATCTCCTCGCCGCGGTTACCGTGGTCGCCGCCTTCGTTGTAGTGGAGGAGCTTCTGCGTGTAGCCGCCGTTGGGCGACGAGAGCTGGAACGGCCAGAGGAAGTTGGAGGCTTCCTTGAAGTGCGGGCCGCACGTGAAGATCTCGTGGATCAAGTCTTCGATACAGATGATGCCGAACTTGCCGAGGACCTTCTCAACGAGGGCGTTGTCCGTAAGGGCAATGCGCTGCTTGTTGATCTTGCCGAAGCCACGCTTGTAGATGAGCTCGCGCGTCGACTTGAGGTTGGGGTAACCGTAGGCGATGAAGGGCTCGACAAGGCGGAGCATGTTGATCGTGGCCTTGTTGAGCTTCACGAACACACCGTTCTGGATCTGGACGAGGCGGAAGAGCTTCAGAATCTTGCGGACCTTGGGCGAGACGCCGATGATACCGCGGATGCGGATCACGAAGGCGACCTTGGCCTCGGCCGGGACGTAGAAGTTGCCGGCGGCCTTGGCTTGGCGGCGGAGGAGGACGTTCTGCTTCTCGATCTATAGAGAGTGCACATGAGACCATGGCTCGAGCACGGGCGACAGTGTTGCAACGTACAGCGCGGTACTCCTTGACGTACTTCTCGGCCGACTTGAAGGCGATCTGGCGGACCTGGGCGCGGTGCTTCTTGGAAGCGACCGAAGCCTCAGCCTTCTTGGTCTTGACGGCCTCGAGCGTGCGGCGCTTCTTGAGGATCGACTCCGGGACGAGCCTACACAGGGCGTCAATATGGGGCTCTCGCTTGCGGCGACCGTTCCCAGCGCATACACGCCATAGGTACTAGGGCCGAAGCCTCATCGGATCCACAGAGGCCGTCACGGCGTGTGCCCGAGCGTCGATTTCAGCAGAGTTGCAAGAGCAACACATGCCACAGTCCTCAGCGTTGGTGCGTTTGCGGCACAACGAGAGAGTGATGGAAGGTAGCGGCGTTCGCCACGGCCCGCCCTTGCTGTGCGCAAAGCAGGCCCTTCCACAATGGATTTCAAGAGAAAGGCCCAAAGGCCTTACATCTCACAGTCCCCAAGCGGATGCTCGGGAGGGGCTCATGACGCGAGTGCATCCCACGATGCACCGCGGGAGATCGAAGAGGGTCCGGCCGACCCAGTGGGCGCGCACGCGTGGGTGCAGCCATGACGGCGTCGCACTTACACGGTGTTCGACTTGGCCTTGGCGGCGGTCTTGGGGGCAACGGCCTTGGCAGCGGGCTTGACGGGGGCCATTTTTCTTACTGGTCGGTTTGAAAATGACTTTGCCTCAGCGTTGTATACCTCGATCGGCCGTGATCCGAACCACCCACCGGGACGTCGCATCTCATTGGCCAAAATTCAACCCTCCTCTCACGTGATTGGCTCTATGGCTCCGACCACCAATCGCCGCTTTGGATGCCGGATAAAAGATGCGACACGTCGCTTTTACCGGACGTGACACCCGACACCATGCTCGGCCGATCTACGCATCGCCGAGGCAACGCGTCCAGCGTCCATCGTGTACTACGGGTATGGCGACGGAGTGGGCAGGAGCCGACACGATGACAGATTCAACACCTTGGATCGCGGGCTAATCATTCTACCTATCTAATACACTTGTGCTTTGGACTATATTTACCCAACGGTTTCGTCGCCGCCGAGTTGTCGGACGCTGTTGTGGTGGTGTTGCAGCGCAATGGCAGGGCCCGCGTACACAACCTTTAGCGTCTACGGCACGCTCTTCAAGGTAGATGTGCGCTATCAGTTTATCGCAGCACTTGGGCGCGGCTCGTATGGCATCGTGTGGTACGAACGATGCTGTCTCCTTTCTTCTTCTTCTATACTAAACGAACTCATTAGCTCGGCCAAGGACGTTGCGACGGGTGAGAAAGTTGCTATCAAGCGCGTGTCGCCCATGGCCCGCAAGACGAGCGATGCCAAGCACACGCTGCGCGAAATCAGCCTCATGCAATGCCTTGGCAACCACCCGAATGTGCTTTGTGCCTACCGATAGATGGATGAATCTCAAGCGAACGAAACGCGGTAGATCATTAGCATCAAGGACATGTGCGTCAACGTCGCCGACGACGAGCTGTACATCATCATGGACTTTATGGACACGGACATGCACCGCGTGATCCAGAGCAGCCAGGTACACTTCGACCCACTCGAGCTGACGAACGCCCACGTTAAATAGGCGCTCTCGGACTCGCACCACCGGTACTTTCTCCACCAAGTGCTGCGCGGCGTCAAGCATATGCACGACAATGGCATTCTGCACCGGGACCTCAAGCCCGGCAACATTCTCGTCACGAAAAGCTGCCAAGTCAAGATTGCCGACTTTGGCTTGGCGCGAACGTGTACGCGGAATAGCGAGAAGCGCAAGGCGCGGCCTGCCTCGGCGACAATGACCAAGGTCGACACCGCTACGGACGCCGGCGACTGGCAACCCATGACGGAGCACGTCGTGACGCGCTGGTACCGGGCACCGGAGCTCATGCTGCAGCCCGATGGCCACTACAGCACGGGTGTCGACATGTGGTCGATCGGGTGCATCTTCGCCGAGGTATCCAAGCCACTCGTCATCTTCCAACGTACGCGATGGAATACGACCGATGCGGTTTAGATGCTCGGGCGCAAGGCGATTTTTCCGGGCAAAAACTTTATCCACCAGCTCACGCTCATTTTTGACGTGATTGGAACACCGTGTGCGAGCGACGTCAAGAAGATGAAGAGCGCGCAGGCGCAGCGCTTCATCAAGTCGCTCGGAAAAAACCAAAAGTGCCGTTCCGAACCGTGTTTCCGTCGGCGACGCCGGAAGCGATCGACCTCCTCGAGCGCATGTTGCACTTTGACCCGGTGAGCCGGTGCTCGGTCGACGAAGCGCTCAAGCACCCGTACATGCAAGCCATCGAGCGCCGGTATACGCCCAAGGACGTCATCGTCCCGACGCACATTTCGTTTGCGTTCGAGCAAGAAAACCTCGGCCGCAACGAGCTCGTGCAGCTGATTGTGACCCAAGTCGAAGCGTTTAGCGGCCGAACGTCGCAGACACCCGCGGGCATCCGTACGATCCACGCCCTCGCGCAGCAGTCGCGCGGCCGCGTGACGCTCGAGAACCCAGAGCTCATGAAGTCGATGATGACCGAGGTCACGGAGGTGCCCAAGACGACCCGTCCTCCCAGTGCGTCGAGGATACGCAGTGCAGCGGTCGCACCTGGACCCAAGCCAACGACCACCAATGCTCTCTTGACGGCCACCAGCATTGCCTCAACGTCAACGCCTTCGACGATTACAACGAGCGCCAAGCCGCGTCCCGCCAGCGCGCACCCAACCCGCGCACCACCACCGATGCTACCGACGCGAACGACGCTCGTGTGCAAGGAAGCAAAGGACGAAGATGACAAGGAAGTCGAAGATGCCGAAGCCAAAGAGATTGCGCCGGCCAAGCCCGTGGGGCCTGCGAGTGATTCGTCGTCGTCGTCATCGGACGAGGATGTGGACGACAAGCCGGTCGTGCCGGCGGCCGTCGCACGCCCCAAGTCGGCGCCCATTCGGGGAGGCACCGCGCTCAAGCACGCCGCGCCGTGTGTCGCGTCGACGTCGTCCCTCATCCGCGCCCAGCGTGCCAACCAGGCCAAGCCAACAACGAGTACCAAGCCCGCGCCATTGACGCGGACCGAGTCGGCGCATGAGATCACAGACGCCGAGGTCAAGGGCAAGGGCAAGAAGCTCACGGTGCCGGTGAGCCCCAAGTTCTCCGTCATGTCGTGGCAAAAACAGAAAAAGCCCGCGATCGCGACGCGCAGTAGCACCCGCGTCAAGAAGATACGATAGCCAGTGTCGTATTTAACACTAACCTACTACACCACCACCCGCTTGACCGTCCTCCTTCTTCTCTACGATGCGAGGCATGACGAATCATGCATGGAGAACTCGATTGAAAGTTATTTAAGCACGCTCGGCGGGCTGGATGTCGCGCTGCCACTGGGCGACGGCATCGCGCGGCAAGTGCAACGACGCACTTCCGGACGTGGCACGAAGGTCCTGCTCGCGACCAACCGTCGCCGCCACGACAGGGACGTTGGCCATCGCATCGGTGGGGAACTCGTCGTCACTGTCGTCCAGCGCCGCCTGCGCCTTCGCCGCCTACTGATGTACATGAGCGACCTTGTCTTTTCAAAGTCGATCGCAGCTACCTTGTGGGCTTGGCGGGCCGCACGCGTCTTGTCGATCGAGGTGGCGGCCGACGCCAGGTTGAGCGCCGACGTCATCTGGACAAACTGGTCGTCGTCCGTGTCGGCCGTCACCGACGTCGAGTACTGGCTCTTGTGACCAAAGAGCAGCGCCCGCTCGCGCTCTTCCGCGTCTTCGTCGTCGCTCTCGGACTCGTCGCTGCTGAGACGCGGCAGCGCAGGCGTCTTCTTGCCAAAAAGCAGTTCGCGCTGACGCTCCTCCTCGTCTTGGCTGTCATACTCGTCCTCGTCGTCGTCGTCGTCCCCGGGCATCATCATGCGGTTCTTGCGCACCGCTTCTTCGGCTTGGCAGTTGGACAAGTACGTTTCCTACAAGGACATAAGCGATCGCAGCGTCCGCAGAAGGCGGGGGTACCTGCGCGACCTGGACCTCCTCGCTCGTCTCGCAGGCTGCATACGCGTCGAGCGCTTCCGCGTTGAGCTTGAGGAACTCCAAGCCCCACGGAAACTCGTCCATGAGCTGGATCGCTTCGTCTTGCATGCCCACAATGTAGAGCGTCGCGGCAATCGCTTCGACGCACGTGAGCTTGAAGGGCTTGCCATAGTTGACCGTGTTGGCCGCAACGAGCATCGGCAGCAAGCGGTGGCTGCCCGACTTGATCTGCTTGATGGGCATCTCTTGGACGCGCGCCCACGAGCAGTCAATGACCGAGATGCCAATCGAGGTGACGATCGAGAGGTCTTCACGCGACACGACCTTTTCGCCGTGCGGGGAGAGCACGATCCCGCGAAAGTGCGCGCCAGGCTTCATGCTCTTGACGTACCCGAGACGGCATAGCTTCCGGCCCGTGCAGCGCTTGGCGTCGCACTGGTTGAAGTCCCACATGCGCAGCGTGACCGGGAACGACCGGCGGGCGAACGCGAGGTCCGACTCTTCCTCACCTTGCGTCTCGTCCGGCGGTGCGCCCCGGCGCTTGTTGAGCTTCTCGCCTTTCGACGAGCCACCCTTGCCGCCGCCCTTGCCACCGCCCTGCTTGGCTTCCTTCTTCCCGCTTGCCTTCTTGCCTCGCGCGTCCATCGTTGTCCTTTCTGCGAAATGGCATGGGAGAGCGTCACGAAGCGCTGTGATTGGCTCCTCGATACAATGGCCAGTTGTTTGCCGGGTCCATCGCGGCAACCAGCCACTGAAGGTACGGGTCGCCGTGACGTGGGATGGACCTGCTTGCTACCCACGCTACTGCACCAGAAGGCGAGGGCCATGCACCGCAAGGGCTTCGTTCGCCTTCCGCTGCGTGTCCTGGTGGGTGTGGGCGCCCCTTCATTTATCTGCCACGACGTCATCTGCATACAAACGGCAAGATAGATGGGCATCCAAATATCGGCCACGAGGTGGTCGGCAATAAACTGCTGTATTGCAGCACGGACCAATCAGATGCTGAATAGATTCCACCAGTCATTTTCGTCGCGCATCCAGTGGGCTTCAATTTGCACAAGTAACTGGTCGACGCCCAAGCATGTCCAAGCGGTCCGTGGAGCTCTCGTTCGACGCCAAGCAGGCCGACTCGGCGCCCGTCCTCGGTACGCTGCGCCTTATGCTTCGATCGTACAGCCAACGTTGTGCTAGTGTCCTTCCGCGGCGGCCCACCCAAGGTCTCGTCCGACTTTCACTTTCAAATGTATGAGAACGCGGCCAAGAAGCGCAAGATTGTGGTCGCGGATGCGGACAAGGTGTCGTACCAGGCCGCCAACTTTGGCCACGGCAACGCCAACAACGATCTCTCGAGCTACGTGGTGGGCGTCTTTGACAAGGCGACCCAGAGCGTCCAGCTCTATAACGTCGATCAGCTCTACGTGCTGCAGCAGTCGGTCCGTGGCTTCCGCGAGCGCGTCGACGAAAACACGCAGGACGACAAGTCGTACGCGCAGCGCACGGCCGAGCTCGTCAACGCCTTTGGCTCCAAGGTCAGCAAGCGCATCGTCAAGAGCCGCGAAGACAACAAGGTCCAAGTCGGCAACATCACGGGCGCAAGCGCGATCACGCAAGCGCTCACGCAAAAGGCCGTCTCGACCGCCGAAGAGCTCGCGATCAAGCGCGCCAACGACCCCAAGTACACGCCGGGTACGTCACTGCATACACACTTTCAACACAAAGGATCGATCATCACACGACAATGCAGATTCGGGGGCCATGGACGCGACGCGTGCGGCCGTCTTGCCGCCGTGCAACCTCGATGCGGTCACGCCCGACAAGGTCTACGACCTCGACAAGTGTACGCCTTTACAATTGCTGCTGCTGTTTTGGCGCAACATACTCATCGACAACGTCTAGTCTTGAGCGACGACGTGATGGAATCGTTGTACCTCAAGGCGGACGAGCTCATCGGTCTCCTCGAGACATGCCCGCTCACAGAGTTTTTGGACAAGAACAAGGTGCCCGCGGCCGCCTACATCCGCCAAGTCATGACGACGCTGCCCAAGCCGTTTGACCGCAAGAAGGTCGCGCTGATGCTGTACGTCATGTACCTCGTGCAGTTTTTCCACGCGCGCTTCCCGGTGCACGCGTCGCCCGCGGCCTTGAGCTTGACGCTCAACATCCCGCACGTGGTTGTCGAGCAGGTCCTTGCGACGTTTGCCGAGGCGGTCGTCGGTCTCAGCGGCAAGACGAGGTATCTCTTTTTCTTATTGATGCACCGACCGGATCGAATCAATATGGTGTAGCTATGCGCAGTCCAAGATGCTGAAGGACAAGCTGCTCCTGTACCTGCTCGTGGTCGCCTTGACCATCGGCGGCTTTAGCTTGGACTTGACGGCGATTGCGGCCGACCTCAAGCGTGCGGCGTCCAAGTACGATGCGCGGATCTTGTCGTGTGGCATGGGTTGACTTGAAGCTGTGTAGCTTGGCGCAATATGCCCGCATGATTGGGTGCCGGACAGACGCGGTCAAGGCCGAGGGTGGTCTGTACGCCAAGAGCTCGGCGGTCAAGGACAAGAAGACCATGGCGACGCGCGCGGTGCTCTCGGTGCCGCTCGTCTTTCCGACGGCCAAGAAGGGCTCGAACCGCCGTTAAAATCGGTTTGTCTCCGAGCTAATCTACTAGTACTACATTTATATCGACGTGGGCGGTCTTGAGATCGACGCGAGCGATGGTCTCTGCATCGATGTGCTACCTGTCGCACCGCACCCCGGAACCCAGCTGACGACGACGCCAATGAACGCCCGAGGTGGCCACATGAACCCCTCATCATCTCCGCCAATGTTGGAGCTTGGGGTTTTGTCGCCCCGCGCCAAGATGACACCGCTGTATGCCGACGATTTTGTCATCCTCTCGTTCGTTGTTAACTAATCAGAGGCGGCCTGTCGACTTCGGCGAAACCGGCACGTCGCGTTGGTTTCGGGCAAGGGAAGGGATTCCCTTGGGCTCGGGCCACCTTGTATCCTGACGGCAGCTCAAACAAAACGGCTCACATCCGTGATTCGCCCGCGCGCCGAAGAGACACTTGCCGGCGTCGGTGCGGTCACTCATGCCGACCACGAAGGAACACGAGCGAGGCAGTGTCGATGACACGAAGCTGCGGCTCGAAGCCATCGTGCGCAGCGACAACCCCAACAAATCCGAAATGGAACACTCGCAGGCGTCGCATCGAGACTGCGCTTCGCGGGGCTCGTTTCGCAAGGTCGCACACGACGCTCTCGCACGGCTCTCGTCCGTAAAGACGCTCCGCGACCGCACACGCCGCGCGACGTTGAGCGCCAAAGACTGGCTCCTCGCCCGATCCCGCGCGATTCTACACCGAAAGTCCCTAGGACACTTTGGCTCGATGGCGCAGAACCGCGTCTCGAACGTTGCACTCGTGGGCTCCACCTCTGGCGTCGACGCGGGCGATGGCTGTAAGCTCAACGGTTGCACGCCGTCGTCGCGGGTGCTGGCGCGCGACAAGCGCCTCGCAATCGATCCGAACGGACGGGGCATTTCCATTTGGCGCGTTTTTCTCTTGGCGATCCTACTCTACGACGTGCTGGTCGTGCCGCTCATGCTCTGTGACGCCATGATCAACGAAAGCGTGTGCGCGATGGCGTATGGCGTTTACGCCGGCGAAATCTTTTTTTTGGCCGACTTTGGTGTCAACCTGCACGTCGGGTTTGACAAAGATGGTGACGTGATGCGGCTGCCCGACCTCACGCGGCGCCGGTACCTTTGCTCGCGCCGGTTTGCGCTCGACCTCGTGGCCATACTGCCGCTCTACGTCATCCCCGTGGCGCCGTCCATGTGCGGCCTCGTGCACCTCAACAAGCTCGTGCGCGCTGTCTACCTAACCCCATACACGATCGAGTTTGACAAGGTGCGACGGCGCTCGTCGGAGGATGCTGCGGATGACGATGGTATTAGGTGTTTGCGCGCCGCTTCATCTTTTGCAAGATCGTCAAGGTCATCGTCGTCTGCTACATGTGTGGCCACTACGTGGCGTGCGTCTACCTCATGTTTGGCTTCTCGGACGGCTCCGAGACCGGTGCATGGCGTCTCCATCACCCATTGGCCCATGCATCGTTCGCAGCGCAGTATTTTGGCGCGCTTTTTTGGTACGCATTGCATGACATTTTGTGTCATTTTTGTGTCTTTTTTGAGCCACTTTTGTGTCAATTTTGAGTCACGTTGGAGTCGCCAATGTGTCCATGGCTCATTCGACGTGCGTAGGTCGATTGGCATCATTTCAAAAAGCGTTGAAGGCCAAGTGCCTCGGACGGCCCTCGAGTCGCTCTTCATGCTCTTTGTTATGTTTGGTGGGTTCCTTCTTTTCGTCTACATTTGCGGCACGCTCTTCATGATGTCCAAATGTGACATGGCGCACCAAGAGATTTTGGACGCCAAGGTGAACCAGCTACGTCACGTGCTCTCGTACCACAAGGTGCCCCAAGACATGCAGGACCGCGCAGTCGAGTACATTGAAGTATCGCACTTGGAACGCGTTTGGACAAGTTGTCTTAAATGCTCTGAGATAGCACGAGTTTAAGAGCGGCGACACGAACGACAAGAGCAACATGAAGCTGCTCTGCCCGTCGATCGCAAAGGATGTCAAGTTTACCATGCTAAAGGGCATGGTGGCCAATGTCCCATTCTTCCGGCGCTGCAGCAACAGCTTTCTCCGCGCACTCATCGACCTCACCGAGACCGAAGCGATACCGGCCAACTTTCCCGTCGTCACCCAAGGCGACGTCGGGGACAACATGTACTTTGTCCAATCCGGCGTCCTCATCATTACACTCGACCGCATCAAGGTACTTCAAATCGTCCTTTGTCGCACCGCGATTTCAAGTTTGCTTCCGGTGTCTAGATCAAGGAGCTACGAAAGGGAACTCATTTGGCGAGCTCGCGCTCTTCACCAACCGAACGCGGTCCGCGAGCGGTGCGCTAGCTCTACAGTCTCTTGACGGAACACGTCCAATATGGGTCTAGTGACATCGGTGACCTTTTGCATTTTGCACAAGCTCGCGCGTTTGCAGGTGCACCAGGTGCTCTCTGCGTACCCCGAGTTCGAAGACAGCATCTTGGACTGCGTCGCGCAGCTCGTTCAAGCCTTTGACGGCGAAAACAGCAAGATTGTCGACCCCACGCGCCGGCTGTCGCTCCGCCATATCCTCGAGACGGCCGGAGAGGAGACGACGTGTTTGCCGACCGAAGCGCCAAAAGCCACGATTCTCCAAGAGCCCCGCGCTGTCACCGGCTCCAAGCGCTATCGAACGACGTTTTTCTCGTCCACGTCGGTCGTTCCCGAGGTCGGACGGAATCGTTCCAAGAGCTTACCGCCACGACGATCGAATCCACCGCCGCTTGCGACCGCACCGGTGGAGGTGTCGCCGCCTCGATGGGTTAGCTTTTTGCTGGCAACGCCAATCACGCGTCGCTCCAGATGTCGGCTCATGTGGCTTGCAAGCCTCCAGGTACCTTTCGGTCGTTTTGGCTCCAAACTCGACGCATCTCTTTAGGCGGCCATGTGGTACAACCTTTTCACCGTGACGCTTCTCAATACCTTTCGCTCGATCGGGTATCCGACGACGGCGCTTGTTCTCAACACGATCGCCGACATGATCTACCTTGGCGACATTTACGGGCAGCTCAATCTCTCGTACATTGTCGAAGCCGAGCAGATCATGGACCCAATCAAGTGCGCGCGGCGTTATTTCCATGGCGCCTTCTGCCTTGATGTCGTTGGCGCGCTTCCGTGGTGGCTTTTGGCGCCGTCCCAGCATCTCGTCTGGCGCATCCTGCGACTGCTTCGGTGCCGCCACATCGAGCACGAATTCAACGAAGTCGCGGTGCTCATCCGGATTACGAGTCGGCGGCGCATCGCCATTTTGGGCTTTGGCCTCTTTATCGCGTACCACATGGCAGCCTGCATAGCGCAGAGCTACATTCTCTTGGCACCGCACGACCCGAGTCACCCCAGCGAGCTGCTGCCGCCGCCCGAGCTGCAACTGCCGTGGAATAGCAACCATACGGCGTACATCAACGTCACGACGCTCGAGCTGATTGCGATCGACGACCCGGCCGTGCCCGACATTCTCGCGCGGCAATATCTGCGCGTGCTCTACTATGGCGCGGTGTGTGTCACCAACCTTGGGCTACCGCTCGAGCCCGAGGCACTCGGCGAGTCGGTCCTTGGCTTCTTCTTGATGCTGATGGGCATGCTCCTCATTTCAGCGCTCATTGACGAAGTCCAGAAACGCGTGACGGCGTCCGCGCTCGAGCAAATGGCATTCCTCTCGCAGCGGTCGCGCATCGAGCATTTTTTAAAGTGCCAGAACGTGCCGAGTGCGATCCACCGCCGCGCGTCGGCGTACTTGGACTTTTGGTGGAGCGTGCATCGCGGCGCCAACATCAACGAGCTTCTTAGCACGTTGCCCAACAACCTCCAGCGCGACATTTACGCGTTCATTTGCCGCCCGTTCTTGGACGTTGTCGCGGGCCTCGACAAGACCAACGGCGCATTTCCAAGCGTCTCGGCCATTTTCCTGGATAACGTGCATATTCAGCTGTTTGGCCAAGGCGAACTCCTCTACCGCAAGAGCGATCACGCCGAGTGCATCTATATGGTGCTGGACGGCCGCATTGCGATTGCGTCGTCGGTGCGGTCGTCACCCGGCGCGACCACGCGCAACCTCGGGCCGGGCGATCTCTTTGGCTTGTCTGTACTAGAGATTGAGAACGAGCATGCTATGCACGCCGAGTGTGCGATCGCGCAGTCGTCATGTGTCGTCGTGGCCATCTCGCGCGAGACACTCGTCGCGATGCAGCAAGTCTACGTCCCGTTGTGCGCCAAGCTTCTTCAGCGCGTCCAGAAAGGCCAGACGAGCCGCGGCTGGAAGCTTGCCCGGAAGCACGTGGCCAATGTCGCGCGCGCCGTCAAAGCGCAGCCCGTCGCGATCGACCCCGAAGGTACCTTTGCAGTCGCGTGGGAAATCGCGGTGTTTGTGGCCATCGTCTTTGACTGCATTACGGTGCCCTTCTTCCTCGCCTTTGGCTACGACATGCGCGCAGCCCTTGGGTTTGAAGGCATCGAGATCGCGTTGGAAGTGGGCTTTTTCGTGGACTTGGTGCTCCACTTTCGCATCGGGTACTGGGAGTTTGGCAACAAGGTAGGCCCCCTTCGTTTCCATGTAATACTGCGGCGATAACGATGGCACCAGGTCATGGACGTGCCGCGCATCCGCAAGCAGTATCTCGTTTCGAGTGCGTTTTGTGTCGATGTCGTCGCGCTCCTTCCGTTCTATGTGGCCAACTATGGCAGCGCGCACTACCTCGAGCTATGGCACGTCAACAAGCTCCTTCGCGTGACGCGGGTTCCAGGCTTGCTGCAGCACCTCGAGCGGTACTTTTACCGCCACGCGATCACGATGCGCGTGCTGCGCACTGTGTTGTACACGTACTTGCTCGCGCATTTTGTCGGGTGTGCGTGGTATAGCTTTGGCAGCAACGTGCTGCTGCCGGCGGGAGCTCCCAATTTTGGAGACAACATTTGGCTGCCAAGCGCCACGTACGACTTGTCGAAAAACGCTTCGACCATGACGCCGGCGCTCGCGTACGCGCACTGTTACCACTGGGGCATTGGCATGCTCTTTGGCTTTCAACCTGGCAAGCACCCCGTCACGCCGTTCGAAAATGTGTTTACGGTAGGACTCAGTTTGCACTTTTTGCCAGGTGTGGACGATGTGACATGCGTAGATTTTCGTCCAAACGCTGGGGGTCTTTCTGCTGTCGTATATTGTCGGAAATTTGCTTGACGTTGCAGCCGTCATGGACGGCAACAACCGCCTCTTTTACAGCAACCTCAACTATGTCCGGAAGCTCCTCGCGTACTTTGATTTTTCCAACGACGTCGCAGCGCGTGTCCAGCATTTTTACTTTTACCGGCTTTTTCACTCGATTCATGAAGAGCACGTCTTGGCGAAGTGCCTTCCGCCAACGCTGCTCGCGGACGTCCGCCTCTTCTTATTGACGCCGATGCTCAACAAGGTGCCGTTCTTCCAAGGCGAGCACGCGAGCTCGAGCATCACGCGCGTGCTCGTGAGTCAAATGAGCCAGATCCTCGTCACGCGCGGCGAAGTCGTGTGCCGCCAGAACGAAATCGGCATGGAAATGTACTTCGTCTTCGCGGGCTGCCTCGAGATTTACGTGGCCAACGACATGCACGACGCGATGGGTATTCATACGTTTGCGGCGATGGCGAGAGGCACAAAAATCACCGAAATCCACGACGGCAGCTTCTTTGGCGAAAAGTCCCTCTTCTCCAACCAGCCGCGGAATGCGTCCATCCAAGCCAAGACGTTTTGTACCCTCTTCCGACTCTCGCGCACGCACTTGGAGTCGGTCTTTGCGCAGTACCCCGAGTGGAAAGCCAAGGTCATGCAGATCGTCACGATACTGTACAAGAAGCACGACAAGCAAGTGCGCGAGAAGACCGAGGAGCAGCAGTCTCAAGCCAACAGCCGCGATGCCGCCAACTCGCGTTACATGTCGCGCGCGCTTTCCAACAAGGTCATGCCCGCGCCCGAGTCGAAGCGGTCCGAGACGCTACCACGGCCGTCGACTTCATTCAAGACAGTTCTCGATGGGGTGCGGGGTCGCATCAAGAAGGGTCGTCTGCTGACGTGGCGCGAGCACATCACGTCACTTCTCCACATTCAGGTCCAAACGCCGATTTACCGACGGTTCATGAAGCTCTTCTGCGCCGCAATCTTGTACAACGCGATGAGCATCCCGTTTCTTCTCACGTTTGGCCATCATGGGATCTCACCCGAGGCGTTTGCCGTCGTCACGGTGCGTGCTTAATTTTTTTTGAGTTTTCAATTTTTGAATTTTTGATCGTTTGGACGCTTACTGCACTCTATTAGCTTCTCAACGTGACCAGCGACCTTGTGTTTCTCTACGATATTTGGTTCAAGCGGCACATTGTCGAGACAACGTCGACGCGCGAGTTTTACGAAGGTGACATCTTTCCCAAGGGCGGCCTCGTCCTCGACGTACTTGCCGTGATCCCGTTCGACTATCTTCTTGGCGCGATCTTCCAGTGGTCGGCACTCCTCCGCCTCAACCGGTTGATCAAGGGCCGCCAGTTCAACCACGCAGTGCACGAGATCAACCGGTTCAGCATGGCGTACGAGATCAACCGGCTCGCGCTCCTTGGGCTCTACTACTTTCTCTGCGTCTACTGGACAGCGTGCGCGTACTTTGGCTTGACGATTCTCGATGGCTTTACAAACTCGTGGGAGACGTTTTTGCCGAGCCACGAATTTGAGGTGCGATCGAGATATCCATATGCGCTCTAAACTGCAGATAGACCCAGGAGCATACAAACGTTGGGCACATGGTCGAGCGCGTCCTTCGCTGCTTGTACTTTTCAGCGTCTATGTACACGGGGGCCGGCATCGTGCACGAGCCGTCGACGCTATTGCAGTACGCGTTTCTCAACCTTGTCTCGGTCTTTGGCGTCTTTGTGCTCTCGTACATCCTTGGCGAAGCGTCGTCGCTCTTCATTTACCTCATCCAAAACGAAGTCGAGTTCAAGATCAACCACATGAACGTGATCGAGTTTCTGCACCACAAACGCATGGGCGCGGCCATCGAAGCCCGCGTTCGCTCGTATCTGACGTACTGGTGGTCGGCGCAGAAAGGCGTCATGTACCAGAACATTCTGGAGCAGCTCCCGACGCAGATTCGGTGCCATGCCGTGATCCAGATCACGCGCCTTAGCCTCTCGCGCTTCGCAACGACGTACTTGCGCCCGCTCTGCCACGACGTTGGCAACATGGAATTAGTCATCTACAGCCTTGCGCAGCGGCTCGTCTTTGAAGGGTACCCCGTCGGCGAGTCGGTCATCGTCCAAGGCAACATTGGCAAGACCATGTACTTTGTCTCGAAAGGCGCCCTCATCTCGGCGTCGACTGAGCCAGACTTTTTTCCTTCGCGGTTCGACAACAACGATGACCATGCTTTTGCTATTTGATTTTCTCATTCCCGTGTAGATTTGCCGACGGTCAGTATTTTGGTGAAGAAGGCTTTCTCGGCGCCAGTGTGTGCCACTACTCGGTCGTGACGCTTCGATCGTGCGATCTTCTCTCGCTCTCGGCCGCCGACTTTGTCGCAGCGCTCTGCGAGCACCCATTGTACGTGTAGTTTGCGATTCGCTAGCGACTAGACTAGGATAGCTAGTATGCTAGTATGCTAGGATGACTCTGATATTCTTTAGGTTCGTCGAGTGCGCAACGGTTGCGAGGCACATTGCCCATCGCCTCGCCACCGCTGCGATTGCCACGTCGCACCCGATCGACTTTGATGTGCTGGTATGGAGTGCGCTGCATGCGTCCCACCCGCCGCTTCAGTACCTCAAGTTTGACTCGATCGACAGCGCGGTGCGCTCTTTGGACCACTTTGTAAAGCTCTTTCTGAGCCACAATGCGTCCGAAGCGCTCGGCTCCAAGTGGCAGAAACCCATGATGTGCAAGCGCTGCGAGAGCGACGTGGCCGTCTACTACTGCGCCGCGTGCATGCAGACCATGTGCGCCGAGTGCTCGATCAAGGTGCATGGGTCGCCCGAGTACGCGTCGCACCTCCAGACGATTACGGATGTGAGCTCTTACAAGAGGCCGCCGACGCGTGTGAGCCCTGCTCGTCGCATGACCTTGACCTCTTATGCGCCAAAGTAACCCGACACGAATCTCAACGGGGTGCTGTGCTGCGATTGGAAAAACATAATTGCGATCTGGAACGAGCAGGAGACGACGCAGGGTACAGTACTACTAAAGACATGTCAGAGTCCAGGAGGCGTCGGGTCGTCGCAGAGTCAGCCATCGCGTAGCCAAGGTACCAAGGAGAGAAGAGGCGGCATTTCGGATGCACCCGCCGACGGTTTCATTTTTTGGATCAAAGTCGAAAAGAACGATGGCGCTGGTCTGCGGCCTCTCTGCGTCGGCCAAGGCGCTCTCACGGGTTCTGGAGCGGGAATCACGGAAACAAAGCATTCGGCTGCGATGTCCACGACCGATGGCACTTGTGCCGTCAGCAGCGGCATGCAAGATGCAGTCTTTACGTGCCCCGACGCCCCCCCCCCGGCACCCCCCCAAACGACTCACCGCCTTTAAGCGGTACCCTCTTGGCCACGATTTACTACGTCTGATGAAGCTTGTGTTCTGTACTCTAGTGGCCACAACCGTCTCGTATCGGCAACGCATTTGGCTACTGCTCTACGAACCGTCGTCTTCGCGACTTGTGAGCGCGTTGTCTTGACGTCAGAAAGAACCCCACATCTGTGACTATAGGCCTATTACACGTCGATGCTGTTACTGAGCGCGGTCTTTGTTGGCACACTCATCTTTATCCTGCAGACCGAACCCTCTCTCACATGGCTCGCGCCGCAGCTCACGATTCTCGAGGTGCACTATTGTTTTTAACGTTGCCACGGCTGATTGACGCGGCTCATAGCGCGGTTGCGTCTTTCTTTTCACGGCCGAGCTGGCGTTGCGGGTTGCTTGTGCACCCAACCTGTGGCACTTTTCCTGTGGTACTCACGCTTGTATGGAAATGCATCCGACTTACATCCAACTCGAACGCGCTAGATGTCTTCAACTGGGTCGACTTGATGTCCATCGTGCCATTTTACTTGGAGCTCTCCCTCAACACGGTACAACTGTGATAGGACTACATCTTTTACACGAGCACGGTGATAGAAAAACACGTCGTCCGTTGGCGCGATTCGTGTCATGCGCTTGCTCCGCGTCGCCCGCGTGCTCAAGCTCTCTCGGTACACAACATCGCTGCAGACGTTCAGCAAGGTGCGTGCGTTCAGCTGTCTGGTCGACCTGTGTGATAGAAGCCGTCGTGGGTGTAGGCAATGACGCGAAGTGCCCAGCCACTCTTTATGCTGCTCTTCCTTGTCGCCGTCACGATGGTGCGCAAGATGGTGCGCTAAAAGGTGCCATTGCGACGCCTAGGTCGTCTTCTCGAGCGCCATGTACTTTGCAGAGTACACGGAGAGCGGCTGCCGCCACTCCGTGTACTCGCCCATGTGCTCGCCAAGCCAAGTGCCACCACCCCCCACACCATGCTGCGACCCCAACCCGTTTTACAGGTACCACCACCACCAATTTGGCGGGGACGACCTCCTATCGTATGTGCATTAGCATTGCCGCATCGTTTTGGTGGTGCATTGTGTCGATGACCACGGTTGGGTACGGCGACAACGTGCCTGTGACGCCGGTCGGCAAGTTGATTGCGTCCATCACCATGATGTCGGGCCTCATCATTCTCGCGCTGCCAATCAGCGTGATTGGCTCCAACTTTCAGCACGTTATGAAAGAGACGGTGCTTCTTGCGGCGAGTGCGAAGACCGACGTTGCGATTGGTTCCGACGCAGTGCACAAGTTGTCCATTTTGAGCATGCGTTGTGCATAATGACTCATGAAGGGCGTAGAGACGAGATTCGTCGCGTGCTACAGAGCTTTCACGTTCTCGACGCTGCGGTCGAGGTGGACCCAGAGGAGATTGTCGGCTTGTACGACACCCGCGCAAGTGGCATCCTCGACACTGACGGGCTGGTACGAGCATATATATGTACATAGTTGACACACGATGGTGTCGTAGAAACGGCTCAAGGACGATCTTGGCGAAATTCACGGAACACTGGCCGTCCACGACGTGCAAATCGCGTGCAGCGGCGAGGCGCGGGCGCGGCGGCTCACCCAAGCTGGGTCGCTCGCCAACCTTGAGGGCCCCGCCGACGACACGATCTCGATCATTGAAGAAGTTGTTGAAACACGGCTGCTCGAGTCGGAAGTGCGCCTCGAAGCCAAGCTCGACCGCGTCCTTGCGCTGCTTTTTGCACTCGAACAAAAATTAGAGCGACTTCACGCATAACTCGATACAAAGCGCATACACAGTCGTTTAGTACTCCGTGAATAGTCACAAAATCGGGGTTACACGGCCGGTTTTAACATTGTTGTAGTACGTTTCACAGCGCCATGGCGACACGGTCAGGTGTCGGCCCTGCGCCCATCCAGGCGGCGCGGCTCACGGCGCTCTCCGACTCGGCGCTGCTCTTGTCGCGCGTATTGGAGCGAGAGACGCGAAAGCAGAGTGTCATCAAGCGCGTACGACAGCCTGCGGGGCGACGCCTCGCGGAAGCCTCGCTCTTGCGCAAGGACTCGACGTCACGCGGCTGGAGTCTTCTTCGCAATGTGCCCATCTCGAAAACGATTGCCGATGTACGCCGTGGGTCTCGTCTCGGCCTGCCCTTCATTCGCGTCGAGTCCCGTACGCGTTCTTTTTGTTTGCAGCCAAATACTAGAGCGTGGGCGTAGGTCTCTCGGGCTTGCGGCGCAGGATCTGGTCCATGTTCAACGACCCCATGTCTTCGCTACTGGTGGCGCGCGATGCCATGTCTTTAGCGTCTAACACAAGGTGACGATTTAGGGCCGGTACATTTCGTTCGTGCTGCTCTGCGCTGTCTTTGCCGGCAGCCTCATTTTTGTGCTCCAAACCGAGCCGTCGCTGAGCTCGTTCGCAGAGCAGCTCACGACCGCCGAGGTAGACGATCTCTCCCAGACGCCGATACGAATGCAAGGCGCGTTATTAGCACGTGTGCATCTACCTCTTCTCGGTCGAGTTTGTCGTGCGCATTGCGTGTGCCCCCGACTACGTGTCGTTTTTCTGGGTACGCGTCCTCGGCGACTATGGCTGAGAACGTCTTCCGTAGACATTTTCAATTGGATCGACCTCGTGTCTATCATGCCCCATTACATGGAGCTCATGCTCAACATGGTACGTCGTTTCTGTGACAATCATTTTGTCCTGTGTTTCATCAATCTTGTGCATCTTGGTAGAAAAGCGCATCGTCGGTCGGTGTCATTCGCATCATGCGCTTGCTGCGCGTCGCGCGCATCCTGAAACTCTCACGTTATACGTCGTCGATTCAAACGTTCATGCGCGTACGCAATGGCTCCGCTCGTTTGTGGACATACTGTCATTTCTGGTTAGGCGATGGCGCTCAGTGCCAAGCCCCTTTTTATGCTCCTCTTCTTGATGGCCATCGCCATGGTACCGTCCATGGGACAACGAGACGACAAAAGTGACGTAGTATGCGATGTGGGTAGATGGTGTTTTCAAGCGCAGTGTACTTTGCAGAGTACACGGAAAGCGGGTGTCGACTGGCGCAATACTCCAAAGTGTGCTCGCCCAACCAAGTGCCACTGCCCCCCGACCCGTGCTGCGACCCCAATCCCTTTTACAGGTAGACCGGACGCTCTTGATAGTATATCATCACGGTGTACTAGCATTGCGGCGTCGTTTTGGTGGTGCATCGTGTCAATGACCACGGTTGGGTACGGCGACGACGTGCCCGTGACGCCCCTCGGGAAGCTCATTGCGTCCTTCACGATGATGTCGGGCATGCTCATCCTCGCCTTGCCGATCAGCGTCATTGGCTCTAACTTTCAGCAAGTCATGAAGCAGGCACTCCAGTCAACGATGAAGAAGAACATGGCGCTGCTCACGGGCAAAGGCGTCCTGCGGCGGTGCAAATGCATCAATGACCAGTCGCATCGTTACAATATCGCATGTTGGAGTAGACACGAAATCAAAGAGATCTTACGCAGCTACAACGTCGTCGGCGAGCACATTGACATCAACCCGGACGAGCTCATTGCACTGTACGACACCAACCACACGGGGACTCTGGAAGACAACGAGCTGGTGTGCTGCTGGCTCATGTTGAATAGCTTAATATTGTGCATAGCTGTGCTTCAAGAAGGACCTCGAAGACTTGCACAAGACGATGGAAACGCATCATATGCACATTGCACCGACGCTTCACGACAAGTCGCGACGGTTCACGCAAGCTACAACGCTCTCCCGACTACAGCAGGCGGCGGATGAGAAGGACGAGCACATGGACATGCTCGATGAACTTATCGAGATGCGGCTTCTCGAGTCCGAAGTGCGCATTGAAGCGCAGCTCAACAAAATCGTTACCCTCCTCTCGGTCCTTGAGAAGCGCGTCGAACTCCTCCAAATGTCCTAGCACCATCGCGCTGCGTCACTCTAACTTAACACTGTATTGTAATACCACGAGACGATGTAATCGCGACGCTTGTTTGATTCTGCGATCGTGCAGAAGTAGATACATTTAGCAAGCATTCCAAAAAGGCGCGAAACGCCGCATCGACATTTCCAGTGCGACTGTTTGAACGCCAAACCGTTCGTCCGATTCGGAGCGATATGGCGGCGGGGACGAGTCACGCGCAGACGCTGGCCCAGCTACCGAATACAGCACTGGCGCTTTCACGGATCCTCGAGCGAGGGCGACGCAAGCTAGAGACGATGGACCGGTACTTGCCGCCTCCTACATCTCACATACCACCGCCGGTGGCCCCAGTGAGCAGGAAGTCGTCCGGGTATCAGCAAGGCACCCTCCACGATCGGTACCCGTCCATGCGTCTCATCGCCAAACACGGTACGGGCACCGAGTGCATGCCTCATGAAACAAAGTAATGTGGTGGTAGCCAACCAGCAAACGTGGCGAGTGCGTCTCTGGCTCGTCTTGCAAGACCCGTCGTCGTCGCGGCTCGTACGATGCAGCAACATCATATCGATGGAGCCATAGAGCGTGATGGATCTCTGTACTAGGCGCGGGTTGTCTCCACCGTGCTTATCGTCGCGGTCGTTCTCGCCACGTGCGTCTTTTTGCTTCAAACCGAACCTTCGTTCGAGCCGTATGCCTCCACCTTGTCTTATCTCGAGGTGCAGCCTCCAAACAAATCTTTTAAATATCTCGATATTGTCGCAGACCTTGTGCGTCGCTCTCTTTACAATCGACGTCCTCGTGCGGTTTCTGTGTGTGCCTCACCTCGGCGAATTCGCGCGCGGTACCGTTCTCAGAGGGTCGTTCGTCGTGTTGCTTAGGACACGCGTTTGTAGATGTGTTCAACTGGATTGACGTCGCGTCAGTGGTGCCATTTTACCTCGAAGCTTTTCTTGCGAATGTACGCGACGCCAATTTGCAAAATGCGAGTGGCCACATGCGTTGGATAGCGGCCCATGGCGTCGCTCTCGTCGCTTCGGGCACTCCGGCTGCTCCGCGTCGCGCGCATCTTTAAGCTCTCACGCTACACGAGCTCGATTCAAATGTTTCTTCATGTAGGCGCACATAATTCTTCCTTGGGAGTACTATGGCTCATGGCGGCGTCATCGTAGGCGATTCGAGAGAGCTCGCAAGCCCTTTTCATCCTCTTGTTTCTCGTGTCCATCACCATGGTACGTCCCGACAGGTCTTCGATCGATCAAAAGCGTCTCGTAGCTCTTCTTTTCAAGCGCCCTCTATTACGCCAACGCCGTTGATGAAGCAGGTTGCATTCCCGCCATCCACAGCGTCCTGTGCTCGCCGCTCCGAGAACCGGCGCCACCAGCGCCGTGTTGCCACCCGACGCCGTTCTATAGGTCTGCTCTATGTCAAGGCCGCCGACTTTAATGCGATAGGACAGTATTGCCGCCGCTTTGTGGTGGTGCATCGCCACCATGACGACTGTCGGGTACGGCGATGACGTGCCGGCGACGCCACCTGCACAAGCGATCGCATCTGTCGCGCTTCTGGCTGGCATTCTCATCCTGTCGCTTCCGACGAGCGTTATTGGCAGCAACTTTCAGCGCCTCTTTCGCGCGGCACACACTCAAGTCAGCGACGAGCGGTGGGTCGAGCAGCGTACTACCGACCAACCGTGCTCACAGACCAAAGTGTATGCAATAATGCGATGCACAAAAGACGCTGACACGCGTTCTGTGCGTGTAGGGAGCGCATGCAGTCCCTTCTCCTCGCGTTCCGTTGGAGCAATCCCGACCGCCACGTCATCGAGTACAGTGACTTGCTCTCCATCTATGACGAGAAGGATAAAGGCCACTTATCGGACAGCGACATGGTATTTCTGACCGTGTGGCCGTCACTCGACACGCTGTAGGACACGTTTCGGCACGATTTAGAGCGTCTTGACGCCATCAACTTGGTCGAGCACACCAAACGAGCAACGCGATCGGACGTGAAAAAGGAACCGCGACTGGAGACGCACGCACGCCGCGATCGTTTTCTCGCGACCGCAGACGAGACGATCCAGTACCGCTTGCTAGAATCCGAGGCGCTCTTGGAGAGCAAACTCCGGCACATTATCCAGCGCATTGTGGCGCTCGATCAAAAGCTACATGTCCTTAGCGAAGACGTCGAGTAAGTCGCATTTACAATCCAACTATTCAACTATCCATTCATCCATCGAGGAGTCGTCGCGGTGCCTAACATAAGATACGATCGATACGTACTAGTATGTAAAGTGGGCGCGCACTGTCGACGCAGGCTTGTCAAAGAGACAGAAGTCACGCCGCAAGTGGCTCTATACGGATTTCGGGCACCAATGTCATTTGTAGCGACGCAGATGACGAGTGCCATCGACAGTTTGAAGCATTCGGCCTTGGTTTCGTCACATGGGCATGACAACGCAACAAAGAAAAGTGTGTATATATACATACTAAAGGAAAACGTGTAAAAGGTATTATGTATCGCCGGGTGCATTTTGTGGCAACGTCGTCTCGTTGGAAGGCGCGATACGACTGGGAGCGGCCGCCGTATCGTCGTCGGTTTGGGAGCCTTGGATCTCGTTTGCCATTTGTTTCTTTGTTTCTATGCGAGCAGCTTCTTGAAGGGTGGCAAACGTTGTTGTGCTGTGAACAGACGGCCCCAGCGACAGGTTGTTGTATGGCGTCGGTGGGTTCAAACCGCTATGAGCTTGCAATTGGCTCAAGCGCACTTGAAGCCGCTGCAAGGACGTGCGCGCGCGCTTCTCGGCCCGAGCATCCTCTAGCTTTTTGCCGCCTTCTTCGGCCGACTGTTCGAGCATTGCTTGCGTGACGTTCATCACTGGCGCGCTCGCACACTTGTTCGAGCTCGGTTTCAGCTCGTCGGCAGAGGGAAACTGGTCCGAAGGCACATCGGGTTCGGGCGCCGTACGTACCGCGAGAGAAAACGACCGGAGCTTCTTGGCGCAGATCGCGACGGTATTGGCCACTTTGTTGAGGGCCTTGGTCTGCGGCGGCTGAAGGCGCGCGATCGAGTCCATATGAAACGCGTAGTGGGTGTTTTCGTGGATCACCCGCGTGCACTGGCTGCAGAGGTTCTGGAGGCAGAATTTGCAGTAGAGCGTTGCCGCATGGTCTTCGCACTGCTGACACAAGTGGAGCGTGTTGTGCGTTGCCACAAAGACTTGGCCGGCGCGCCGTCGCCTTGGTCTTCAAAGAGTGCGAGAAATGGCGTGAACGCAGCGCCGCACTCGAGCACCGAGAGAGTGCTGTAGTACTGAACATCGTCGCGGCCACGAATCAAGTAGTAAATCAGCTCCGCCAAGTCGGTCGTGGGAGGAGTCGACGGGTAGGCATCGGGCTCTGCCAGCGCCGCGACCACCATGCGCGCAATGGCGGCACTTTCCGCAAACCTAACCGCATGCGTTAGCGTGACAGATCGAAACCAAGGCGATGTACCACGGGGACTCTTGCAAGGCAGCGGTAAAGTCGGTCGCTGAGAGCGCGAAGAGATCACAGGCGCGCAGCGTCACGACGGAATAGGTGCAAAAGCTGGCCGACATGAAGCCTTCATCGCCAAAAAACTGACCGTCCACGTAGCTAGAAGGCGTTCCATCAACTGGTTACTTCATCATTCTGCAGCACAAAGTACCGTATCGGAGCGAAATTGGGTGTCGTCGATGCTGAAATGAGGTTGCCCTTGGCGACAAAGTACATGGTTTGGCCAATGTTGCCTTGGACGATGACCGATTCGCCGGGGGGGTACCCCTCAAAGACTAGCCGGTGGGCCATGCTGTACACAAGCGCCTCGATGCTGTTGTTGTCGCCGCAAAGCGGTCGCAAATACCGCGTCGAGAAGCGGTCGATAGCCATGTGGCCGATCTGAATGTTAGCTTGTGACCGGATTCGGGGCGGGAGCTGCTCCAAAATGCTTTGGTACATGACACCGCTCTGCGACGACCACCAGTACGAGAGAAAGACGTGGACTCGGTTTTCGATCGACCGGGTGATACGCTTCCGCGCAAGAAACTCCATGACGTTCATCTGGTTGATCTTGAACTCGACTTCGTTCTGGATGAGGTAGATGCACAAAGTGGACGCCTCGCCAATGACGTAGCCCATGATGAAGATGCCAAACACTGCCATGATGAAGAGGAACGTGAACTGGAGCATCTGATCTTTCGGCTCGTTCACGAGACCAGTGCCCGTGTTTAACGTCATTGCAAAGTAGAGGCATCGGAAGAGACGGAAAAAGACTTTCTCACTTGTCGCATCGGGATCAATCTACTTGCATGTCATGCCACGTTATTGAAGAAAATGGTATGCAAGGTACCGCAAAATAGGCCACGGGCAATGATGAGCTCCAAGCTGGCCCGAATCCATCGATGAACGTCGTGCCAAAGTACGCGCACGCCAACCAGTAGCTGCACATGAAGTAGTAGAGTCCAAGGAGCTTGAGTCGGTTCATCTCGTATGACATGCTGAAACGCTGCACTTCGTCGATCGTGTGCGTAAGTTGCCGCAACTTGAGAAAGCGGTTGAGCCGAAAGAGGGCAGAAAACTTGAAGAACGGCCCCACGATATAGTCCAGCGGAAGGATTGCGAGGACATCGAGCCACTGCGTCGTCTTGTGCTCTCTTGTCTCTTCACTAAACTCGCGTGACGAGACTGTCTCGATAATGTGCTGCTTGAACCAAATGTCGTACACAAACACCCCGTCCGTGAACACGTTGAGTATCTAGTCACCACGTCATCAGTTGTGATATGTCATCGTGACAGATCGCACCATGTAGACGACAAAGATGCCAGTCGAGAGGCCTTCGTTGCCAAATGTGAGCGCGTACGGGATGCTCAAAGCGATGTACAAGAGCGAGATGCAGAGCACGGTCAAGTACCGGATGTACATGGATGACTGGACTTCGATGTGCACGAGCTTTTTCAGCAGTTGCTGCGACCGCGAGACCGTTCTGATGATCTCATCTTTTGACGCACGCAAGAGCAGCATCGACTTGGACGTGGCGATTGGTCGCTGAAGCACGTGGGGCGTCGTTGCCACTTTGGCTTCGGCCCTGGCCTGGTCCTCGCGCATTTTGAGCTCTTGCTCGGCGTAGATTTCATTCACAATGAGCATGACCTTGGCTTTCCACTTGGGGTGCTGCGCAAACACTGACTCCAAATGCTTTCGCGAGAGCTTGTAGAGCGTACAAAACGTCCTCGCTTCAATCGTCGCATTGCGCGGCATGTAGCAGAAAAGGGACTTTTCGCCAAAGAAGGCGCCGGCATGGATCTCGTTGACCTTGGTGCCTTTGCTGACCAGGTTGTCCTTGATGCTGCACACAGGCACAAGGCCATCAAGCATCATAAACACATCGAGGCACCCCGAGAAGACAAAGTACATCTCGACGCCGACTTCGCCTTGGCGGCACACGAGCTCACCCCGCGTCACGAGCAGCTGCGTCATTTGGCTCACAAGCACGCGCGTCACGTTCGAGTCGGCGTGTTCGTCTTGAAAGAAGGGCACCTTGTTGAGCATCGGCGTCAATAAGAAAACCCGGATGTCGGCGACGAGCGACGGCGGAAGGCATTTCGCCAAAATGTGTTCTTCGTGGATCGAGTGAAAGAGCCGGTAAAAGTAAAAGTGCGCAATCTTGAGCTCCATCTCGGGCGAAAACGAGAAGTACTTGATAAACTTGCGGACGTAGTTGAGGTTGCTGTAGAACGCCCGGTTGTTCCCATCGAGGATTTGGACAATGTCCAGCAAGTTGCCCACTACGTAGGCGAGCAAGAAGACACCGAGCGTTTGGACAAACATCTAGAAACATTAATGGACTTTGAGTACATGAAAATCAGCGCCCGTACCGTAAAGGCGTATTCGATCGCAGTCACGGGGTACATGCCAGGATGGTAGCCCGTGAGCATGCCGAGGCCCCAGTAGTGCGCCTTGGTGTACTTGAGAAGGAGCGTCATATTGGGGTTGGACGGGTCCATGTCGACATTGGGGAGCCACGCGTCCTTCCCAAACTGCTTGGTGGTGGTGAACCCCAGCAGCGTTGACGCGTTGTTGCCAAAGTTGTACCACGTGCATCCGATAAAGTGCGCGAGCAAGTAGATGTAGAAGACGAGCTTGAAGATGCGGATCTGGATGTTGATCGTGTAGTACTGCCGCTCCAAATGTTGGATTTGGGCCGAGAGTTTAAAGAGCCGGAGGAGTTTGTTGACATTCCATGCCTCGGACCGCGGACTTCCCGTCCAGAGATTGGCTAAATTGAGCGGGATCACGGCGAGGATGTCAATGACAAAGCTCATCGAGCGCAGGTAGCGCTTGCGCACTTTGACCGGGTCCATGATCTATCCTCGTCATCCATATTCTGTTTCGTAACATGTGCGATAGTGGATTAGCGTACCTTGTTGCCATAGTCAGAAAACCCGGTCCGCGTTTTGAGAAAAATGTCGGCCAGAAAACAGAGCTCGAGCACAATTGAGATTGAATCGGACACGCGGACCGACTCGTCCGCAAAACCAAATGCCATGTAAAAGGGCACGCCAATGCACTCGTAGACCATGCCAAAGAAGAGGAGTGTTTCCCAAAAGATGGAGAAGTTCGAGTCGGGATTCAGCATCCACGGCTTGGAGACGGTGCTCGTAGGCTCCTTGGACGACGAAAGACCAGACGGCGTCCTCTCGATAAGCCCCGGTTTGTTGCGGCCGTGGGCTTTGGCACTTCGGGCCAAGACGTTGGCCGCAAATGTCGGAAATGTTTCTTGAAGCGACAGGAGTGTCTGGCGCGTCACGAGTGCAACGACACACGTCGTCATGGCTTTCGCTTGGTCCGCGTGGACAATGTTGTCTCGTTCGAGATCCAGACTAGAGAGACCGAAAAAATCGCCTAGCACCACTTGTCATGAGCCTCGACCCCCATTGCCATTAAAGGGTACGCACCCGACTTGAGCTCGCGCGGTGCGTCGTCGAGTGACGGTGTCAGAATCGCCACGTGGCCCTCGAGAAGGACGTAGGCAGCGTCGGCGTAGTCGCCGCAGCGGTACACCATTTCGCCCTGGCCGTGCAAGTGGATGGTCAAGTTGTCCAGAAAGATAGCGGCAAGTTGCGGGAAGCAGTCGCTAACATGCTCCATGCGTGCAATCGTGTCGACAGCGGATGCGCAGATGAACGAGAGGATCTCGCGCTTGATATTGTTGGGCAGCTCCGCGACAAGCTCGTTGATGTTGGCGCCTCGATGGGCGCTCCACCAAAAGTCGAGGAACGCCGACACGCGGCGGTGCAGGCCCGTGGGCGCTTTTTGTTTTTGCAAAAAGAGCTGGATACGCGACCGGGTCGCGAGAAATTCCATTTGCTCAACGGCCGACGCCGTCACGCGCTTCTGGACTTCGTCAATGATGATGGAAATCAAGAGCATGCCAATGAGCATGAGGACGCTGGCCAAAATGTACTCGCCAAAGATCTCGGGCTCAAAGGGCAGCCCGAGATTCGTGATGCACACGGCACCATAATACAGCGCACGCAGATACACGATGAGCTTGACATGACTGACGTGCGGGTCATCGAGCGCATACGTGACGTTGTCGTGATCGACGTAGCCCGTCGCGTCGTGGTTGAGGTGCAGGTTGAGCTCCATGGGCGGAAGCCATCCGTTTTGGAGGTGGCCGTAGCCCGCAATGAACGTGTACGCTTGTGCCGCGCACCCCCCGAGGTGGTAGCAGAAGAAGAGCAAGACGCCGAGAACGAGAATGCGTCTTTTGCTTGCAATGCGCACGAAAAGGGCCACCTCTTCGAGCTCGTCCGCGAGATGCAAGACCCTAACCCCAGAAATGTCCAATGTATCCGGAATATATAGATGTGTCGGTACCGAATCAGACGCGTGACGCGCCAGACCAGGTGCCATGGCGGGTACAGAATCCAGAGCGGGAAGGCACACACGACGTCCCGCCAAAACGACGTGCGAATGTAGTGCGTGGCGCACTTGACCGTGTCAAAGATCGACTCGGCCTCGACGACATAGGACAAGTTGAGTTTGCCGTAAATGTCGAGCCACAAGATGATGTCCGCGACCAAATTGCACCCTTGCATCCACGTTGGGTAGCCCATGATGACAAAGGTGTTGACAAACGGCACCATAAAGAGATTGTAAAGCGTCGCACCCTACGTGGTCGCGTCCATATACATCACATCTAGACGACGAACAATACCATAACGGCGAGTAGCCACGCGAGACGATAGCGCGCCTTGCGATCCAACGCGTGCTTCAAGAGCAATTTGTGCCAGCGCGGTACGGCAAAGAGAGGCCGAGTAAACGTCATCGTCGTGGACGTGCGCGATTCAGTCACCTTGGACTACGCACAGTGTCAGCATGACATACCACATTTTGCATGACGTACCGAGACCTGGTTGCTTTTTGGACGACTCGACGCCCGCGACGGATGGCCGGTACTCGCCGGCTTCCCGGACGGTGGCACGATGTCCACAAAGCGGCTCTTGTCATCAGGCCCTTCCTGCTGGTGCACGTAGTTGCCATAGGCTTTTGCGCGTTCGAACGTGTCGTTGCCGTCCAGGAGCGAACCTTTTCGCCGAATCACTTCGCTGTTGTGGAGGTCCATTTCCTGCAAAAGTTTCCCGACGCAGTCGAGAATTTGACCCTCGAATTCCGGATACGCCCGCAGAACGCGATGGACATGACTTCGCGACAAAATGTGCAAAATACAAAACGTCGCGGTGGTCACTACACAGAATCAAAGTGCTTTTAAGCACAAATGTATCGAGAAAAATATCAAATCGATACCGTTGGCAGTGCGCACTTGGTTGGTGAAGAGCGAGAGTTCGCCAAAGAAGCCGCCTTTGCGTAGCTCGCGCACCTATTTTGCCTTGCTTTAGCATCGCGGCGGCGATATAGAAATGCAGAGAGTGCATACCTTGACGTCGTTGATGCTCACTGCGAGGACACCGGCCTGTACAAAGTACATGTCTTCGCCTTGGTCGCCTTTTTGGCACACGACAAAGTTGGTCGGTAGCGAATGCGTGTCCATGAGGTCGACGAGCGCGCGTACGAACGCCGCGTTGCAGCAGCGAAAGAATGGCACGCCGGCCACCATACCCTTGAGAAGCGAGAATTTCACATCTTTGGCAATTGACGGACAGAGGAGCTTCATGTTGCTCTTGTCGTTGCTTTCGCCGCTCTTGAAGCCGTTCTACATTTTTCTAGGTACCGTGGACGGACATTTCGCGCGTCTACCTCCAGGAACTCGACTGCCCGCTCTTGGATTTCATGGGGCACGTGATGGAACGAGAGGACGTAGCGGAGCTGGTTGATTTTCGCGTCAAACTTTTCGACCGTGTCGGCGTCGCATTTGGAGAGCATGAAGAGCGTGCCGCAAATGTAGACAAAGAGGAGGAAGCCGCTGACCATGACAGTGACCATGTAGACCGACTGCCACAGCGTGCGAGGTGCGAAACCTTCGAGGCACTTGGAGACGATACCAAGCGACCTACATCGCATCGTCAAGTAAATCTTGGATGCAGAAGGACGCACCAGAAGAGCGCGGCAGAGTACTGCGTCACCACGTCTTCGTGCGCAAGGTGGAGCGTGAGCAACCACGGGTTGGTTTTGTCGGTATTGAACCCAAACGACGCGTACAGGCACGCGGTAATATGGCAAAAGGCGTACGAGACAAAGACGACCTTGACGATCTTGCAGAATTTGAAGTGGCGCGCAAACACCTTGTCAAAGTCGAGCGTATATGCGTTCACGCGTCGAAGACGGAGGAGTTTGTTGAGGTACAAGAGCCCGCACGACGAAGCGTGCGGTGCGATCGTGTACAGCGGCACTAGCGTGAGGAGGTCGAGCGGAAAGCTCCACGACCAAAGGTACTTGCGCCGCGTCATTTTCGGGTTGCGCACCATGTCGCCGAGGAGGTAGAAGCCCGTGTGCATTTGAACGGCAATGTCGACAAAAAAGAAGGCTTCGGCAAGGTTGAGCAAGTAGACCAGCGTCGGCACCTCGCAGATTGTGCGGTCAAAGCACAAGAGCATCGGGATCACAAGTGCGTTGTAGAGGCAAAAGAAAGCAGTACGACGTTCCAGCACGCCAGGTAGAACGAGTCGGGCTCGATCGCAATCGTCTTCTTGTGTCGAATTTCCCAGGACAGCGACCCGCGCCGTAGCTGGAAGCTGCCGAGGTTCTCTGCTGTCCGACGAAGTAGCGGCGCGACGCGTGCGAAGTTCTCGCTGCGCAAGATGGCGCTGATGTGCGACGGCCGGCCATTCTGAGCCGTGGGCAGTCGCCAAAGGCCGAGCTGCACCAGTAGCTGCTTCATCTTGCGCCAACGGTTCTTGTCTCCGACTGGCCGCCTTTCTCGCGACGCTATTTATAGATCGGTTACAAGCGGTTAGGTCCGAGCGTCGGTTATTAATAGAAAGCGCTATTTATACTCGACCTAAAGGCAGCATTTTGTACTGGCATCGATACAATCAAGGGATACAATTGTAGAGTACTGCGATGGAATAGTAGGCTGTCTTTCAAAAGAACTGCACTACTGATACTGGTAGGAACCTCCTGGTGACACCAGCCCACAGGCGGATAGTACCTTGGCAGTACCAAAGCAACGGAAAGGTCATGTAAAATTTGTGGCCTTGGCAGTGCTCCCCATGAAAACATCAAAACTCCATAAACGAACGGGAGAGTATTATGACTTGCCCACAGTATCAATACCGGTATTACATGCTATCCAGTTGCTGGTTATACGAGTCCATGCGTCGAGTGCCGTCTTTGTCGCGTGTCGCGATATCGATGGGATGTGAAAGGCCGATGTCGAAATTTACGGTAAATCACTTCATAGGCATAAAAAGACCGTACTTGATACGGTACATTGTACGGTAGAAAGTACGGTCTATTTGACCGGATAACGATAGTATCCGGATGACGGCAGAAACACGGTATTTTTGCGGGCAATTGGCGGGTGTTGATTGGAGGAGGCCAATTGGTGGCCCATCCTCGTGTCATTGGCCCTTTCGCTCCCTCTCGACAAGCTCGCCGCCATGCCACCGAAGAAGGGGAAGAAGCCCGCGCCCGCCAAGAAGGCCGTCTCTGGCGACGACGACTGGGACATCCTCAACGAGTTCGCGACGCCTGCTCCTGCGCCCGTGGAAGCGGCGCCGGCGCCGGCCGAGCCCACGACCGAGGCCGAGCCTGCCGCCGTCGACGACGCGGTGGCGGCCCACTTGGCCAGCTTGGGTATCTCGGCCAGCGCGGCTGCGGACAAGAAGAAGAAGAAGAAGGGCAAGAAGAAGGGCGACGATGCCAAGGACGAGGCACCCGCGGCTGCGGCTGCACCTGCCCCGGCTGGCCCGAAGAAGCCCCTCTCGGCTGCTGCCAAGGCGCTCTTGGAACGCCAAGCGGCCCTCAAGGCCGAGCAGGAGCGCCTCCAGGCGATCCAGGAAGAAGAGGAGCGCCTTGAGCGGGAAGCCGAGGCCGCGCGCCTCGAAGTGATCCGCAAGAAGGAAGAGGCGGCCGAGCGCAAGCGTCTCGCCAAGAAGGCCAAGGTCGAAGCTGCCAAGGCCGAGGGTACCTACATGACGAAGGCGCAGAAGCTCAAGGCGCAGCGCGCGCAGGCGGCTTTGGAAGCCATGAAGGCGCAGGGTCTTGTCTCGATTGCTGCCGACGAAGAGAAGAAGCCTGTTGTGTACACCAACACGAAGAAGAACAAGAAGCAGCCCAAGAAGGAAGAAGACGTCGTCGAAGAGGTCAAGCCCGCGACCGAGGACGTGCCGGATGCCTGGGACGCCAGCGACAACGAGGACAAGGCCGAGGCCGACGCCCCGGACGCGTGGGACGATGATGAGTGGGACGACTCGGCGCTCATTGCGACGATCCAGCAAAAGGTCGAGGAGACGACGACGACGGCTGCCGAGGACGAGGTCGAAGATCTCATCGAGCTCGAGAAAGAAAAGAGAAGGAGCGTCTCCGCCAGCAAGGCTTGGCCCTTGCCAAGCGCCAGGCCGAGCAGGAAGCCGAGGCGGCTCTCGCGGCCGAGGCGGAGACCGTCCGCTCCAAGGCCAAGCAAGAGGAAGACCGCAAGAAGCGCGAGGCTGCCGAACGCCGCCGCGTTCGCGAGGAGGAAGCCCGTGCGGCCATCTCGGAGGATAACCTTCGGTCGCCGATTTGCTGTATCATGGGCCACGTCGATACGGGCAAGACCAAGCTCCTCGACAACATCCGCAAGACCAAGGTGCAGGACGCCGAGGCTGGCGGTATCACGCAGCAGATTGGTGCGACCTTCTTCCCTGTCGAGGCCATCAAGCAAAAGACGGCTGCGCTTCAGAAGGTGACCAACCTCCAGTACAAGCTGCCGGGTCTCCTCGTCATTGACACGCCGGGCCACGAGAGTTTTACCAACCTTCGCTCGCGCGGCTCGTCGCTCTGCGACATTGCCATCCTCGTCGTCGATATCATGCACGGCCTCGAACCCCAGACGCTCGAATCGCTGCGCCTCTTGCGTGCCAAGCGCGCGCCGTTTGTTGTCGCCCTTAACAAGATTGATCGCTGCTACTCGTGGAAGACGTGCCCGGACATGCCGATCCGCGACGCGCTCGCGCTCCAGAACGAACACGTGGTGCGCGAGTTTGAAGACCGCGCCAAGAAGATCATGGTCGAGTTTGCCGAGCAGGGCCTCAACGCTGAGGTCTACTGGCGCAACAAGGATCTCGGGCGCACCGTGTCGCTCATCCCGACGTCGGCGATTTCCGGCGAAGGCGTCCCGGATCTGCTCATGATGCTCACCAAGCTCACGCAGGAGCGCATGGCCAAGTCGCTTGCGTTTGTCGACATTCTCCAGTGTACCGTGCTCGAAGTCAAGGTCATCGAAGGCCTCGGCACGACCATTGATACGATTCTCGTCAACGGCTCGCTGAGCGAAGGCCAGACGATTGTCGTCTGTACGCTGGAAGGCCCGGTGGTCTCGACGATTCGATCGCTACTGACGCCGCACCCGATGAAGGAGATCCGCGTCAAGGGCGAGTACATCCACCACCAGACCATCAAGGCCGCGATGGGTGTCAAGATTTGCGCCCAAGGCCTCGAGAAGGCGGTGGCCGGCACGCAGATCCACGTCGTGGGCCCTGACGACGACGTCGAGGAGCTCAAGGACTCGGTTATGTCGGACCTCTCCAACATTATGGACTCTGTCAACGCGACCAAGCGCGGTGTCATGGTGCAGGCGTCGACGCTCGGTGCGCTCGAAGCACTCCTCGAGTTTCTTCGGTCGTGCGACCCGCCGATCCCGGTGGCGTGCGTCAACATTGGTCCGGTCCACAAGAAGGACGTAGTCCGCGCCAGTGTCCAGCTCGAGCACAACAAAGAGTACGCGACGATCCTCGCATTCGACATCAAGATTCAAAACGACGCCAACGAACTCGCCAACGAGCTCGGCGTGCGCATCTTCACGGCCGACATCATCTACCATCTCTTTGACCAGTTTACGGCGTACATGGACAACATCAAGGCGCTCCGCCGCGAGCAGTTTGCCGACGTCGCGGTCTTCCCCGTCGTCCTCCGCATCATCCCGACGTGCGTCTTCAACAAGAAGGACCCGATCATCCTCGGCGTCGACATTGAAGACGGTATCCTCAAGGTGGGCACGCCGCTTGTGGCGATCGTGGGCGGCGCGCTCGTCTCTGTCGGCCGCGTCGGCTCGATCGAGAAGGACAACAAGCCGACCGAGACGGCCAAGAAGGGCGCGAGCGTCGCGGTGCGTATTGAAAGCGACTCGAACGTGACGTACGGCCGCCACTTTGACCACACGGCCAAGCTCTACTCGCATCTGAGCCGCGCGTCCATCGATGCGCTCAAGGAGAACTTCAAGGAGGACCTCGCCAAGGACGACTGGCGGCTCGTCATTCGTCTCAAGGGCGTCTTTGGCATTATCTAAAGCACTCCTCGTCTTTATCTTAAGTCCTACTACTTCGTACTCGTCGTTTGGGTTCCGGTTGCAAAACGTTTAAGTAGAAAACAAAGGGATAGCTTAGTGGGCAATGATGGGGTGGTGTTAATACAGGACGATGGTGGGTGCCATCAGAAGGATGCAGAGGCGCGTGCGCTTAGTTCTTGTTCATGTACGTGTCCATGTCATCGTCCAAGTCGGCGGCCGACTTTTCCTCACCACGGCTATCGATGCATATGAGTCATCGAGTAAGCAGCAGGATCGAGTACGTACCCTCCCCGGCCACGACGGGCACCACCGCCGCCGTTGCGACGGCCACCGTTGCCACCACGGTTGCTACACACATCGCAGCCAGTGAGCACGACGATACCGTGTCGATAATGCCAAGACGCACCCGTTGCCGTTGCCGTTGAACGTCACCTTGAAGTCAACGTCCTTGCCGGTGGCGCCCTTGAGCGCCGTGCCGAACAGACCCGAGCGAACGTTCTTGCCGTTGTCGCCCTTGTTGGCGCTGTTGTTGTTGCCTTGGCGCGCGTTGCCCTCGTCCATGGTGATCTTCATGGGCTGGTTGTCCAAGGTGCAGCCTATTCGGGAATGCCGTGAGGGGTGGTGCCGAAGGAGGCTGGCTTTGGTACCATCGTATTTGTTGATGGCGGCCTGCGCCGACTGGATGCTCGTGAACCAAACACGAGCTTGGCCCTAGACATGGACACTTGTACAGCCAACCGCTCGATGGAGCGCCGCACGGGAGCCCGGCACGCGCGCGCCGTATCGGTCCATGGAGAAGACGTATCCAAGCGTCGCACGATGCGTGATGCGCGAGTGTCGTTCCCGAGTCGGCGAGAAGAAGAAGTTCAAATCAAGGATGGGGTCACACCTTGGAGCGGCCAGCGCGGTCGTAGAGGATCTCGTACTTGGCGACCTTGCCGACGGTGCTAAAGAGCTCCTTGATGTCGTCTTCCAAGACGTCGAATTTCAGGTTGGAGACAAAGATCTTGAAGCCCGTCTCGTCCTGGCCCTGCGCCTTGCCGCCAAGGCGCGAAAGGATCGACGCTACATCACAGCATCAGCGCCGGTCGCTGGCAACCGCACGTACCCTTGCGGCCCGACTTGTTGTTGTTGCTGTTCTTGTGATTCGAGTTGTCGTCCATGTCAACGTCATCGTCGCTCTACACCTCGCATGAGTCTTTCTCTTCTTCAAGCATGCCATCGTCTACCTTGCGACCATACGGCGTCCCGTTGCTGCGGCCGCGGCCGGCGTTGGCGCGGCCACGGCGGACCGGGCCGGCGCCGCCCGAGGACTCCTTGCCCCCGCGGCCACCCTTGTTGCCCGAGGACGCGGTCGTCTTCTTCTTCTGGATGAGGTCGTCAAGGCTCATGTCGAGCGAGTTGAGGAGCGACGACATGGTGATGGCTAGCTTCTTCTTCGTAGGAAACGAATCACTTTCTTTCCCCTCTCGCTAGCAACCAGACATGGTGCCGGATACCAATTTTAGAGCCTGTTTTCATTGGACGAGAAGCGGGATTTCCGGATACGATCCACGTTTCTGTGGAATTTCGAACTGAACTTGGAACCGCAGATCGGCCACGATGGGACGCTGGCTGGAGGTATATGGGACGCCGACGCCATCTAGTCCCATGGCACCGACCGACTAGAACGCATGATGTCGGCTGAGAAGCGCGGGATGGGGCAGCGCGGGATAAGGCGGGCCATCAGCTCGAGCTCGGATCTGCCTGCGGTACGATGCAAGCGCTGGGAGGAAGAGGCGGATGATATCTATTACAAGTGGCAAACTACTTGGCTTGGCAGCAACAGACGCACTTGCCGGCGCACATGCAAAAGTGGCATTTGGCGAGGACCGAGAAGCCAATCGTGGTCTTCCAGTGCGGCGGCCACCTATACCATGATCGTCGTCAAACCATGAGAGCCTCAAGTAGAGTAGAAGCGTACGTCTTTTCAATGGATGGGCGAGAGCACATGCGCAAGTACCACATTGCAAGCCGCGGGTAGAGACCGTCGAGCTGGAGGCCACATCGGACTGCGTACGCTACGTTTGTAAAGACGACAATGTCGCAGAGGCACGGCTCGTTGGCGACGAGGTAGTTGCGACCGGTCAAGTAGAGTTCCCAGAGCTTGAGCTCCGACTCGAGGTAATGCCACTTGGCTTGCAGCACGTCTGGGTTTGGTCGGATGTTCTTGGTCGCATTCGCCTGCGCGCGCCGGAGGTACACGACCATCTCGCCGACCATGGAGAGGATTTCGTTCGACTCGTGGAGGCGCGTCTGTGCAATCGCATACAGCTTCGGGTCGTTGGGGAGGAGCGGGTTGGGATAAAACTGCTCGAGGTACGCCAGGATCGCAGCGCACTCGTAGAGAATGACACCGGACGTGCCATCGGCGAAGACAGGCACGCGCATGCGCGGGTTGAGCTGCTGGAAGGCCGGCGTCTTGAGCACACCGCTCGAGAAGCTCACGCACACGCTGCGGTACTCGATCTTCTTTTCTTCGAGCGCAATCAAGACACGCCAGGCTAGACGTCAGCGATGCCACGATGAGGATCGACGCCAGCATGCGACAGGCGTCGTACCTTGCGGCGAGCCCGAGCCCCAGAACAGGACGCGCTCGCCAGGCTTGGCGTAGCTCTGAATGAGGTCCTCTTCCGTGCAGATCGAGTAGTCGTCGTCGCTCGCCGGCGACGAGTGGGCCTGCACGAGCGCCTCATGCTCCGTCGTGGGCTTGGCCGCGTCGTCCATCTTGTGCTGCAACAGAAAAATGGCGAAACGCAGCTTTATCAATTTCTAGAGGTTGTATACACCATCCGAGGTCGAGCATCCGGATACAAGAGGGTTTGTATATCCGGTAGGATTCGCCCCCCGACGATTGGGTCATTCTAGTGTCGTTTTAGCCAATGGCATGATGAGGATGGCTTCACACAGCTAAGTGCCATTTCTCTTGAGTGGCTCAAGTTGAACTTGGCGGTCGGTTGTCGACAGCGCGGATGGCCATCATCAAGGGGGCACGAACAGTTTATGGACCCTTGCCATCATCCCGCGACATCATACCAATGTCCTGCCACTCTTGAATCCTGAATGGTTGAATGCTAGCCTACGATTATGTACCAGTACGGGGATATGTCCACCTCGATCCAAGACTGACGGCACGCAGCTGGGTGGCATGGTATTCCATCCCACAGGGCATCGGCATCACGAGCGAGGTTTCACGGCTGTACCAGCACTCTTTTAATGCATGTTTTGACACTAAGAAGAGAGGCACTGTAGAGCAAAATGAGCGCGTTGGCTACAACAGAGATGTCTTGCGCTCTCAGGACCTGGTTGGGATTTCTACCGGGTTCAAGTTCTTGTGTAGTCCAATGGCAGCGGAAAGCAATTGTGCATCTTAAGCATGCATCGGTAGAGACGAGCAACTGCCCGTCCGAAGTCGAGAGTCTTCTTGTGTGTGCATTTCCTGTCTTATCCCCGCACCGGTCATCGACTTCTCTTCGCAGTGAACAAACAGGCTGTGCCGAACCTCGAGACAGTATTGAAAAGGTGTCGACCATTGAGCGAGTTTGCCGGATTTTTATGCTGGCCAATTATTGGACGAAATGTTTCGCGCAGCTTCCGCCGCGCTCTTGCGTCACCGCCCGGCGCTAGGCCTCCATGGCGCGCTCTTCGCAACGCCGCAGCGCGCCTTCGCCCTGCACTCGTCCATCATCGACCGTATGCAACTGCTTACAGCGCGCTACGAAGAGCTCTCCAAGGAGCTCATGGGGTATATCCTTTCTCTTCGATGATGGATTTGGCTCTAATGACGCATAGCAATGATGGCAACATTGCGCCATCGCGGATTGCCAAACTCTCGATTGAAATGTCCGAGATGGAGCCTGCCCTCGAGGCCATTCGTGAGCTGGAAGCGCGCCAAGAGTCGATCGCAGAGCTAGAAGAGGTATGATACCACCTCGTACGTGCACGTCCTGAGCCCTAGCAGGTGATTGCCGAGGCGACCGAAAGCAGCGATGCCGACTCAGCAGAGCTCCGGGCGATGGCGACCGAAGAAAAATTTGAGCTCCTCAGCGGCATTGACAGCTTGGAGAAGGACATCACCGTACACGTGGCCCATCATCATACATTGTAGCTCATCGGTGCTTCGTTTTGCTAGCGTCTCATGCTGCCAAAAGACGAAGCAGACGACAAGAGTGCAATTCTCGAGATTCGCGCTGGCACGGGTGGCGACGAGGCCTCGCTCTTCGCCGGCGACGTGTTGCGCATGTATCAAAAGTACGCTGCGCTCTGCGGCTGGAAATTTGAAATTCTGAGCTTGAGCGAGACGGACCTCGGCGGCTGCAAGGAATGCTCTGTCTCGATCACGGTCTGTGCAACGGCCACGTCGTCGATGCTTCAACGTATGGTTTGGGTAGGGCCGCGGCGCGTACGGTCGCATGAAGTTCGAGTCGGGCACGCACCGCGTGCAGCGTGTGCCTGTCAACGATACGCGCGTGCACACAAGTGCGATCACAATCGCCGTGCTGCCTGAAGTCGAAGAGGTCGCATGCCATCGCTTCCTGCCTTGTCTCACTTTGCACTTTGCATTTTAGATCGAGATGAAGAATGTCTTCTTGCCCAAGGATTTGCGCATCGATGTCTACCGAGCGAGTGGCGCGGGCGGCCAGCACGTCAACACGACGGAAAGCGCCGTGCGCATTACGCACTTGCCGACGAATACGGTCGTGGCCGTCCAGGACGAGCGGTCCCAGCACCAAAACAAGGCCAAGGCCATGAAGATTCTCTGTGCCCGCGTCTACGACGCCGAGCGCCGCGCTGCCCACTCGGAACGCGACAAGATGCGCATGTCGCAGATCGGGTCAGGCGACCGCTCAGAACGAGTGCGCACGTACAACTTTCCGCAGAGCCGCATTTCGGACCACCGCGTCGACGGCCTCTCGACCTTTGGCATGGACCGCATGATGGAAGGTCTTCTCTTGGACGAGATCATTGACGCACTCGTGCTCCACGACCAAAACGACAAGCTCCAGCGCATGAACGAACAGCTGAAATAAGACAGATTTGCATATATACTACTAGTAGCCGTGCTTTTCATATAGTTGAGCATGTTGGCTCTGTGAAGAAGGCCGAGACAAAATCGAGAATGGAAATGGCCACACGCCATGGCGTCACGGGAAAGGTGGGATGCAGTCTCCTCGCGCCTTGGTCGTAAATGGTGGCACCATACCCTACTACTCTTTCCAACAAGAAATTGCCATAAAGGGTCTCGGCGACGTGGCTAAAATTGTGCTGGAATGGTTATGCTCACGACGACGATGACGATGGCGACGATGGGTGCTCAGCGGCGTACACGGCAAGTTGATCGGCCTTGGAGAGTCCGAGGCGGCCGCGCCAGAGGTCTGCCACAACGGGCGAGTCGGTGGTGATGCCGCGGTGTACTTGCTCGAGGGCGTCGCGGCTGTTGACATGACCGTACCATTCCCCGTCTAGCATGTCACCTCGGAATCTCCTCTCCCACGCAGAATGCATGGTCGTACCAGGATGAACGATGCAGTTGCCCGCGAAGCGATGGCCGCCATAGTGGCTCGTCGCGTAAGCTTGCCATTCTGGAATGTCGATCTACCCGCTTTCAGATGACGCGAAGGACAACGATGACGCGTCTACCTCGATCCACTCGATGAGCTTGGGGCCCGCACATGCACAACGAAAGTCGCGGTTGGCATGCGCACACACAAATACGTGCTTGCCTTGAAGAGGAGCCACTGTCAGTCTAATAGTGCCAAGTGTCAATATCCATGTCCCGCTGCTGGGAGCCGCCTACCGCGCTTGGAGCGCGCCGAGGTCAATTTCCTCTTGGAGCAGCGATTCAGCCACAAAAGGCACTAGATCCCATGCGTTATCACTAATGAGAGCATGCATACTATGTACCGTCTTCCGCGCGAATATTGCGCAGGCGAAGGTTGTCGGGGAAGACGAGTGCGTCGTGCGTCATCGCATCCGACGTCGCATTCGCGTTCGTTGCGCCGGGGTGGGCCACGGAGACGACGAGTTGGGCGCACTCCTTGGTGTTGACCTTGTCAGTGATCTGTCGTGTTGCGTGAGCGATTAGCTTTGCAGCCTCGTCGCAGCGTACCGCACTGTATGCCGCGAGGATGTGGTCGGTCTGCTCAATCTTCTTGGGCCACGCCTCGGCCGAAAGCGACGGCTCGAGCAGAATGAGATGGCGTCGATGGTTCTACACTGGAGGCTTAGCTTTGCCTTCGAGTACTGCATGTTGTCGCTCTACCTGGACCGAACCTGCAATCGAAAACCAACGTCGATGCGTCGCGCGCAGCATTATGACAAGTGCGGAAAAGGCAACGTCGCGCCATTGCGTTATATAGTGTGAGCTGCTCTAAATAATGTATTTTGGGTGGGCTCAGTGAACCAGAGGGTGGACTGAGATGGCACCCAGATCACGGGTTAGAGCTGCACGCCAAAACAGGCTTTTGAGTGGAAGCTACACGCGTGCAACGACGAGGAAGATACTCCGAGAGCTCTACACAGCCTAGTCGTCTTGATGTAAATGGATCCCTCTGGGCAGCCCTCTGATTCTCAAGGTGTCGGTCGGTCAGCGTTGGCTAAACGCACACAATTTGTTGCCGGACAAACCACGCATGAGGACCATGTATGAAGACGCGATCACGTACGAGCCAGGTACGATACATTCAATTTTACACCTTCCTCCTAACCTCCTTGCCGTACAACGCACTAGCCTTCAGCTCTCTCAGATCCTTCGCAGCCACGTGGCTGGTGTAATAACGCTACTGTTGGCATTTGATTGCGCCGTCCCGATCTTGAAGGGACATGGTGACAGGCGCCGACGCCATCGGGTGGCGCGTTGAAGTCTTCTGGGAAGACGAGGAACAATGGTTCCAGGGCGTCATCACAGAGTACTCGGACGACGATGGCTATTACGTCAGCTACGACGACGGCGACGAAAAGTGGCAGGTACAGCAGACCGTCTACACAGACTTGGCAACACGCGATGCTTTTTTGATGCATAGCCCAGCGCAGCGCCAGACGCAATGCGCTTTCTGGCCAAAACGATTGCTGTCGACGATGCAAGTACTGAGTTAAAGGGCTCGTTGCCTGTGGCCGCAAGCCACGACTACTCGGAGGACGGGTTCGAAGACAAGCCCGAGATGCCGATGCAGTCGTTGCAAGACGGAAACACATTGCTGGAAAGCGACGAGGCGACACCAGAGCCCACCCCAAGACAACACTCGGAATTGCCACTGCAAGTCAAGGTCACCGAACCGAGGGGAACGACGCCGGTCGTAGCACCGCTTCTGCGCGCGCGACCTGTGCCTGCCAAGCCCGTCCGCAAGCCCGCGAGCAATACTATCTTCTTCAAAGACCGAGAAGAGCTGCAAGAAATGCGCACGAAGCTCGAGGCTACAAAATTAGCGCTGACGGACGAACTCAGCAAGCTCAAGGTGTCTCTCAAAGCCGCGGATGCGACGTCTGCGCAGCTCAAACAGACCATGTCGGACCTCACGGCCAAGCTTACTGTCGCGCAGCTCCACCCGACGACAAACGCGCCCAGTGCATCGTCGATGGACGAGCGCATGCTCGAGCTTACCGCACGCAACCGTCAAATGACCGCTGAGAACGCAGAGGTCTCGACATGCCGTGATGCTTTGATGTTTATGACATTGTCGTTGGTTGGTAGCTCGCGACAACGAAGCGCGAGATTCAAGGACGCGTGGATGCGCTGCGAGAAAAGCAAACGCGCTAAGCACCAAGTGGGCCAACGTACCCCAGAGGCACAAGGTCACGCTTGTGGAAGTGCAACTTGAGATTGCACTTTTGCTGCAGCACAAGAGCAACTTGGAGGCGACGCTGGCGACGCGCAAGGTGCCGTCCAAGCCTACAACTACGGTCGATGTTGACGGCTACAAGGCCAAGCTGGCGGCTGCTGATGCGCGGATATGGGATCTCAAGCGCGAGAGCCTCGACTGGAAGCAGCGGTTCGAGCAGGAGCAGGCCAAAGCATCTGCGCTCAACGCCCGCCGCGTGAATCTCGGCGCTCAGCTTGCGCGGTTTCGGTCCTCGAAAGCTCTCTTACGCCGTGCGTTTGATCGGTGTGATGGCAATGGTGATGGGACTCTCACCCTCGACGAGACAGTGCAAGTTCTGCGTTTGCTGTCACCCGGCGGCAACGGCGACGATGACATCGAGGCCTCAATTCGCACCTATTTTGCGTCGACCGATGCCAACCGCGACAACGCGATCGACTTTGACGAGTTTTGCAAGGCGTTTGAACATCTCATGACCGCCTAGTCATCCGACTCGACATTACTACAGTGTTATCGAGGTCATATAACTCGATGGGACCGTGGTTGTACAGCTGCAGCAGGGGATGCCGCGGCGTGTCTGGTTTCCAAACATACTCCGGAAAAATGCGGTATCCGACCATATGAGAGTTGTAAAACTACCCCAAGAGTAGGGGATGCAGACGATTTGCTTTCAACTTGTAGCGTGCGTTTTTTAACCGGATCAGGAGACATACTTTGACACTCGTCGTCGACTTCACGTGTAAATTGCAAAAAGACAACAAATACATTTAATCAATTTACCGTATCTCCTACGTCATGCAACAATGTCAAAACGCTGCATGTACGTAGTTGAACTGTCGCACCCCCCATGGGTCAATAACGACCCTTGACATTACGCCGGAAACCAAAGGATGCCCCAGATCATCTCGGGCACTTAAGGTCAACGACATCTTGTCGAGATGTTATTGAACCGAAATAACTCGACGCAACGTTTACCAAAGTGACGCGGTGCGCCAAGAGCGACTAGAATATCATGACAACAATTTACTAGTTCCAGTCCCCCTCCTAACCAGGTACCTTGTATCAACTAATCAAATGCACCAATAATACTGGTAGGAACCTCTGGTTACACCAGCCCAGGGGGGATTAATTGTCTGTCCGTCCGTCCGTCTCCGTGTCTGTCTCCGTGTCCACGGCTGCAGTGATTGGTAGAAATTGTGTCCGCGGCTGCAGTGATTCGTAGAAACTCAAAAGATACACTCTTCGCGGCGTGTCGCTGAACCTCTTTCCCATTGGTCAAAATTCCCTGAAACAGCCGATGTGTCCTACTCTTGTATCATCTTGGCGCCACGTCGCTCGAGCTCTGTGGTGTTGCGCCGGGGTTGTCTGTGTGCACCACCATCTCAAAAAAGCATGAACGCAACAAAGGCGAGCGACACCTGAAGAGAAGGCTGCGCGGCTCCAAAAGCAGCGCCAGGGCAAACAAACGCACGCTCCGCTCAAAAGGCGAGCGGCACGCCGACGCAGAAGGCTGAGCGGCTCGCTGGAACATTCTCTGTCCGTTTACAACCGTGTTGTCTCCTCGTCCCACTTGATGTGCATCCCTCGTCATCGACTTGGCCACGTATAACCCTCGCGCCGTCGTCACAGCTACACTTGCCAACACAACTTGAATCAGCCAATGCCACCACGGCAAGTCGTGGGAAGGGGACCGATCGACAATTTCGAATTCAACTACCCCGTGCTCGCCTTCAACGGCCACTTGCAACATCTCGCCTTCAACGGCCACTTGCAACAATACCTCCGTCGCAGTCCTCGAGCGCCACATTGCACGAGGCGCCCGCAGCGAGGTGCCCGGACCCGGCATCACGCTGGCTTTCCTGGCAGCAAGCAGCGTCAGCCTGGCCAACAGCTTCGCCGATAACACGCAAGATGCGGTCACAAACTGCATGCCCCGCATTTCACAACCTTCACATAACACAATGAGCGACGCTGAAGACACACGCTTCAAGTGTTTCGCACTTCCACCGGCTCCATTGCTCAACTTTCCCTCAAAATGAGGTTTCCTACCAGCCCACTCCGCAGGAACCTAGTATCTGCAGCACAAGCACAATCTCGACCCAACGCAATGGCCGTGGGATCGATCTCTGCACAAAGGTAGAGTCGTCACCTATAACGCAGGTAGTAGTTGCAACGGGTTCACGCGACAGAGGCACAAGAGGAGGTGGAGCTGAAGTCGACGCTCCATCCACGGGAGGCAACGATCTCTGTCAATGCAAGGGCTTGACGGAAGGACACCCACGAGACCCAACGCGTATGCAATGCTACGTGCTGTGTATTTATCGCGATATTCTTCGTAGTCGGCGCCATAGGCTTCGTTGTGGCGATTGAAGCTGTACAGTAAGCGGCAACACAAATTCCTGGAAGTAGGATTGGAGCTCGGGGTCGAGCGCGGTTGCGGCAAACTCGACCATTGCGCACTCGCCCGCGCCCATGTAGAGCTTGGTCACAATCGACACAAGAAACTCACTTCGCTGACTCATGTGGTACCGGGGCGCGTCGGCGGACGCTGGACCGCGCCGGGCGTCAACGCGACATGCGTCCGATGCCCGCGAGAGCGCGCTCTCAAACTGACTTCGGAGCGCTTGGCGCCGCTCGATCTCGGTGAGGATCGCCGGTGTGACAAAATTGAGCACCTTGACGCGCGACACCATCGAAATACGTGGTGCTTCTGGAAGCACGCGGCTCCGCTTGATGACTTGAAGGATCGATCTCTTTGTTCTAGCGCGATGCATGGATGGCACTGGCGTAGTAGGCGGCTGCACTTGACTCGGCTCGAGCGGCGAGACGGTCGCAACTGTTGGATCGACCACACTGCGACGCTGCGACACCTTGGACGACTGCTTGGAGAGAACGACGAGCGCTCGAATGCTGGTCGGAAGGTACGTGCCGTTGCCTCGTAGGCGGTTGAGAAACGTTTGGCGCGGCGACTTGTCGGCAGAGCTGATGCGCTTTTTCTGCGCTTGAGCTTCCAGCGCGTGCAACGACATACAAATGCGCTCGAGCAACAAGCTGACTTTGTAGCTTCCGTGCCACAGCCAAAACGCAGCGTGGATCGCTGCAATCGCGTCCTGGGACAGCATCTCCATGGTGTTAGCGTTGGCTTCGGTCGTTGCCGCTGTCAGGATCTCGGCCACAACGTGCGCACATTTGGTGACGGTGACGAGCGAGGGCTGTCGAAGACCAAGCACAAGCTGGTGGAATGCGCTCGGGTGACGTAGCCACAGAGACGGTGGCAAAACGGCGCTAACGCAAGTACTGTGGGCTGTGTGGATGGCGTCGATGACAAACTTGGCTTCGGTCGAGGCGCAGAGCGCAGCGAGGACATGCAGGAAGACGACTTTGCTCAGATGCCAATACCGCGCCTTGTAGCACTGCAGTAGGAAGAGTGCGATTGTTTCTTGAGCGCCGTCGACGCCGATGTTTTGCAAGAGCACCTCGAGGCTGCGTTGGTACAAATCTTGCATATTATCCGCGGCCGTGTCCTGCGATTGCGTGATCGAAAGCCACGGCTTGTCGCGAATGCGCACGATAGGGCACGGCGATGGCGCGAGAATGCTCGCCGACACCGAGCTGCGGCGCCGCTTCAATGACTTGTGAGACACGGGCTTGGGTGCCGTCACCGTCGTGGGTGTCACCACTACACGACGTGCGTGTCACCCTGATATCGATCGAAATCAGAGTTACCTTGTATGTCGTTGATACGTGCAACTTTGATGCGCTTCTCCGGTGCCTTGGCGTGAGCCCCGCCTCGATGCACTTGCATGTGACGAGGCAAAGGCCGGTCGTTGTTCGTCTTGTCTTTGAGCCACAACTTGTGCGGCATCACAAGTGCTTCCGACAGCTCTCCGATCACTCGCTTGTTCTTGCGCAGTCCCTAAACCAAAAAGTTGACACCTGATCATTGAAGACTCGGTCTTGTGTACTGCAATGTGGCAAAACCACAGTGTCTGGATCGCATAGGTCCGGCAGAGCGGGTGACTGTCACTCGATGCGAGCTCACGCAGTCGAGTCAAGATACCTTCGTGGTCCAGCGGGTGCAGTTTGGCCGCGTCGACGTAAAATGCTGCGATGGCTCCAACGACGCGGACCTGGGGCTGCGGAGATTCGAGCAGCGTCAAGATCGAGACGTCGGGGATGTGAAAGTGCCGCGCACGACGACCGTTGATGACCCACGCGAGGATGCCCACGACCGGCAGCGCAGCGAGCTCGTAATAGAGGTTGTCGTGCGGTCCGCCCGCCGCAAGGTACATGAGACCACACAGAGTCGCGTATATCGCGCACGAAAACGAGAGCACGCGAATGTTGTTGGGGACGCGACCACTCCCAATGCACTATAGACAATGTTTTCCATCCATTGGGAGATTGGAAGTGGATGCTATGTCGTACCGGCTGTGTCTTGTACGAGTAGACAAGCAGCAACAGCATCACCGCGAGGTACGCGAGGAGGATGCAAACCGCTTGACCCACGTGTGTCTTGACGTCCAAGCTATTGACGAGCATCGCGACAAGGGGGTCGACTAGGATCACAAACACACCATGAGCTCAGATCTCAGATCAGAGTGCAACGGACTGGTGCGCGCCATGACCATGATGATCTGGTACCCGCTCTGGAACTCGAAATCCATCGAGGTGCTCAGCGGTTCAATGTAGATTTTGAACCGAAGCGCGCCAGCATACATGAGCACAAAGCCTGCGAGGCCGACTGACTAGTCGTATATTGTCAGATCTGGGTCGGGTTCTGGACTTGTCGGAATCTGGTCGTACCGAGTAGAGGCCAAACCAGTCGACGCATTGGCAGGTGACGCCGCCAGGCAGCGCGATGCGGTAGCGCATGTCGTCGGGACACGTCGTGAGACGCAGGAAGGTGAACATGAGCGGGATATAGAGCACGTCGAGTGTGATCGGATACACGTATTCGTGCAAGAGCTCTTCGCCTATGGTTGACATGTTAAATCACCCAAGACACGCCGTGAGCGATACAAAAATGGGACGAAGCGCTCCGGAACCGCAGAAAGAGAATGAGCACGCCGCACGTCGCCGCAATCCCCAAATTGATGATCTAGCATCGTCCCACATTTCATTTTCACGCTCGACGACGACGAAATGAAAGATTGTGTACCTCGGTCTGCATGGGCAAGTGCGCGAGCCACTCCTCGACCACGTTGTGCATACCTGCAGCCTCGAACGCGAGCGAGAGCGGCGCTAGGAGCAGTGACGGCAACTCCAGCATCATCCCGACCAGCTTCATGTTGCGCTGAAAGACAGGCCGTCTCGCCGAGGACGAGAGCCGCTGGGACATGGCCACGGCAATGCCTACAGTGCGGGCCAATATGATAGGTTCAGCCGTCTTTTTGTGACAGCCGTTACAGTTTTTCACCAACAAGTGTGAAAAGGGTGGCAATCGAAAGCTCTTGCCACAAGCGATCGATTGCCACCGGAATTGGTGAAAAATGTTGGAAATTGGCGGAGGAATCGCTACTAATAGGTTTTGGACCCTGGCAAGAAAGATAGGTTCAAGGTCAACCTGCCGTCATTTGACGATTTCTACTGACGACCGAAGGCGCGAGGTAGGCTGAAATTGATCATTAGTGCGTGTACGACATATAACCTGCGTGTTAGGGTGGCAATGGGCCGAGGAAAGGCTTTAACCTCGTACGAACAGGGGCAAATTGCTGCTTTTGCCTCCCAGGGCTTCAGCCAACGCCGTATCGCGCAGGAGATCGGCCGAGCGCAAAACGCAGTCTGCCACTACCTCAAGGACCCCGAAAATTACGGCAAGCGCTATAAGAAGGGCCGTCCGTGCATTCTAAAGCCACGAGATCAGCGTCGGTTGTTCCGGGCAGCGGGACCGGGCGACTTGAGCTCCGCAAAACTCGTCGACAAGCTCAACCTACCAGTATCCCGGCGTACGGTGTCACGGATCCTTACATCCTCTGGCATTTTCAAGTACGTCAAGATGAACAAGGCGCCTCGTTTGAAGCAGCGGCACAAGGATGCCCGGGTCGCTTGGGGCGAAAAATATGTCAATACTACTGATGATGTCTGGGCCCGTACCTTCTTCTCCGACGAGAAGAAGTGGAACTTGGATGGCCCGGATGGACTCAAGTGCTATTGGTACTGCCTCAGGAACGATCCGAAGGTCGCGTTCAGTCGCCAGAACGGCGGTGGCTCGGTGATGGTCTGGGGCGCCTTTTTTGCCAACGGCAAGACGGAGATCGCGTTCCTGGACGGCAACCAATGCGCCGAAGACTACGTCCAGACGTTGAAGAAATACCTTTTGCCCGTCATGCGTCGCAAATTCCGACGTCGCGGCATCTTCCAGCAAGATAACGCCAGCATCCACACGGCCAGGGTGACGAAGAGCTTCTTTCAGGAGTCGAATTTGACCGTCATGGATTGGCCTGCGCTCTCTCCCGACCTCAACCCGATTGAGAATGTGTGGGGGCTCCTTGCGCAACGCGTCTACGGCTTCGGCAAGCAGTACGACACTGTTGACGACCTTAAGACCGCCATTCTGGCCGCGTGGGAAGGACTCGACCCTATCTACCTCTCGAACCTTGTCGCCGGCATGAAGAAGCGTTGCCTTGATGTCTACAGGTCCAAAGGAGAGCCTATTGGCAAGTAAACGCTCAAATAAAGCTTCGATTTGCATCGTATTCACCATATTTCGGACTTGAACCTATCTTTCTTGCCAGGGTCCAAAACCTATTAGTAGCGATTCCTCCGCCAATTTCCAACATTTTTCACCAATTCCGGTGGCAATCGATCGCTTGTGGCAAGAGCTTTCGATTGCCACCTTTTCACACTTGTTGGTGAAAAACTGTAACGGCTGTCACAAAAAGACGGCTGAACCTATCATATTGGCCCGCACTGTACGTATCACGCATGGTACCAGGGTACTCTTTCTAGTTTGAGCACCTTGCGCGAGCGGGTCGTGTATCTTGGCCGCGTCAAACGCAAAATGCTTGCTCGTTGACTTGTCGCTTTGAAGCATCCCGACCGCAAGCAGGATCCAGAGACTCGCGACAAAGATCAGCGTCGCCTCGTCGAGCCATTTGAAGCCGCACGCGGGCCAGTCGGCCTTGCGACACACACTGGATGCGTTGCCCGAGAAGCAAGCGAGGTCCGTCATGGCGGCGCCTGGCTACCTCGTGGGCTATTTTGGTCGTACGGACTGAAAGGCGTTGCAACCAAGGCTTAACAACACGCTCTGCGGGTTTTTTTGTATTTTCGGAGGTGGTCTTGTAGGGTTAGGTACGAGGCGTGCGCGTCTCGGATGTTGTCGGTGGCTTCTGGGCTCAAAGGGCACTGGGGTGGTCCAAGGTGAGAACATTCATAAAGCTACATGGATCAACAAATTAGAGCTACCAGTGCCTTATCTTTCCGCGGGTCGCTCGATCGATATCGTTTCAACGCGAGTTGATGCCGCCGAACCTCAAACTTGCGTAAACGAACATCAACGAGACCCTCCACTTAACTGGTTTTACTTCTACTAGAACAGTCTACCAGTACATTCTCGCAAGTGCCCGATACTAGTCGCGGCTACATGGCCTATATATTGCTACCCAATCCCACCCGCGCCACGCTGCAAACGATGTTCAAAACAGCGCAACATGTTCAAGCTCCATCGGGTGGCTCACCATCGATTGTGCTCCCTACGATGCAAAGAGCCACGAGACGCGACGGGACGACGAGGGACCGGGCGCTGTCGCTGCGATCGCAAGGTACGGCTTGATGTGGTCTTCAAAGAACGCGCAAAGGTGTGGTTCGACTGCATTGGTGATGTAGTCCTCGATCGCACATCGGTCGGCCATCTTGTACAAGCCCACGAGATATGCTGCCACGCTGACAAGCTCACTATTGCGATGGCCGCTGCGCGGCGCACTCTTGTCCAAGGCGGCGACAAAGCTGCGTCTTGGGCTTGCACTGTGGTGCACCATGTATGCCTGCTGCAAGAGGTCATCGACCTCCTTACGGAGTGTCCGCCGACGGTCGATCTCGGTCGCCACATCGTGCGGCACGAGAGCATAGCGGTCGCGCCGTTGCTTGCGGCGGGTAGCCTCAGGAGGAGACTTGCTCGGCGCATGCTCGGGACTGCGCACATGGGACTCGGGCATGCAGCTCTCTCGGGATTTGCAGCCCGACACAATGGACTCTCGCACGATCGGCTGCAAGAGACTCGCACAACGTGGCCCGCGTTCACTATGACCTCGTTCCTGCAGAGGGTAGGCGTTCGTGGGCGTTGACGAAAGTGCACGGCGTAGCGGCGGGTTGGTGGAACATCGGTCCTCGGCCAGACCCGTCCGCGACTCGGGTCGATCCGCTGTCGAGGTTGGTAGGGACGGTCGAATTTGAACGCGGCTGGTCACCGACAGCAGCGTGGCATCGCGCCGTGTCTGCGACATATTGCGCGAGGCGAACGATCGGCGCACACCTGGCGCCAGCATGTGGGCGACGCCATGCCGCAGCTTGGCAAGCCACGGCGCGTTCTCGTCACCCGCGTCGCTGCCTGCTGTGGTCCAGGCTTTTCGATGTCGTTGACGCGTCTCGAGGTCCTGCAAAAGGAGGTAGATGCGCTCGAGTGTGTCGCTAATGTCATACGCGGCATGCCAAACCCAAAACGCATGCGAGAGCTTGGCCATGGACGACGGTAGAAACAGATGGAAGAGGTCCACGTCGTGACCCGCGTTCATGACGGCCGCTTCCAGCACCATCCAGAGCACCGTGGCGCACTTGAAGACGGTCAATCGACTTGAGTGGCCGAGGGCATGCATAAAGTAGTTGAGGAACGACGCGTGGCGCAGCCAAAGGCCGATGGGCACGACGCCTTCCGTGCACGCGGCGTATAGGCTGTGCGTCACGTCCATCACGAGCTTGGGGTCGTGGGTGGCGCAGAGCGTCGCGAGAATTTCCATGTACGCGAACTTGCTGAGCTGGAGGTACTGCGACTTGTACCACTGCAGAAGGAAGATCGAGGCTTCGTACATGGCCGTGGGGTGCTCCATGGCGCGTGCGTGCGCCAATGCCTCGAGGCTCCTTTGGTAGAGCTCTTTGAGCGCGTCGGCAGCTTCGTCGGGGCGCTCAGTCTTGGAGATCCAGTGCTTGTCTTGCACGCGAATGACATGAAAGGGTTGTGTGCCGCGCGCGATGATGCGCCCGCTCGACCCATCGCCGAGTGGCAACGAGGTCGTGAAGCTTCGACTTTTGGACGAGACGGTCACGCGTGTGGGAACGCGCTTGCTGCCTCGGCGCGCATCCATCGCGATCACCTCTACGCATCGATACGTTGTTCATTTGCCGGCAAGACGATGCTGAGAGACTTAGTGTGTCGTCGACAGAGCATAGATCAATGTGGTGTTTTGACGAAAAGCGGCTCGTGCGCGCAATGCGCGGGCGTTCGGGTTGGCGTCGTCTGTCCGCCACCAGTTGTCTGGCAAGACGGCAGCCGCGTCGCACTCGCCAACGACCGCATCACTGAACCGATAACTCTACCTCCATGCAGTATGGGAGCTCAACATGGCATGGATATATGGGTACCTCGACGTGGCAAAACCAGAGGGTTCGGATGGCATAGATGCGGCAGAGCGGGTCACGCTTCGTGCCTTTGGCCAGTGCTTCGAGTCGCCGGTAGATGGAGGCATAATCCCGCGCGTTCACTTTGGTCACGTCAACGTGGAAGGCCGCGATGGCGCCGACAACGTGGGCCTGCGACGACGGGTGCTCGAGGAGATCGAGGATCGAGAGGTCGGGGATGTTGTACAACGAGGCGCGACGGTTGTTGAGCGTCCACGCCAGGCCCCAAACCACCGGCAGCAGCGTCAGAGCATAGTAGAGCGGCGTTATATCACTGCCCGTCACGACGAGAGCGAGCACGCAGAGAGAGGTATAGATCGAGCTCGAGAAGGAAACGGCGCGAAGGTTATTGGGGACTCGACCGCTTCCAATGCACTACGTAATAAACATTAGAGAGCGTCATGGCAGGCGCTGTGGGGACTGTACAGGTTGTGTCTCGTACGTGTAGAGAAGCAAGAAGGACGCGCAGAGGCAGAGACAAATCGAAATGCCAATGGCAGCGCCGGGGATGCGTGCCAAGTCGACCGCGTTGACAAGGATCGATACCACGGGATTGTCTACATGTCGCTGTCATAAGGTCATACGACACGAGCAAAAGGTCGCACGGGTGCGGGCCATGACCATAATGACTTGAAAGCTGGTTTGGAACCGAAAATCCATGGTTGTGCCCAGCGGCTCGATGTGTGTTTTATAGTGCAGCGTGCTGCCGTAGAGGAGAAGAAATCCCAGAAGCCCACACACCTACCCCCGTCAAGTTGCATTTCATACTGCAGGGCGCAAGAATACCCAGTATACGCCGTAGTGGTCGACACACTCGCACGAAAGCGTGCCGGGCAGCAACATGTGGTCGTAGCCATTCGGGCAGGTCGCGAGACGCAGAAAGGTCGTGATAAACGGGATGTAGAGCACGTCAAACGTGATGGGGTAAGCAAACCGCATGAGCAACGCCTCGTCTAGTACACTGTTCGTGCCGCAGCGATATGTCAACAGGAGAAACGCTACTTTTGGTGGCGCATTGCCGGAGAAGCAGAATACAAACGCCGCAGAGGGCGGCGACAAGCACATTGATGGCCTAAACGGAAATGAGCCATCCTGGCGAATCCAGTGGAAAGAACCAACCTCGCTCGTTGTTGTGAGCATGCTCAGCATGTGGGTGAGGTTGTGGGACTCGTTGGTGGCTTTCATCGCGACGAGGAGCGGAGTGCACGTGAACGATGGCCACTCAGCCACCATCGCACAAACTTTGAGGTACCGGAGGAGCCGCGGTCGCTTGACCGAGTCGGACCGCCGCTGTGAGAGAGCAACCGCGACACCTACAAGACATCGTGCTCCGTGCTGACGCCACGTACGCCAACCTTGGGCGAGAGGGTCGTGGATTCTTTTCGGGTCGAACGGAAAGAGTTTGGTTAAACCACCGTGGCGCTGTAGCATAACGATGCCGACGCCGAGCCAGACGATCCAGAGAAATCCGACGGGGGCGAGCACGAGCCATGCGTAGCCGCACGCCGCCCAGTCATGCTTGCGGCAGCCCACGTCGGAGAAGCAGTCACCCATGGCAGAGACAAGTACGACGGGAAACGATTCTACGCGCTAAATTTACTCCGGAAGCAACGTACACATGGATGTTTCATCCCTCTTCCAGAACATGGGTGCCACGATAATCACGACAATATTGTCAAATAGTTTCAGCTAGAAACTCGAGACGTAGACAGCGAACATCTATCCATCCATTCTGTTAAACTACGATGCAGGACATGACACTAAAAGGTCCACGTTGGTAGACAGGACATCCGCTTGCGTCGTTGAATGTGCCGAGTCATTGCGGGGGACGTGTTGATAATGATGAAGAAATACGCTGCGACGGTGGACCCAAAACGCCCCTCAGGGGCCGAGTAGGTTCCTTTCGTAGCGCTCGTAGAAATGCCAGCATTCGTGGTCGATTGACACCTTGTTGGTCTCGTGCGCGAATGCTCGTACCGGGCTAGAGAATTTCTGGAGCGCCCTATGATGATGGCTGAGCCATTCTTGGAGGCGACGCGTTGTTTGAGGCACTTGAATGTTTTCAAGGTGGTCGAGAGGGTGCGCGGTCATGCACAATAGTGGATGGCCCAACGAAGCAAGGTGGCCTTGCCGACCCCGTACTAAATTGACAAGCTGCTACAAGAACACACTCATCGATTCAACGAACGTCGGGATTCATTCAAAGTGGTCAATTCGATGCGCCAACGCGGTCAAGTGCGACGCCACCATCGTGCCCAGATGCTTTTGTATGACTCGGCTTCGCAGCACGCGACGTACGGCTTGACGTGCTTTTCAAAAAACGACACGAGGTCCTTGTCGAGCACAGTGTAGATGTAGTCGTGCAGCGCACACTCTTCGGCCGTCGTGTAAATCTTCATGAGCGCGTTGAACGCGCCAAGGACGCCGTGGTTGGTCGACTTCCGACCTGTCGACGATCGTCGCCGTGACACGTTTGGCGCGTCCTTGAGCCACTCGACGCCGTTCACAAGCGGCTCCATGAGCATCTCTTCAAAGAGGTAGTAGGTCTTTTGCAACTCGGACTCAAAGTGGCTTCGGAGCTGACGCCGGCGCGCAATTTCCGACAAAATCGCCGACGTCACAAACACATATTCGTTCGTCTTGGTCGCGGGGGTGTGTGGCGAGGTCGGCTGGAGCAAGTCCATCGAGAGCCGACGAATACGGTCCAGCGTCGACACTTTGCTCGTCTTGCGATTGGCCGGCACATAGCTCACCTTGCGTAGTGCATCGTCGTCCACAACTGGCGCGACGACGCCTGTCGCTCCTTCGGGCGTTCCCTCGAGGGTCGTCGTCATGCATGGACCCAGAAACTGAGCCATAACGCTTGGTCGCGGGCCTGTATCGTTGACAAAGACAATGGCTGCCTTGCGCGACGCCTTCCGAGACGTATCTTGGGTTAGTGAGCTCGATGCGCTGAGCGTCCGGGGCACGATCATTGACATGTTGAGCCATTGCGCCCGATCAAAATGTGCACCTTCCTTGTCGAGCTTGATAAACGACGCTTGAAGCTCTTTTGAGTGGGACGTAACATCAATCGACCGCCGGTTGTGCCACAGCTTGCGCCGCTGGTCGTCTTCGATTCGGTGGAGGCTCAAGCAGCAGCGCTCGAGCGCGACGCTGAGGTTGTATGATTCGCACCACGTATGGAAGGCCGTTTGGATCTTGCCGATCGACTCGGGCGTCAAGAGCACATACAAATTCGTCTTTGGGTCCGCTTCCGCACACTCGAGGATCGATGCGAGGACCGACGCGCACTGATAGACGGTCTCTTTGCTGCTCTGTCCGAGGCTCAGTACAAAATTATTGAGAAACGACGTGTGCTGGAGCCAAAGCTCGGGCGAGAAGAAGCCCTCGGTGCAGAGCTTGTGCAGCGTACACGTCACGTCGAGGGCGAGCTTGCGGTTCGCTGACGCACACAGCGTCGAGAGGATGTGGAGGTAGACGGTCTTGTTGAGCCGAAGGTACTGGGTTTTGTACCACTGGAGCAAAAACAGACCGATTTCGTGCATGGCCTCCCGGTCGTCCATCGCACAGCTCTGCGAGAGCACTTCGAGCGCTAGGTGGTGCAGCATCTCGTGGTGCACCATCGCGGCTTCGGGCGCTTCGTTCTTGCAGATCCAGTGCTTGCCCCGGAGGAGGATCATAAAGTACGTTTGCTTGGCCAGCGACCGCTCGCGAGCGCACACGAGGTTGTGGTCGATCGTTGCGATCGCCACCTTGGCCAAACGCGTCATCGGGCGGCGCAACTTGGATTTGAAAATATCCGCTGCGCGCGTCCCCGCCTTCTCGAAGCGATGCCGGGTCGAGAGCACATCGACGTCGAGCACGTCTAGCAGCAATGAGACCAGATGGTTTTGTGACGTGGCAGCGCACCGATGACGGACTCGATGCGCGTCAGCTTGACGCGCTGGAGGGCCGTGGTGAGCGCCGTCTTGGGTGCGCGTTTTGGTCGGTCTGGGTTCTCGCGGTCTTTGTAAAAGAGCGTGCACGGGATCACGAGCGCGTCGTTGGGTTCGCCAATCGCACATTTTGCTTTTCGAAAGTTCTACAATATCATCAAAAATGGATAATAATATCAACTTCAAACTCGGACCCGAATGTAGCAAAACCAGAGCGTTCGAATCGCATAGATGCGACAGAGCGGCACGCCGAGCATCGAGTGCTTGGCGATACTGTGCAAGTGAAACACAATGGCTTCGTGGTCCACGTGCCGGACCTTGGCCGCATCCATATACAAGGCCGCAATGGTCCCGACCATTTTGGCCTGTGGCGATCGTTCCTGGAGTAAATCCAGAATCGAGAGGTCGGGGATGTAGAAGCGCCGCGCGCGCTTGTCGTTGACGCGCCACGCAAAGAGCCAAATGAGCGGCAGCGACAGCAGCGCAGCGTAGAGTCCGTTGAGTGGCAGCGGCGTGAGAAGGTACACCAAAACACACAGCGTCGTGTAGAGTGAGCTCGAAAACGACAGCACGCGAATGTTGTTGGGCAGGCGGCCGCTCCCAATGCACTAGCGATGACACACAAATGAACGAGATTTCGCAAGGAATTGCAGCGTACCGGCTGCATCCGGTAGGTGTAATGGAGGAGGAACGACACGCAGACGAGAAAGCCCAGCGCGGCGGGAATCGCGGCCGTTTTCTGTCCCTCAAGCTGGAGCCCAATAACGAGCACCGAGTAAATGGGGCTGACTAATGTTCACACAGAGTGCTCTACATCGTTGGTAGAGATGATCACGTACGTGTGCGGGCCATGACCATAATGATTTGAAAGCTCGTTTCGAATCGAAAGTCCATGGTTGTGCCCATGGGTTCAATGAACATTTTGTAGTAGAGCGAGCTCGCGTACAAGACGACAAAGCCGAGAAGGCCCACGGCCTATTCGAGGGCGTGACCGACGAAGCGCGTATGCAGTCGTACCCAGTAGATGCCGTAGCGATTCAAACACGCGCAGGTCGCACCGCCCGGCAGCGGAATATGGTTGAGCCCTGCGGGACACGTGCCGAGACGCACGTATGTCGTGATCAGTGGAATGTAAAGCGCGTCAAACGTGATAGGGTAGACGTATCGCCGCAGCAGTGCGTCACCTATCGATGATGCCGCATGAGGATTTGATGCCATGGTCATCACACTACGCTGTGGCGATGGCTTCATGCCCAGTCGCACGCTTAGCACAATGGCGCCACAGAGAAGCGACAGCGCAATCATCACCGCCTAGTCAAAAGCGATTAATCATCGTTGAAAGTATGCTGCAACCTCGATGAGCATCGAGTAGGCCACAAAGATTTCTTGGCTGTAGCCCTGCGTGCCGGCCACGTTGTAAGCCAAGGTGAGCGGCGTCGTTGTGAACGCCGGCCACTCGGCCCACATGGCGCAGAGTTTGACGTAGCGGAGGAGCCGCGGCGTCTGGTTGGAGCCGTACTTGCGCTGGGCGAGGGCAATCGCGATACCTGCCAGTATTTTTGAGAAGAGACTCGTCGCCTCATCTACCTTGTGCGAGCGGGTCGTGGATGCGCGCGGTATGAAAGCGGCACAGATTTCGTATCGAGCCATCGCGCTGGAGCATGTAGAGCCCGAGAAAGAACCAGAGACCCCAAATGAGACCGACGGGGCCGTTGACGAGCCAATTGTAGCCGCACGCGGGCCAGTCGGCCTTGACGCACGCGGCGCCATCGTCTTGCCAGTAGCACCGGAGGTCGGCGGCCATGGACGACGACCGACGCCAGATTAGATTAAAGAGTTCAACGAAACGTAAAAGCTAATTTTATGTCTCTCCATTGGAGCATGGCCTCGTGCATCACGAGGCTGCTCTTCGCGGCCACTGGAGTTGCCGCGACCACATCCCTCTTTGTTGACCCCAACGTCGGCAACGACGCCACGAACGACGGAAGCCTCTCTCGGCCGCTGCAAACACTTGCCAAAGCGCAAACCGTCGTTCGCAGCTTTTGCAAGCGCAGCAGGTCGCCGGCGTCTATCGCCCGATTGATGTCATCTTGAGGGCCGGCACGTACGTGTGGGGCCTTGTTTTTGCTTTCGTTTTATCGTGCCTTCTAGTCATGCCGTGCCCACGACTCTGTCGTTTGGCCCTCAAGACAGCGGGGCGTCTGCCACAGCACGCGTCACGTACAAAGCTTACTGCAACCCGACGGCACTCTCCGACTTGACAATACTGCCGTACCCTTACGTCATGAACTCGACAACGCAGCTGCGGTCACCAAAAGAGACGATGGATAAATGGCGACTGACGTAAAGTAGGTATCTCTGGAACGGCGTCAACAGTCCATCGACGTGGACGGGCCGGCCGATCCACTCGCGCAACTCGGCATTCGTGCACCAAGCAGTACGACGCTGCCGCCGCTAGCGTTGCCGCCCGTGTGCTTTGACCTCGTTGGTGTCGGTCACACGTGCTACACGGTCGAGGCGCCTTGCGTCTCGGACTGCATGACGGCGTGTCAGCGCAACGTCGACAAGCGGATCTACTCGACCGCCGTGTACGATCAGTTTTACCTCCTCTTTGGCCGGGTATGTCACTGTGACAATCTGCTGCTGAGGTCGTGCTAGGATCTGCACAGCGAGGACGAGTGTGTCGGGCTCTGTGTTCGAATGTGCAGCACGTGTGAACAAGTGCGTTGGATCCATATCGTATTGGCATATGGCGACCAATTCCAATATGTAGCCGATTCTATCGGGCATGCAGACCATCACAAACGGCGCGTGGGCGCTGTTTGCAGCGCCCGCATGGATGGCGCCATTGAGCCCAATCTACTCGCTCAGCTTGGCCGGGCGCAATGTGCAAACAATCACAGAGCTGTACCTTAATGGAGACACGCGTCTCCCCCGCGCTGGGTTTCCCAACTCGGTGCTATATCCAGTAAGATCGCGCCTTTCCCATTCTGCACCAAACGTCCTTTCATAGAATGGCAGCTACGGCTCTCAATATGCCCCGGCGTTCAACGGATCCGCGCGTAGCTTTGCATTCGACCCGACCTCCTTCTCGGCCAAGACGGCGCATTGGACAAATCTTGCGTCGATTGCAGTCGAAGTGCGACTCAGCAGTGGGGCCAACGTATGGTACAACGCCGCGAGTCTTGTTAGCAACGTCATTGGCCTCGGCGCTGGCGGCGGTACTCGTCTTACGCTACTGAATTGAGCCCGAGTGAAACGTTGTTGTAGGTCAAGTGTCGCCCACTGTGTTTCAAAATGGCGTTCCGTGGAATGCGACGACCGCCCGCGTTCGTGCTGAAAACATTTTCGCCGAGGTGGGCACTGTTCAAAATTTTGGATCTCTCATGATGACACATCATACGAGTAGCTGGACGCGCCCGGCGAATGGGTTTGTGATAAAATAGAAAAAATCAAGGAGGCCAGACAAATTTTTCGACTAGTTTTATGACGCGACGACGTCGATGCTGTATGTGATTCCACCGGCCGGCGTCAGCTTGGCCTCGGCCAGCATCTCGTTTCCGACCGTCAAGCAGCTACTCCAGATCCAGGGGACGCCCGGTATCGACCTGGGCTACAGTGTGCCTGGCTACTACACGATCATTACCGCCAACGAGACAGAGACCGCAGCTCCCCGGAATCAAGCCGGCTGGACGTCCCACTTGACCTTTGACGGTCTCATCTTTACGGGCACGACCCGGACTGAAATGGAGCTCTGTACAGTTTATCTATCGTCGTCCACCGAGCGCGAGGTGTCATGTCATATAAATGCTCTAGATGAAGCGCTACCGGGCCACCCGTGGACGCAAACACGGTACTTGACGTCATGCAACTTGACTAAAGCGGTGGTTCTATGTAGCGTGGCTGCCGTGTACATTGAGAGTGCGAGGGACATTGTGATCCGTCGATCCACCTTTACCAACGTACGACATGGTTGACACCTTGCAACAAGAGCCTCAACGTTGGATCTAGCTGCGTGGCAACGCCATCATGATATCGGGGCGCAACGAAGCGATTCACGTCGTCCACAACCATTTCAAGCAGCTTGGTGCGACAGCCGTCACCGTCCTTCCACGCGGCGTCACTGCCTTTCCCAATCTTTCCCGCTTTGAGATATTCAACACCCTGCTTTCCAATATCTCGTTCAACCAGATACACGACTTTGGCCTTGTGACGACCCAATCCGCGGCGATTTGGATGCTCTCGACCAATCAAACGACTGTGCGCGGCAACCTGGTCTACAATATACCTCCGAGCGGCGTGAGCTACAGCATCACAAACGGCAACGGCGGTATGCAATTTGGATCGATTTCGATCGTGCAAACCAGAAACGCGTAGATGCCACCAAGCCGGGGTACCTCTTGCGACCGTTGTCTACACCAGTGAGCCCCGCGGCTGTACTCGCCAACAGTTTAAGCACTACGTACTCGGTCGTCGTCGATATCGGGCGGTTTGACATTCCCGTTGTCGCGAAGCTCATTGGCGCACCGATTTGCCTTCCAGCACAAGGTCGAGGTGGCGCTCTGTACGGCCATCAGCACAGCGGGTGCTCGGGCTGCTGCCCTACAACATCTGGCACAAGCACGATTCGAAACACAGCGCTACCAGCAATAACGGGTCTCGCAATGCCACTGCGCCCCGGTGATTTGCTGCAGCTGCAGGTATCCCGACTCTGACTTGTGGGATTGCTCACATACAATGTTCGTTGCAGGTGACATCGGCGCCCTACTATAACGCGCCCGTCGATGTCTTTGTGGGCTTTCACATTGTGACGCCTAATCGCATCGTCGAGGTGCCCAACTGGCGTTTTCACTGGCAAGTGCGCACACGTTCCTGTGTGGTTGCCACAACGACACAAGTCATCACGTGTGGTGGTCCGTGCGGCTGCCCCTTGACCAACATTGCTTCTCATTTGAGCTGCGCTATTGGTTTAACTCTCTTGACACCCATTCGCTAACTGTCCATCTTTTGAACTAGGCTACGACCCCATCCCCACATCGGTGGCGTGCTCTGGTACACACATTTCGGACTATCGATGAGTTGAATGAGCGTGCATAGGACCGTATGATTCTTGGAGTACATGCCAAAGCGGCGTATTGGGTCGCGTGCTCTATTACAATTGCTCCATGACATGCACGACGACTGTCTGCACGTGACGACGATACGGTCGCCACGCTTTTTTTTCATGCGGCGCAAAGTGACACAAACTCCCCAGAAAAATGTACTTGTAGTTTCTATTGACTCGATCGATGATGGTCACGAAGCCGTCACGCGGCGGCATCGCCTTCCAAAATATCTTCAAACGTGTACTGATCGTTGCCTGCGTTGGGAACGACGGACACGAGCTTGACGTCCATTGGTGGGATGCGCGAGAGCCCTCGCACGAGGCATTCGAGTTTCACTTTTTTCTCGTCCGCGTTCAGGCTCGCGGTGGGGCGAGACGTATAGTGCATCTGTTCTTCGTACGTGAGCAAGTCCCCGTGCGGAAGCGTTTCGTGCCAATGATCCCGACAAATCTTGGCAAACGCCGTTGTAAACGACCCCGTCACACGGGACTTGCTGCTTTTTGGCGCGAACTTTCGTGGAGATACAACGGCTGCCGGCGAAGACGCTGCTGCGCCTTCGTTGGACGACAGAGGCGTCCGCACGGTCGAGAGCGTCGAGTCGAAAAAAGCATCGAGCGCCTCCATCTCAATGCTCGGGGGCAACGGCTCCTCGACTTGCGATTTGGTGTACGCTCGAGCTGTCTCGAGGCGGCGCGCAATCTCTTCGTGTCTACCCAAGCAACGTGTCACGCCACGTGATCACAGAAAATGAATGTCACAACAAATGCGTGGCGTCGGCTTGAATCGCAGCGAGGATAGCTGCGTTGCACATGACAAAGCGAAGCAGTGCGTTCTTATTGATCGCGAGGAGCTTGCACGACGAGAGGGCTTCGATGGTTGTCGACGAGCACAAGTCGTTGGAAGACGAGCAGATCTCCTACACGCCGTTACATGTCGTCAGTATGACATCTCCAAAGTCGATGCAAGTCGGTTACATGGCCCAAGATGGATGGTGCGCGGCGAAGCACGAGCACTTTGACCTACGCACGCCCCCAGTCGGCACAAGAAACGCTCGTGCAAGATAGCATCACTGGTGCTTCGATCGTCTGGCCGGTCGGGGTTGTCGCACTCGCCGTGCTTGTCGCTGTCAGCTTGACTTCGCCTTTGACAAGCAGATAGAGATGCGACACGTAGTCGCCTACACGAGCTCGTCAATGCGTCTCATGCTGCGCCACTGCAGCTCGGTCATACCTTTTCGATAGAGCGTATCGTGGACATCCAGCTGCGTCACTGTGGCCAAGTACGCCAAGTGCGTCGTCGTGTCTTTGGGTGCTCGCGCAAGTGCTGGAAGCGACGCCAAGGTGCGCTCGTTTTCTGCGAGCATGGCTTGCTTGTAAGACAAAATGCTGCGCAAGAAGACGTCCTACACTCTCGATATACGCTCGTGATGGACATGTTAAAGGTGCGTACGCGGGACACAAGCGCGAGCTCTGTGCCGTTGAACTCATAGTTGACGAGGGCCGAGCCCGACCTACGACAATACCATTCTACTATACGCATCGTGATGCAGTCGACCCTACGCACCGATAGCCCGTGGAGCCTCGAAGAAGTCCGATTTCGCCAAAGCTCATGCCGCGTCGCATGGTGGCAAAGAGGCCTTCGCCAGAGGCAGCAATGCCAACCGTGCCGCTGAGCACTATGTAGAACGCTTCGCCGGCATCGCCCTCTCGAAAGACAAAGTCGCCTGGCGTGTACCGCGCATACACAATATGCCGCGCAAGGTCATTGTAGGACGCATCCGGGAGGCTGCAGTCGTAGAAATATTTGACGCCGGCTACAAGAAGCATCCAATTCAACGAATACCGTCCATGGCGGCACGCGCACCAAGCCACTTTTTCAGCGTTCGAGTCGCGCTCGGACTGCGCATGTCGTGCTCGATCTGCATGATGTCTCGCAGCGTGCCAAGGGTGACGGCGTCGTCCTTCTTGTGGCCCGCGCCACGCAAAACGTCGTCGGGTCGAATGGGCAGAAGGCGCGGCGGGGGCATCCAGATGACGCGGCCCGTGTGCTCAGCTTGCAGTCTATACAGTGACGCTGCTCGATAGGTCCATGCAATGAATGGGATGGGCGCGTACTCGTCGAGCCGGCGAAGGTACTGCATCGCAAAGAGGATGCGATACACAATCACACGGAGAGGCGGAAGCGGCGCGATGATGTCGATGAGCTCGAAACCTTCGCTGTTGGTGGTCGAGATCACGACCGACTTGACGGTCGAGATTGCAGAGCCAACGCTCCGGTACCGCTTCTTTTGGACCACGTACAGAAGGCTTCCCTCGACGATACCGAGATGCGCCAAGTCGTCGTGGTCTTCAAGCAGCTGCGAGTTGAAGAAGAGACTACACAGCAAGGTGTCGACCGATCGCTTGGCAATCTACAGCGGTCGTGCGTACGTCTGCTCTTCGTACAAAAGCCCATGCTCCTTGTAGAGAAGCACTTTGATGTTGGTGATGGTGAGGTACGGCGCCACTTGAAGATACTCCGGCGCGCTCTCGCCGATCTGAACCTGGATCGCATACGCACTGCGCGAATGACTCGCGTGGGACGCGCGGAAGAGCCGGAGGCCGCGGAGTTGACTCACAGACGTACGCGCCTTGTCCAGCGGCCGCGGCGAGTCGTCCACAAAGTCCCGTGCCAGCGACTGCATCTATTTTCTTGCCTCGAATCCAACACGAAGAGGCACGCCGGTTTCGACGCCACTTGATACAAAGAGTCGATTGGTCCACCACGAAACAGTATCAATTACAGTCAACATATGCAATATGGACACGCGTCGTCTTACTTGGACGCGACGATGATGAGGTTGATGATAGGACCAAGGAAGTACATGAGCACCATGATGAGGATGCAGCAGAGGCAGCACATGACGCGGTGGCAGATCTTGGGGCCAAGGAGTTCGTTGAAGACGTAGAACGGGTTCATACTGAACTTGAGGCGGCCGGCCGGCGGTGGCAGGAACGGGCTGTTGTTCGGGTCGCTCCGGCCAAACCCGACGGTCTGCACCTTGGCCTTATCGATGGGCACGAGCTCCATGCTAATGCAGAGAGCACCCATGGCTTCCTTCTGGCCCGTCTCGCGGTTGAGACGCTCCATCTTGATCCACGTCGAGTCGGTCGGGTCTGTGTCCCAGAGCCCCGTGGCCTCCTTGATGGACCGGATCGCGTCGTTGTTCTGGGCTTCCTTCGGCGACTCCTTGACCTTCTTCTTGGGCGTCTTGTCCTGGAAGATCTGGAGCGGCGCCTTGAGCTGGCACACCTTCTTGAAGTGCGGGCTCAGATCGAGGATGCCCTCGGCGATGCAGTCGTTGGACGAGAAAATGTCCTTGTCCCACATCTGCATCTTGAAGTACGGGAACTTGGAGTTGTGCTGCTTGTGGCCGAGCGCGACGGGGAACTTCATGCGCCAGTTGAAGCTCGCCTTGCCCTTCTTGGCGCGCCAATGGATGTCCGTGTCCTGGTAGTCGCAGCCTTCAAGCGACGCGCGCACGAAGAGATCGTTCATGTCGGTGATCTCGTCAAAGCTCGGCACCTCCTTCGTCTTCCAAATGACCACGCGGAGCTCGTAGTGCTGCGCCGGCGGCATCGCAATGTCGACGGGCGGGTAGTTGGCCGCCTCTCTCGGGGTCAAAATGTCGACCCAGAGCTTGAGCTGGCCCATCTGCGCCCGCGACGTTGGGATCGTGAGCGCGCGCTGCTCGAGCGGCTTGGGCCCCCAGCGCTCGGTTGTCTGGAACTCCTTCCCGAGCGCCTGCCAGTTCTTGTCAAAGAACCGATCTTCGAGATCCAAGGTCGTCGAGCCAATGAGATCGTCGCCGCCAATAAAGTCGTGGTCGAACGCGTCAATTTGGAGCGTCGACGCGCCGGGAAAGTGCACATTGAACTCGTACACCTTGTAAAAGTCGGGGTCGACAACGTCATCGATGAAATTCTTGCGGTCGTTGATCGTCTCCTTCCCGAGGCGAAGCACCAGATACGGGTCCGACTTGCCCGGCGTGCCATCGAGGCTCGGGTCCATGGGCGAGAAGTTCGACCCGTTCAGAACGTAGACACGCACTTGGTACGGCAGCGGGTTGAGCAGTTTCTCCATGTTGATGAGCGGCGGCTCGTTCTCGTCCAAAATCACACGCACAAGGCCCTTGAAGATACCCGCGACGTGAAAGGTCGACGTCGGTGCCGCGGCGGCCGCCGCCTTCTTGGTGCCAAACTTGAGCGGGTTGAGCGACGAGAGGAACGACGACTTCTTCTTCTTCTGGCCGATCGTGAGCGCATACGTCTCGAACGGCTTGGTCACCAGCTTGGACTCGAGGCCGTCGGTGAGGTCCTCGCGGTTCTTCATAAACTTGGCGCGCTTGACCTCAAACTCGTCGGCGATCTCAGCCTCGCCAATGTCGAGCTCGTCGCCTTCCGCGGTCCGTTGGCCCGAGAGCAACGCCGGGTCGTCCAAATCGATCGCGACGTTCATCGACTGGAGCGCGCCAAACACACCGGCGCCAATGTCCCCGGGTGCCGTGCGCCGGCCCGAGAGCATCGCATCGTCTTCTTCCGCGTCGTCGTCCTCGTTGCCCTCCATCTCTTCGTCTTCGACGTGGTTGAAGCTCATCCGCTGCGGCGCAACGTAGTTGTCACCCCACGGCAGTTTCGTCGTCATCTAATGAGATCACGTCAGCACATGCCGTTACAAATGGGTATGTCATCATGACAGATCAAACAAAGAGACGTACATCGATGGACGCATTGCCGATCGTGGGCGTGCTCCAGCCACCGAGGCGCGTGTCGCGGACCATAATGTTGAGCATCGGCGCAAACTGCGAGTCTTCTGGGAGCTCGACCTCGCGCACGATACGCTGGAGAAAGTTGGGGTTGACACCGGACGGTCGCTTGGACTTTTCCGTCTTCATCTCTTGGTTCGCATGCGTCTTGCCGCCGAGCGTAAACTCAATGAACGGCAGCTGAATCGGAAGGAACTGGAACGGCTTCATGTCGCGGAGGCCGAGCACGATGATCTCAATGTACGCGCGGCGCATCTTCGGGACGATCGGGCGCGGCACGGGCACGACGGCGCCGGGCATGTCGAGGCAGTAGACAACGACCGAGGCAAGGATCGCGCCTTCCGTGTCGCCCTCTTCTTGCTGCATGAGGTTGAACCACTTTGGCGCCGGGAGGTTCTCTTCGGCGTCGCCAATCGGTCGCACGTTGGACGCGTTGAACGAAATGAACGCCGACCCCATGTAGTCGTGGCCCGACTCGCTAATGCCATTGTCGTGGTCCATCAAGCGCACAATCACCTGCGGCGAAAAGTGCAGCATGTCGAGCGGCGGCAGCATCACGTCGTACACAAAGGTTTGGTACCACATCGGGTCGCGAGTCTTCTTGCGCACTTCACTGCGCATCTCGTCGGCGCCGAGGCGCACCTTGGCATACGGATCGCTCAGTCCATTGTCGTCGAGCGCGGGCAGCTGCCGGCCTTGGTACAAGTTGACGTGCACCTGGTACGCGTGGCGCTTCTCCAAGAGGCCTTGGTCAAACGTGCTATCCCACGCCGGCCGCGTTGCCTTCGCCGTCTCGTCCGTGCCCATCGCGAGCGCAAGGAGGATGTTGCCAGGAAACACTTCGTCGCCGAGCGCGTCGACGCACGAATCTTCCTTGAGCGTCACCCATGCCGGCGGCTTCTCCATGCGCTCGTCCAAAAGATGTTTGGCCTTGTAGCGCTTGTACGCAATCTGCTTGCGCGGGTTCATCTTGTCGCCAACCGCGCCCTTGCAGAGGTACACAAACACATCCGGAATCTGGTCCGGGTCGGACGGGAACACGAGGTTGTCCGTCTCGCAGAGCTGGTTCCAGACCACGAGGCCCTTCTCGTTGCGCTGGCGCTCAAAAGCGAGTTCTTGGAGCCCGCACGTGATGACGATTTGCATGCGCGACTTCTTCGCAATGTTCATGGACGTCAACTGCGGAATGTCGGTGCCCGACCCGACAAACGCACGGATGCGGTACACCGACGTCGGCGGGTACAGCGACTTGGGCAGCGGCGTCGCCTTCACGCGGCGGTTGACTTCCTCGAGCTTGAGGTCGTTGGACCGAATCTCAAACGTCACAAGGATGCGGCCGCGGTAGAACGACGCCGTGTCGGGAAACTTGTTCATCTGCGCTTCGACCGTCTCGGAGGCGTTGAGGAGGTTGGTCTTCGCCCCCTCGAGCGGCGCGCCGTACAAGTTGAGCCACATGGGCGACGCGCTCCCGGTCTTGGCCAGGAGCTTCTTGATCAAGCGCAGCGACTGGTACGCGTGGGCAACGACCTCGTCCTTGCCAATCTTGTCCCAGTCTTTCACGCAGAGCGTAATGTTGTTGGCCAAGCCCGGCTCGCGGAGCACCATCCAGAGCTCGTCGTTGAACGCGGGGTTGAGCAGATGGCGCTCGCCGCTCTTGGTCTTGACACGCGTGCGCACGCCGTCGTTGCTGCCAAGGCTCACTTCGACGTACGCGTCGAGGCCCTGCTTGAGGCCCCCGAGGAGGCTGTCCATCGGCACAAGGTGCTCGCCGACGTGGACCGTCGCGACAAGAAAGTTGACTTCTTGCTTGACGCTGGGCGGCATCATGACGCCGTCGACGCCCGCGTCGGCCGGTCCGAGCGGCGGCGGCGGCGCAAACTTGTCGCCAGGCCCGAGGATCGTGATCGAGACGCGGAGGTAGCCCTGCACCGAGTCGTGCCCGGGTGCAATGAGGCCGAGCCACTGGTTGCAGATCTGGTGGTTGATGTGCGAGTAGACAAACGACGTGTCGAACTGCGTCTCGCCAATGAGCTCGGCGCGCGTGAGCGTGTTGGCGTCCATGACCCGGAGCTTGATCGCGCCCATTTCGACAATCTCTTTGTCCAGCTCGCGAAAGTTGAAGATGAGAATGTCGTCCCAGACCGCGGAGAGCGTCTGCTTCTTCGTCGCCGTGTGCTGCGTCTGGTCGAGGACGTCGACAAACACGACGGGGTCCGACGTGCCCGTCGCGTCCTTCCCGACGAGATCCCGGGCTTCAATCACATGGACTTGGATCGAGTAGTCGCCCGACTTGATGTTGATGTCTTCGAGCGCTTTCTTTTCTTCCTGCAGCGCCTTTTCTTTCTCTTCGGCCTCTTTCTTAAGCTCTTCGTCGCTCTTCTTGGGCGCTTCTTTGGCGTCGGTCGGGTCCAAGCCTTCCTCGTCGTCGTCGCCGGCCTAGTCGTGCATGAGACATGTTCTCGATCGTGCAGCATAGAATAGGTCATCGTACGTCCGGAGCGCTCATGACGTTCTTGACCTTGTCGAAGATCCCGCCCTTTTTCTTCTTGTTGGACTCGATGATCTCGTTGAGGTTGGACCGGTAGACCCATTGGAGCGTCACGGTGAGCACGCCGAGGCCGTCGACTTTTTTGAACTTCTTGTCGCAGAGGTCGAGGTCCAACGTCTTCTTCTGGCCGTCGGAAAGCGACTCCATAGACACTTTGGCGCGGCCAATGACGTCGTTCGAGAGCATGTCAAAGTCTTCCACGACAAACAAAATCTCCTGCGTCGCGTCCGTCATCGGCATCCGGAACGACTCGTTCCAGACCGGCGTCAGCGTCTTGGGCATCGTCGTGGTCGAGAACTTTTCTTTTTGGCACGAGACCACCACGAGCGGGTCGCTGAAGCCGTTCGAGTCCATGGCCTTGAGGCCCGTCGCGCGGTCGATCGTAATGTGGAGCACGTTCGGCGGGCCGCCCACCTCGATGGCCACGTCGCCTGGCGCCGATCTCGGCGTTGGCGCCGGCGCATTGGACGAGAGCTCGAGAAACAAGGTGCCGGTCGCGACCTTGACGCGGTCGAATTTCTCGACCGGCGACTCGAGCACGACGGGCCCGAGGAGCGCGCTCCGGACAACGTCCATGGGCAGCAAGACGCGCCCGAGTGGCACATCCTTGAGCATGTTCTTGTCGTAGATCGTGAGCGCGAGGAACGAGACCGTGCGCAGGTCGACGTCGCGGCCCACGAGGAGCGTCTCGTTCCAGACCGGGTTGACCGTCGACGGGATGTCCTTGGTCTTCTTCGTCTCGCCCTTGATGACCGCATAGCTGCTGTTGAGGTACGTGATGGCCACATACGGGTCGGACGTCTTGTTGGAGCCAAAGCCGTCGTTGCCGACGAGGTCGGTCGCCTTGACGATCGCGACGCGGACCTCCTCCATGCTGCTTTTTGGTTATTGACATCACAATCGTCATGCACATACGAAAACCAAGCTTTTTACAATTCGGACAAGTCCGATTTCCATGCGCGCCTGCACTTCCCGACCCCTACTTCCCCATCCGGACCGATCGTGCGCCCCGGTGTATGTCATTCTGCAGTACAAAAAGAGCTCGCCATGGCAGGGATGACCTGTGCACCCCGGGGCACGGTCGCTGGATTGCGACAAGTTTCGGACAAATCCGAAATGTGAAGCCACACGCCGAATTCAACGTGCAGGTGCCAGAGCCAGTGCATGTCGTTTGACAATCACGATGCGGTCGAGCGAAGACTTGGAGAAGCACACGAGATGGCGGTACGAACACGCATTGCTTGAGTGTTGCAGAGGTACTGGCTAGAACCTCTACGAAGCGCTTGCTTGGGGGCTACAGAGCGCAGAATCCGGAGACGAATTGTATGCTGGCGCCTGCTGCACGGCGGAGATGGCATTTTATGGTGCAAGGAAGACGCTGATCTCCGTGTCGCAGCGACCAGACACGCGTGGGACGCCGCAGTGTTTCTGCTGCTGCGCCCCATCATCGGCGCCGCTGCCCATTGAGCTTCGCGAGCAGTGATGTATATTATCGCAAACGTCTCAATCGGAGAGGGCGTTGATAGGCATCGATGGGATTCGCTCAAATCTTCAAAGAACTGGCATTTGATTGGTGCCTTTTGTCAATCGCAGGTTGGCGCTTGTCGCGATGATATATATTGAGACGAAATCGATATATTATGGAGCACTGTTCCACCGACCCGACCCGGATTATATATAGGGGTATGTCGTTTTTAGGCTGTGGGATACAGATATCCATGCACCGATGCCACATAGATAGATAGATAGATAGATAGATAGATAGATAGATAGATAGATAGATAGATAGATAGATAGATAGATAGATAGATAGATAGATAGATAGATAGATAGATAGATAGATAGATAGATAGAGCAAACTCATTTATTCAATTGTCAAAATTACTTGAAGGTGACGATGAGCACATTGATCATGGGACCGAGAAAGTACATGAGCACCATGAAGATGGCGCAGCAGAGGCAGCACATGACGCGGTGACAGATCTTGGGGCCAAGGAGCTGGTTGAAGACCTTGTACGGGTTCCAGCTCAGCTTGAGGCGGCCGGCCGGCGGTGGCAGGAACGGGCTGTTGTTCGGGTCGTGGCGGCCGTACCCGACGGGCTGCGTGACCGCCAGCGGCTTGGGCACGAGCTGCATACTGATGCACACCTTGCCCATCGGCTCCTTTGCTCGCGTCGTTGGGTGTGACCGGTACATCTTGATCCACGTCGAGTCGGTCGGGTTCGTGTCCCAGAGCCCCGTCTTCTCTTTGATCATGCGGACCGTCTCGTGGTCCTCGTCGTCTTGGGCGGTCGCGAGCTTCTGCAGCTTGGACTGGGGCGGCTCTGGAAACACTTGCATCGGGCCTTTGGCCGCCAGCGCCTTCTTGAACGGAATGCCAAGGTCCAAGTCTCCTTCGGCGAGGCAGTCGTTCGAGCTCACAATGTCCTTGTCCCAGAGCTGGATCTTGAAGCGCGGAAACTTGGAGTTGTGCATCTTGTGCCCGAGCTTGACCGGGAACTTCATACGGTAGTTGAACGCTGCCTTGCCCTTCTTGGCGCGCCAATGGATGTCCGTGTCCTGGTGGTCGTCGCCGTCGAGCTCGCAGCGCACAAAGAGATCGTTCATTTCCGTCCAGTCGTTGAAGCTCGGCACCTCCTTCGTCTTCCAAATGATCACGCGGAGCTCAAACTCGCGCGGCGGCGGCAGCGCAATGTCGTCGGGCGTGTACACGGACGCGTCATGCGGCGACAGAATGTCGACCCAGAGGTGCAGGTGGCCCATGGGTGCGCGCGACGTCGGCACATACAGCGTGCGCTCCTCGACCGGCTTGGGCGCGAGCCGGTCGGGTGTCTCGAACGCCTCGCCCAGTGCGTGCCAGTGCTTGTCAAAGAACCGATCTTCGAGATCAATGGTCGTCGCGCCAATGAGACCGTCCGGGCGAAGGAGGTCGTGGTCCAGCGCGTCAATGTGCAAGGTCGACGCGCCCGGAAACGAGCAGTGAAACTCAAACATCTTGTAAAAGTCAGGGTCCACCGTGTCCTCGACGTAGTTTTTCCGGTCGTTGATGCCGTCCTTGCCGAGCGTGAGCTTGAGGTACGGGTCCGACTTGGTCGGCTTCCCGCGGATCCCAGACTCCATCGGCGCAAAGCCATACCCGTTGAGGACGTAGACGCGCACGTGGTAGGGCATCGGCGTCTCGAGCCGCTCCATGTCGATGAGCGACGGCTCGTCTTCCGAGAGCATGACGCGCACGAGGCCCTTGAAGATGCCCGCAATGTTGAACGTCGCGTCGTCGTGGTGCAAGTGGTGGTGGTGGGTATCGTGCATGCGCGGCTGCTTGGTGCCGTACTTGAGCGGGTTGAGGAGCGAGAGCAGCCGCGATCGCTTCTTCTTTTGGCCGATCGTGAGTGCATACGTCTCAAACGGCTTGGTGCTCAAGAGGGCTTCGAGGCCGTCGTTGATCTCTTCACGGTCTTTCATGTACACCTTGCGCTTCGTCTCGAACGCGTCGTCAGACGCTTCGTCCTCTATGAACGCAGTAAACTCACGCTCGGCCAAGTCGTCCCCAATCGAGGTTGGCAGCACTGGCAGTGGCGTCTTGAGCGCCGGCAGCAAGCCCGCGCCGCTGTCGACAAACGACGAGACCTTGCGCTCGACACGGGGTGCCGACTCGAGCGACGTCGGCGCGTCGTCGTGGTGCAGCGTGCCTTTGCGAATCCCCTCGACGTGGCGAAAGTCCATCCGCTGCGGCGGCAAGTAGCCTTTGCCCCACGGCAGTTTGGACGTCATCTACGCCGCAGAACGCATGAAGACGACACAATCCTGCACACATGACGTACGTCGATCGAGCAGTTGCCGACCGTCGGAGTCGTCCAGCCGCCAAGCCGCGTGTCCTTGACGAGCACGCCAAGCACGGGCGCAAACAACGGGTCTTCCGGGAGCTCTACTTCTTGCACGATACGGTGGAGGTAGTTGGGGTTGGCCGCCGACGGCCGCTTCGAGCGCTCGGTCACGAGCTCCTCGCCACCCTGGAGCGCTTTCGCGCCACCGAGCGTAAACTCAATGAACGGCAGCTGCATCGGCATGAACTGGAACGGCTTCATGTCGCGGAGTCCGAGCACGATGATCTCGAGGTATGCCTTGCGCATCTTCGGGACGATCGGGCGCGGCACCGGAAAGATCATGTCTGGCCGATCCTTCCGGACGACGATGACGCTCGTCAAGATGAAGCCTTCCGTGTCGCCTTCCTCTTGCTGCATGAGCGGGAACCACTCGGGCACTGGCGGCTCGTGCGCGTCGTTGACATGGCGCACGTTGTTGCTCGAGATCGGTACGAACGCCGACCCAATGTACTCGCTCGACGAGCCCGCAATCGTTTCGTCTTGGTCCTTTACGCGCAACGTCACGGGCGGCGCAAAGTGCAGCATGTCCACCGGTGGCAGCTCGACTTCAAAGCACACGGTTTCGTACCAGAGCGGGTTGACGGTCCGGTGGCGCGGCTTGATCTTGGTCTCGAGGCCACACAGGCGCACCTTCACATACGGGTCGCAGAGCCCGTTCGAATCCATCGCTGGCAGCTGGCGGCCCTGGAAGATGTTGACTTGGACTTGGTACTTGAGGCGCGTGTCGAGCTTGCGCGTGTCAAAGACCGAGTTCCACAAGGCTCTGGTCTGCATCGCTGTCGATTCCGTGCCAAAGCCCAGCGAGAGAAAGACGTTGCCAGGAAAGATCTCGTCGCCGAGCGCGTCGACCGAGTTGTCTTCCTTGAGCGCAATCCACTCGGGGTCGGCAATCATGTTTTTCTCAAAGAGGTGGCGCGCCGAGAAGCGCTTGAACGCGACTTGCTTGCGCACGCTGAGCTTGCCGTCGACACGGCCCTTGCACAGGTACACAAACACATCTGGGATCTGGTCCAAGTCTTCTGGAAACACAAAGTTGTCCGTCTCGGCGAGTTGGTTCCACACGACGATGCCCTTGTTGTTTTCGCGTCGTTCAAAGTTGAGCTCCATCGAGCCGCACGTGATCACAATCTGCATCTTCGAGTTGCGGTACGCACCGTGGGCGAGCGACGCCAGCTGCGGAATGTCCGAGCCCGACCCGACGTACGCGCGGAGCCGGTAGACCGCGGTCGGCGGGTACAGCTCGCGCGGAAGCGGCGCGGCCTTGACGCGCATGTTGGCTTCGTCAAGGTCTTTGTTGACGCGAATGTCAAACGGCACGAGGATCCGACCGCGGTAGAACGACCCCAGGTCCGGGTACAGCGCCATTTGGTCCTTGACCGTCTCGACGCCATGGAGGAGGTTGCCTTTCGCATGGTCCAGCGGCGCCCCATAGAGGTTGATCCACGTCGGCGCGATGGACCCACCGACGCTTTTGATGTACCGGAGCGACTGGTACGACGTCGCGACGAGCTGGTCGACGCCGACCTTGTCCCACGCCTTGGTCGCGATCGTGATCTTGTTGCTCAAGCTCGGCTCCCGCATCGCGAGCCAGAGCTCGTCGTTGAAGGCTGGGTTGAGAAGATGGCGCGCACCACTCAGCGACTTGATGCGCGTCCGGATCGATGCGTTCGAGCCGAGACCGACCTCGACGTACGCGTCAATGCCTTGCCGGAGCCCCTTGAAGAGCGAGTCCATGGGCGGGAGATGCTCGCCGACGTGGACGGTTGCGACGAGGAACTTGATATCTTGCTTGATACTTGGCGGCACAATAACGCCGTCGACGCCCGCTTGGCTCGGGCCCAGCGGCGGCGGGTGCACAAACTTGTCACCAGGTCCCGTGATCGTGATCGAGACGCGGAGGTAGCCCTGGATGCCCTTGCGCGGCGCAATGAGCGCCAGCCATTGGTTGCAGATTTGGTGGTTGAGGTTCGAGTAAATGAACGAGACGTCAAATTGCGCCTCGCCGATGAGCTCGGCGCGCGAGAGCGTGTTGGCGTCCATGACCCGGAGCTTGATCGAGCCCATCTCGACCGTGTCCTTGTCCAGATTGCGAAAGTTGAAAATCAGCGTGTCGTCCCAGACCGCCGAGAGCGCCTTCTTCTTCGTCGCCGTGTGCTGGACCTGGTCCATCACGTGCACAAAGACCACCGGGTCCGACGTGCCCGAGGCGTCTTTTGCCACCAAGTCGCTGGCTATATAGCATCAAAAATAGAAAAAACTCAGACGATGGCGAGGATCGAACCTTCAATCACATGCACTTGCACCGAGTAGTCGCCCGACTTGATGTTGATGGCTTCGAGCGCCTTGCGCTCGGCCTCCCGCGCGCGCTCGCGGTCGGCGCGCTCTTTCTGAAGCTCCTCGTCTGTCTTTTTGGGCACTTGTTTGACGTGGTCCGAGTCTTCCTTCTCGTCGAGGTCGTACATCTAATCCATGCAAGTAGATTGTCAGGCCAAGAAGTCATCTGTAGCAAGCGTACGTCGGGCGTCAAGTTGCCGGTGACCACATTTTTGACCTTGTCGAGGAGGTTGACCTTGCGCCGGCTGTTGGCGTCGATAATGTCGTCGATGTTGGCCTTGTAGACCCACTGGAGGCTCACGTTGAGCGTGCCGAGGTTGCGCTTGTTTTTGAATTTTTTGTTGAGCAGCTGGATCGGCACCGACCGCTTCTGCCCGTCGGTGAGCGTGTCGAGCGAGAAGCGCGCTTTCCCCAAAAAGTTGGTGGACGTGAGGAGGTCGCCGACGATCTTGTCTTGGTCGCAGACCTCAAAGAGGATGTCGGTGCCAAGCGCCGAGACTGGAATCTCAAACGTCTCGTTCCACACCGGTGTGAGCGTCTTCAACTTGGTCGACGTCTTGCGCACGTCGTTGCCGACCGTCACGCGCACAAATGGGTCGCTGGCGCCGTTGCTGTCGACACTCGGGAGGTCTTTCGCACTCTCAATCTTGACGATGAGGACGTTGGGCGGCGTTTGCAGCTCGTAGCTCGCGACCGAGTCGACGGACTCGCTGCGGCTGCTCATCTCGCGGGCCGACCGCGCCGTCGCGCTGAGCGACGGCCCGGACCCGCGCCGCAGGTTGGTCTCAAACTTGAGATACAGATCGCCTGTCGCGGGCCCTTTCATGCGGTCGACGGGCTGCACGCGGTACCCTCGGCTGATCGGGCCGTTGCCAAGGTTGGTGCGAATGTCCTGCATGGCGAGGTTGACTTGGCCGAGCGGGACGTCGCGGAGCATGTTCTTATCAAAGAGCGAGAACGAGACGTACGAGACCGTGCGCACGTCCACGTCGTCGCCGAGGAGGAACGTCTCGTTCCAGACCGGGTTGACCGTGCGCATGACCTGGCCCGTCCGCTTGTCGCGGCTGCGGATGAGCTCGTAGTTGCTGTTCATGAACGTGATGACGACATACGGGTCGGACGTCTTGTTGGCGCCAAAGCCGTCCGTCCCGAGGATGTTCTCGGCGCGGACGACGGTCACGAGGATCTCTTCCATCGTCGCCGGACGTTGACCAAATGAGCTTGCCCACAACGAGAAAGGCAGCAGCAATCCGCCGCTTCTGATTGGCTCCTGCCACTTTGCCCCAAATGATCGACGCGATTTTATTGGTTCTTTGAAGTCGTGGGCCCGGATTCTAACCTTCCGCCACACAATCCGGCGCAGCCGAGAAGACGAGCTGCCAACCGAGTGCGACGACGACAGGATGACCGCCTGGTAATACACACAGACCGGGACAGGCGCCATAGCGGCAGAGCTGGACCCGCTTCGCCAGCGCTACGTTGCGGCCTCACGTGATCGTGTCCATGCGTTCAATGGGCAAGAGCGCCAGTCCCGCGGCATGAGGAGCTTGCACAAAACGCCTAGACTACTGGCGGCTGGTTCATCGATAGAATAGCCGGCGACCGTGGAGGTGCCAACGTAGTACATCGCTTCCTATACCAATGGTCTTGCACACCGCACCAGACATCCTATTGCATGGCGTGCACACGATTAAGTGCAACCAGATGGCGTTGCCAATTCAAACGTGGCGGTTAGAAAAGACAGCGCGAAACCGCTGGCATGGAAGAGCGGTGCTTCTGGAGCGCCCGCGCCAATGCCACCAGCGCGTGTGCCAAGACGACGTGGACGGCGTGTGGGTACGAGAGTCTGGTGCTGACGCCCATTCTCCTCCTCTGCGTCTACTGGCTCGCGTTTGGCGTCTACATGCTCCGGAAGGACGACTCGACCACCAAGCTCTTGACGTTCGACGTCGCGCGCATCCACGACCCGGTCGCGCAAGGTGGATTCTCTCTGCTGTAGAAACGCGAGCTCATCATGCGGGCGCAGGCATTGCTATTGCGCTCGCGCAGCGCCGGCACACGACCGAGAAGCCGTCGCACTTTCAGCACAACATGAAGCTCTGTGCCATGTGGGCCGAGTGGCCCGCGCTCTCGTACGCACCGCTCTCCGTCGCGCTCAAAGTCATTAGCGCCGACGAGCCCATCAACTCGGTCATTTTCTCGCTCAACGTCACCAACGAAGTCGGTGCCATGCCCCTTGTTGACGTGGTCGTCACGGTATTATTACCTTGTAGACCGTCAACGTGGCGGTCGCATGCACGTGTGCCGTGCTCGTGAGTAGTCTCTGGCTCTACAAGACGTGGCGGCGTACAGGTACAATGAGAATTCGTCCGGATGGACAAGTTGTCTTATATGCACTAGACGACCGACTCTTGCGCCGGTTTGCGTACCCCATCACCTTTGATGTGCTCTACATTCCGCTCGCGTCGACGTTTTTGCGCATGGCGGTCTGTCCGCTGGGCCACGATCGTGTCGCGCTGCCGGATGGCTCGACGTGCGACTGCCTCGATCGCTATGGTTTCTTCTGGGTACGTTATCGGTTGCGCGACGGACATGACAATATTGTCCACATAGGCGATCGGGTCTGTCGGTTTCGTGTCCATCTACTCGTGCGCTATCTACTACAAGATGTTTATCGAGCCGACAGGATCGACGATGGACTTTCGATTCGAAACGAGCTTCCAGATCATCATGGTCATGGCCCGCACGCGTACGACTTGATGGATTTTTGAGAAGTTGAACGGTGTCTAGTCAACCCACTGCTTTCGATGCTGGCCAACAGTGTTGGGCTCACGCACCAAGCGGCCCGTGCCGTGCCACTCACCCTCGCCTTTCTCGCGTCGTTGTCCTTCTTGCTGCTCGCGGCGTACAAGACGCAGCCGGTACGTTGTCTAGGACGAAATACATGAGCGATGAGGATTCCTAGTGCATTGGGAGCGGCCGACTGCCCAACAACATCCGCGTGCTTTCGTTTTCGAGCTCTCTCTATACCACGTTGTGCGTCCTCGGCTTTCTTGTGGCGGGCGGCCCTCCACAACATTTGCACTACTCGCTCGGGCTGCTCCCGCTCATTTGGGTCACTGCGTGGGTCGTCAACAGCCGGCGCGCCGCCAAGTTTCACATCCCGAGCCTGACGATTGTCGAGCTCCTGCACGACCGCACGCTGCAAGCCAAGACGGTGGGCGCCATCGCCGCGTTGCATGTGAACCCACTCAACATTCGCGCCAACGACTACGAGGCCATTATCGCCATGGTGCACAAAACGGTCAAAGTTGCTCGACTTCGCGAGCTGCACTGCCGTCTCTACTGCGCGCGCCTTCTCTGGTTTTGCCACATTGAGGTGCCGATCGTAAACATACTACGAGAGAGCTAACGTAGAAGTAGAGCTATCGCCGAGCAGGGACGCGTGTCGGGGAGCCCAAACCCGAGCTTGCACTCGTGCCTGGTCTCTGGTTCAAGGACGCGTCCAATGACGTACGCACGTCGTCTCGAAAGCTGCTCAAGGCCAAGACGCGCAACGTGTCGGCACAGCTCGCCAAAATCAAGATTCGTCACATCGAGCATGTCACCGGTGCGTTTCAACTGTGGACAAGTCGTCTGTGTTGACAACCTGTCGCGGGTAGATCCAACGGCGTCGACAACACCTGTCGACAAGCCGGCCGTGCGTCGGGCCCGGCCGCCGTCGCTCTTCCAGTCGGTCAAGCGCCTCCTCACCGTAACGTCGCCGATTTCGGCGCGCGCCATGCAGTATCGTCGCAGCATCGTCAGCGTCCCGTCCGTCGTTGACAGCAACGGGTTCTACGTCGTGGCGATCCGGGACAAAAACTGGATCGCCAAGCTCGAGGCGCCAGACCCGGCGCTTCAGCAATTCGACGCCCTCTACCGCGCTGTGCTTGAGATGCTCGAGCAAAGCTGCACGTTGGACGACCACGAGGCGATGTTTGAAGCCGCATCCTTCCTCTTGCAATGGTACCGGTCGACCTACTTACGCTTGAACAAAACCATCTACTTGCATGTGGTCGCGACATTTTGCGCGCTCCCCGACATTGCGAGCGCCGCCGACGCCACGTACACGCTCCACCAACTGACCATCGAGCTACGGACACTGTCCGCCGACCTCTGGCTCGCCAATGCATCGGACTTGAACCGATTTGTGAGCGCGCTTAGCCACCCGAGCTCGAAAACCGTCGCCTGTTGCGCAGAAGTGCTCGCGCACCTCTTGGCCGCGGCCGAGACCAAGTCGTCCGTCAACTTGTACGTGCTCTTGATGCCAAGCTCGATTGCGAAGCTCCACGCGGCCTTCTCGAATTGGCACCGCGACTTCCGCATCAGCGACAGTCTCGAGCGCGCGTGCACGAGCTTGTACTGTCTCCAGCTTCGCTCGACGCTCGGGAAGCGCACCTCGATTGGGACGCGGCAGCAGTCGACCACCAAGATGTTTGTTGCGCTCGTGACGCAGATGACGTCGGTGGTAGCCCGGCCGATCGTTGCGAGCCTGAGCCGGGGCAACTCGGTGCAGTTGCGGACCTTGCCGACGAGCATGGGGCGGCGCATCTCGTTTGACACCCGCGGTTTGATGCGCGACGGGTCGACAAGAAGCATCGTCTCGAATGCCCACGTGCAACCAGGAGACCTTCCGCGGAGACCGTCGCACGGCGCGAACGAGGTCGTGCCGCCACCGGCGCAGCCCAAGCCCATGACGTCGCAAGCGCTTTTAGCGCAGTTTGAGGCATCGCCGATGCTGGCTCGCCACCGTTCGATGCGAGAGAGCATCAAGCCACGTGCGAAGAAGAAGGCGTCGCCCGACCACTGTACCTTTGTGACGCCCGAGATGCTCGTGGAAATTCAACGTCGACGCTCGCTGCGGCAACAAATGCGCGAACTCCTTGAAACCACATACGCGCGCTTCGAAACGACCTTGCCTCGGACAATGACCGACAAAGGCCGGCACAACGCCAGTGCGATTGATGTCATGATCAATTACACCAAGGTGCTGCAGCTGTACGTCGAGGCCGAGGACTGCGCGATGGCCGACTATGTGGCGACCGCGCTCGATCCATCGCTGCGCAACTTCTTTCTCACAAATGTGCAGCCGTTCATGAGCACGTACCTAGCTCGCGTTCGCGCCTCGCAGCGTCTTCGCGCGTGGTGGCGACGCACCTCTGATCGATAGTACTAGTACTAGTAGTTGGTTCCAAGCCACGGTAAAGTATTTTTCCCTTTGGAGAGCACTTTTCAGAAGATACGTTGTCGAAAGTGGTCCGGCGCCAAGCATCTTGTGCTTAGGACGCCCAGGGTAGAGTCACCCGCCGCCCCATTTCTTGTCCAGCCACAACGGGCATTGTCGCTGATCGCCGCATTGTATTGGAACAAAAAGCACGATTCAATCATCGATTCATCAATAATTAAATGTGGATGTCCTCTTGATTCGAACGAAGTTGTGGCGCGGTTCCAGAGATGGCCTCTGATACGACCAAGGTAATAACCCTTGGATACGACGGCCGACCTCCATGGCCCGTCAATCTTCAATCGAACATCACCACATGCCCCAGCTTTGAATTTCGACAGCAATCGGGATCTGCCAAATATATTGCAATGTTTTGAAATATATTAAAAGGAATGTAACAATATATTGCAATATATTAGAGCGAAACGACGCGGATCCGAGCAGTTGCTAGAAAGGTCGCTTGATGAACCCAAGCCGCAGCAGCGGGTCGGTGGCCGCAACGTCGCCCGGGCGGTCGGAGCCGCTCTCGCCGTCGCCCAAGAAGAAAAAGGTGTTTACCGTCGCGCGGCCGTTCCCGTCGCCGCTGGACTTTGTACCGACGCACGATGCATCCGCGGTCGACGAGCGCAAGGCCGCGCTCAAGGCTCAAGTCCGGCGCGACGCCCATGGCAAAGTCAAGTTGCACTCGGCGCTTGGGACGCAGGACGACGTCGAGCACTTTAGCGAGTACCTCACGGCACCGATCCAAGGCGGCGCCAAGGGCATCCGGTCCGGGCTCAAGCGCAATGGGAGCAACACGGGCTTGGGGCGAGGCCCTAGCAACAAGAGCCTCCTCGGCAACGAGACATCGCGATCGCGCGCGTCCACCGACACGAGCAACTACACGAGTAACAACAACAACAACACCCACAACGCGAGCTGGTCGTCGCTGCCAGCGCTGCAGACACCGACCGAGAGCTCGCCCGCTGCGATTGTCCAGCGCACCCAGCTCATCGAGTACAAGAAGAAGCTGCGGCAAATGCCTATCCACGAGCGCATTGCGATGGCGCGCGAGAAGAACGTGTTGTTGATCTGGGAAAAGCGCAACCGGTAGAAAGGATGCATACGTAGTCCTGAGCGACGAACATTTGCATGATGTAGCGAGTGGGAGCAGTTCAAGGCCAAGATTGCGCACAAGCTGCACAAGTCCCAAGACGACCTCGTTATGAGCAAGGCAGGCGAGTACCGGCAGCAAATGGAAGAGTATGACCTCATCAACAAGGCAACACCGCAAGTCGAAAAGCACGGCAAGTACGGTGCACTGCGGCTCTCGATCACTGTAATCACCGCGGTGCGTAGTGACTATTGGACCGTGAGCTTGCGCGACGAAGGCACGCGCTTCGTGCCTGTCGGGAACGTCTTTAGCGGGCTCTTCTGCCCTATCAAGGAAGACAAGAAGCCATACTCGGAAACGATTCGCCGGTACCTCGACGCTCCCACGTGATTTCTTGTCATCAAAAGCGGGTTGCTAGCCCGTTTGACCACCCTCGCAGCGAGCACACCGTCAAGCCGAACGACCCGCTCGCGCTGCGAAAGCGACAGCTTCGGAAAACATTCAAGCCCTTCGCCCGCACGTCATTGACAGTCACCACTGGTACGCCGGAAATCGAGTCGTATGGTGTCAAGTAACGAACGCTGTAGCGAAGGGCTCAAGGTCGAGTCCATCGACCTCTTTGCATGGGCGGCGTCGTCGTCGCAGCACTACTACGATGCTCTCCTGAGTCTTGAGCGCAGCCAGCCTGCGTCCGTCGCAAATCTGCACCCGGACACACCGAGCCTCTCGCGTGCCAACTCGCAGCTCGCCCATGTGCCGACGGGCCGGGCGCCCTTGTCCCGCCGCATTGAAGGCCCGTGCATTCAATTTCTGGCCCATGCAGGCGGGGACCCGATCCAAGACGAGGTGATGCTGGCGTTCCATACACCCATTCGCGCCGTGCAGTCGTTGCCCGTACACATCTCCAACCCGAGCACATATACGGTGCAGTTTCGCTGGACGCAGTACGGACCCTCGCACCGCGACTTTGCTCCAAAGGCTGCGGGTCTCTCGCCGCGCACCTTTGTGTCCCACGCGCAAGGTAGTCGATCCTTGCGAATTGATACATTGATGGTTTCAACGGCGCGGGTAGGGTTTCTCTTGCCGGGCGAGGTCCGGACCTTGCAGTTTGGCTTTGCGTCGTCCGTGCCCGGTGCTTTTTAGAGCGATGGAAGATCTCGATTGACCCGTCGCTGCCCGACAACAACACGGTCCTGTACGCCTCGGAGCACGTCGTGCGTCTCAATTGCATGGCCATCGACAACCGAGCGCCCGTCCACACAAGGGCGTTGATCGAGAGAGCGATGGAGACGCGCGCCGTGCCCTCGATGGTCGAGACGCTTGTCCGAGACATCCTTGGCAACATCGAGTATCCCGAGAAAATCAAAGTTGACGACGTAGCCGAGGACAGGCGTGCCGTGTTCGAGTCCACGAACGGCCGATTCTGTGCCCACTACGACCCCGAGGTAGTACGAGTTCACTTGATAGATTGATACAAACATCGGGGGTAGATCGTCGCCCAAATGCACCTTCTCTACGACCGGGCGCAGAATCTTGTTCTTGCGGATGCCCAAGCCAAACTCGTGACGCCAACGAACGACGCCACGTCGCCGCGGAATGTGGCGCCGCCTCTGGACACGCCGGCGTGGGACGGCGCCTTCCAAACGCTACGAGCGATGACCAAGGCCGCCGACGTCATTTCGGAAGCCGCTGCGATTGCGGCGGCGGCCGAAGAAGCCGCGCGCAAGGCGGCCGCGGGCGACGACGAAGACGACGACGAGGATGACGAGAACAACAAGTCCTCGACGCCGAATTACAAGCCGGTCTTCCAAATCACATGCTGCGAGCTCGAGCTGCTCGCGCAGTTTCGACCGCACGACGGCGCCTTCTTGCAGGCGCAGCTCAGCGACCGCTTTGCGTGTCTCTGCAGTGAGATTCCGGTTGTGAGCTCGATTCTCAAGCACGAGTCGTCGGGCGATGCTTTTTACGACGAGCTGTATGCCCAAGGGCGCGCGTTCATGGCCCAAGCCGTCGACGAAAGCGTCGCCGCCACCATCGCCTTTGAATTGGAGCAAACAACTTCAGCGCTGAAGCGGGACAAGCTTTGGCTGGGGTCGGTCGCCACCGCCTATCCGGCGCCGAGCCCAAGCGACGACCGCACGGTCTTGCTGTACGTCGACTTGGACGTGGCGCACTGCTTTACTGTGCGCGCGCGGGAGCCCATCGTCGGTACCGAGACTGACGTCGGCACCGAGTGGGGCTGGATCGACGGCATCGACACCTTCATCCCGCACAAGATTCGCGCCGTGGCCACGTGGCTCGCGTCCCTCTGTGAAGCGCACGAAGCCGCGTACGACAACTCGCGCGATGTCACGGTGACACTGGTTCTCGTCACTCGTATGAGCAACGCGCGCGTGATCAAAGACAAGAAGGGCAAGAAGCGCAAGCAGGCGCCACTCGCCGCGCCCGACGACGCGACTCCGTCCACGGCGCTGGTGGCGCAAAAGCTTCAAGAGACGCTTGGGCGACCTGTCGAGTACCTCTCGCACATGGAGAGTTTGCACGACCGCTTGCGAAAGCCACCGCCGTCCTTGTCGTCGACGCCGTCCACCGCGTTCGTGACGCCGAGTGCGAGCCCCACACCTGGCGCAGAGCCAAATCCGTCGCCCGAGCTGACGCCTCCGCCGTCGCTCCAGGTCCACATCGTGCTCATGGAGCACATGGAGCTGCTCTTGCACCCACCGCCCCGACCGGACCCCATCGTTGTCGACGACGCCAAAGTGGCCAAAGAGGACGCGAAAGCCAAAGCGCCGGCCAAGAAAGGCAAGGCCAAAGACAAGGAAGACGACGAGAAGAAGACGGCGGCTGTCGTGACGCCCAGCGTCCTCTTGGTGCGCGAGGCCCCCGTCTACGCGTCCGACGACGCCAAGATCGACGCGGTATTCAGCGGCACGTACGCCGACGTCGTCTCGGAAGGGTTTCGATCGCTCGTGGACGTGACGGCCATCAACTCGTTTGGCGGCGACGACTGGAGAAGCATTTTGGCGCTGCCTGCGACGCCCTTTGTCGGGCCGGCGCTCGCGACAGAGATGCATCGTCTCGCACCGCTGCTGCAGCCGTTCGAGAGCCGCGTCCGTCATGACGGCACGCGCCTCGTTGTCGTCCTTGGCGGCAAATCGCTCGTCTCCAAGCTGTGGCTACTGGACTACCTCTTGGAGATTGCCGATGCCATCTACTTGGTGGGCGGCGTCGCCGTCAGCGTCTTGCGGTTCCTAACGGCGCCCAAGGCCATACAAAAGACGCTGTCGCTGCCAAATGAGCCAGGCTTGACGCTGCGTGTGCTCGACCGCGTCCGGAGCAAGGCCCGTCGCCGTCTCGTGCCGCTGCTGGTACCCAAAGACTTTCTTGTCGGCGACGGTCCGATCGAGCCAGAAGTCGACAACGACGACGACGGTGCGACGCCCGGCGACGACGCCCAAGGGCGCAACACAGCACGTGGTGACGACGACGACGACGATGCGGATGACGCGGACGACGACGATGACGACGGCGACGAGGAAGACGAGGAAGAGGAGGAAGAGACCCCGAAAAAGAAGAAGAAGAAAAAGACACCTGCACCCGTCGCCGTCCCTGGTATGTGGTATTGTAGAGGCGCGGTATCTCAGGTGTCGTTCGTAGACGTCGTCGTCGTCAACGAACCCGACGAGCCATGTGACAGTCGCCCGACTTTGCCGTTTGAAGGCACGACATTGCACGTGCAACACCTGGATTTGGACGAAGACGACGCGACGGCGTGGCTCCCGCTCGACAACATGACGCCGGACATGCTCGCCTCGTCGTTCCAAGCCGTGCTAGCGAATGACGGCACACCGTTGCCGCTGCCGTCGACATGGATCCAGCGCGTCTATGACGTTGGTCCGCGCTCCGTCGCGAGTTTAATCGATCGCCTTGGTGCCCCCAACGACCCCGTCATTGTCGCCGGCCTTCCAGGGATTGTCGAGTGCCGGGACTTCCAAGAGAGCACGACGGCGCTTCTGTCGGCTTTGAAGCCCAAGAAGGACCTCGTTGTTGTCGCGGGCAGCACGACGGCCCACTGGTTGTGGCAGCTCGACACGGACGAAAGCAGTCTCAAGCTCATTGATCCGTCATCGACGCGTAGCCGGGGCGTCCTCTCCTACTACGTGGCCGGGCAACGCCACCCGGCCCTCGCCGCGTTGCAGCGCAGACAGTCGTCCATTTCTGGCGACAAGCAGGAAAACATGTAAACAAAATTGCATTGTATGATTCCCAATCAATGCGGGTGGTTGCAGTTGCCGCACTTGGTCGAAAACTTTTGCGGCCGGAAGCGGTCGCAGGGACAGCCAAACATCGAGCACTCGCGGTGGAGCTTGACCTCTTGCTCTTGTCGATAGTCGACGCAGCTCTGCATCGCAGCGTCAATCGCGTCGTAGAGTCGACCAGCCGCGCGGGGCGGCGCGACGACGCCCGATAAGATCTCAGACGGCTGGATGTGCCGGCCGTAAAAGTCGCGGTTCGCGTCCGACCGGCAGGTGATGACGGCACCGTGCAGCGAGATGCCTGCAAAGAGCCCTTTCGAGTGCGAGTAGCTGTAGTTGGCGCCCAGGCCGTTGCCCTTGGCCATGGACGCAATGACGGTCGCGGACCGTCCGTACGGGCCCATCGTCACGTCCAAGCCCGCGCCGATGGTAATCTGTGTGTCATGGAATTGCTGCACGGCCTTGGGGGTGCCGAGAATGAGCAAAATCTGGACGACTTCGCCGCCGCCTTCAAAGCCTCCGCCGAGGCCGGTGGTGCCAATCGCAGCCGGCGCCGACCACGTGCCGTTCGGGAGCTTGGTGATGACGAGGCCCGACCCGAGCTTGGCCGTAATGAGCAAGCCGGCTTTGACGACAGTCAGGAACGCCAGCCCGTGGGCACGTTCGAGGAACGCGACGGGAATGCGCCGGTCGAGGTTCGTCGGGTCGAAGAATTGGCGCAGAATTTTACCTGCGTTTTCACACTCGTCTTCGATCGACTGCTTGAGTGGGACGGACTGGAACCATTTCTTGGACTTAGGCGCTTCGCTGGCTTTGTTGGCGTTCGCAAACGCCGAAATGAGCTTGTCCTGGAGCGGCTGCAGCATCGGCGCACAGGCCGTACAGACGCGTTGGGGGGCTGCCGGGTCGAAGCCTTTCGCCAGCGCATGCTCATGGCCCGGCGGAATCAGCATCCGCGTGGCCGAGCAGCTCGAGCACGTGTCGCGCCCGCACTTGCGGCACTGGCGCTTCCGGTGCATGAGGTCGAAGGTCTGCGCGCAGATGTGGCACGATGGCTTGTCGGAGCGCGACCTCGCCTCCTCGACGGGCGGCGCCGTGTACGTGGCCGGCGGCGGCGTCGAGAGCGATGACGACGACAGTGTCGACGACGACGAGCCACCACCCTTTGGGCGGTGGGCCGCGAGGTACACGTAGGCGTTCATGAGGTCGGCGCGCTTGGCATCGTCCGGGATGAGTCGCACGAGCTGCGGCATCATCGACTCCATCATGTACTCGCCAAAGTAGCCATACACGTTGGTCGTAAAGGCCTCGGCGGTGAGGCGGCCCTGGCCGTAGTGCTTGCAGTCGCGCTTGAACGCCTTCACCGCGCCTTCTTCGTCCTCGCCGCGGTGCGCCGCGCGCACGGTCGCAATGATGCGCTTGTAGAGCGACGTGGCTTCGTCGCCGACGGCGGCGGGCGGCACCGATGGCGCAGCTGGCGTCGACGCGGCTGCTGGCGCGTAGTAGGAGGAAGGCTCTGTCACTGGCGCCGGCGCGTAGTAGGAAGGCATTGCCACTGGCGCGTAGTATGATGGCGGCGGCTCTGCCGCGGGTGCGTAGTAGGACGACGGCGCCGGAGCATGGGCTTGGGGCGTCGGCGTTGGCGTAGCGTGTATGTCTCTCTGCGACGGCCCCGAGTCGGCGCCGCACTCGGAGCAGAACCGGCGGCCGTGCAGCGGCGTCCCGCACTGTCGGCAAAACTTGGCCATCGTCGACTGGGATAGTATTGCAGTAATCCCATTGCAGTATCCGGATAAGGATTCGGCCGTTTGAGATCCCACCATGAAGGTAGCGGCCGGAAGCGACGAGCGAGGCTGCATGATGCGACCTGGTAGAGCCTCTTCTCGTTCGGGTCAGCGGTCGACGTCTCCGTGGTCTTTGACGGTGCGAGCAGCCGCGCGATGGACGGCGACCTCCAGATCTTCTCGCCCGACGAAGCCGTCTCGGGCCGCGTGCTTGTCGCAGCCAAGAAGCTCGAGCACGTGGGCATCAAGGCCGAGCTGCTCGGCGTCATCGAGATGACGCAGGAAAAAGGGTACCCGTTCGAGTTTACGTCGTCCGTGCGCGAGCTCGCCCCCGCTGGTGCCATCGACGAGGCCCAGGTAGCACGACGACGTGTATGATTGTCTGCAAGCTGGCGCCGTAGGAATTTGGCTTTAGCTTTGGCAACGTCGACAAGCCGCACGAGTCGTACTACGGCAAGAGCGTCAAGCTGCGCTACTTTGTACGCGTGACCATCGCGCGCAGCTACGCGACCAACGTGACGCGCGAGCAGGACTTCCTCGTGCACGTCCGTGGCGCTGCGCCAGAGATGGACAGCGCCATCAAGATGGAGGTCGGGATTGAAGACTGCCTCCACATTGAGTTCGAGTACAACAAGGCCAAGTACGCTGCTCTTGTATGTGCTACTACCGGCGACGTCAACGACGAGTAGGTACCACCTCCAAGACATTGTCGTCGGCAAAGTCTACTTCCTCCTCGTGCGCATCAAGATCAAGCACATGGAGCTCTCGATCATTCGGCGCGAGGCCGCGGGTGGCGGCGCCGACAAGGCGAGCGAGACCGAGACCGTCTCCAAGTTTGAAATCATGGACGGCGCGCCCGTCAAAGGCACGCCGCATATTTGCCCACTTGATACTTTTAGTTGATACATAACCACTGGCTAGGCGAGTCGATTCCCGTGCGTGTGTATCTCGGTGGCATGCCGCTCACGCCGAGCTTCAAGAACGTCAGCAACAAGTTCTCGGTCAAGTACTTTCTGAACCTCGTGCTCGTCGACGAAGAGGACCGTCGCTACTTCAAGCAGCAAGAAATCACGCTCTGGCGCAGCACGTAGCACACGCTCGTCTTCTTGCATATATACTGTATGGACGATGATGAGCATCCTCCTCCTCACCGTTGGTCATTGCATCTTGTCCCGACACACACTCGCAATCTACATCGTCGAGGAAGCGGTACCGGACGCTGTCCAACCGACCTGTAATGTTGGCCTCCTCTCGCTCCATGCGCCGACACGTTCGAGCCGTGACGCAAATGGCTTTCTTGCCGTCTACCTTCCAAACCATCGCCCTTAGAGGTCGGAAACCAGCCCTCATGGTCATAGAAAGACTCGCAACGGACGGATCTCTTTTCTTTGAACGCGGACGACAGAAAGGCGGGAGATTCTCGCTGCCGTTTCCATCAATTTGTTGCGAAACGGGCACGCGCGACCATGCGCGCGCTGGCCAAGATACCGTGGCCGGCCCCCGAGCCCGTGGACTTGCTCGCCGAGTTTGGTGCGACCCTTGTGGGCGACGTTCCGGCCCGCCCTGCGCTCGCCTCGGCCGTGCAATTTGACGCGAAGCTGCGGCGCCTCCAAGGTACACACGCCATTGCGATCGAGGAGCCCATGCAGCAATCGATGTAGCGGACTCGCCGTACACGCGGCCTGTGGTTGCGCGCGATGTTCAAGCCCCCTTGACACATGCCCAAGTCGCCGCCAAGCGAGTGCGCCACTTCGCCTTGAAGCACTTGGCGCTCGACTGGACGTCCAACCAAAAAGATGCATCGGACACCCTGCCCCTGACGCACGCCGCAGCGTCGGAAGGTCCCGGTAGCGACGATTTCGACCTGCAAACCTGGCTCCGCGACGCCAACGCGTGCGCAATCGACCCACAAACGAATGTGCTGCACGCGACCGCGGCTGCGGCACCGCTACCGTCCGTCACGACGACGTCGCCTACCGCACGCACGCTCCATGCGCCGTTGCTGCCCAAGCGAAACCGGCCACATCGACGGCCATCGCCAACCACAAAGCGTACCAAGGCCGTGTGCGCACCCGACGACGACGACGACGACGATGGCAGTGCGATCGACGATATCCAAGACACCGAGTACATACTGCCTTTCGAGCATTTGAAGCCGCAAGACGTGTACAACGCATGGTGGAATACGCCTTGTGGATTCTCATGCTGCTCTCGAGTAGATCGACCATGCAGCACAAACGAGCAGGAACAACGTCGCCAACCAAGGAGCTCCGCCGCGCCAAGTCGTTCCACATTGCAAAGTGGCTCACCAAACGCATGCAAGAGCGCGCGTACTCGAAGGAAATGCAGTCTCGACTGGCGGCGACGCTCTCGGCCAACGTCGGTGGCGGCCTCTGGAAAGACCAAGTGGCGTCGCAGCTCGCGACCGCGATGAGTGCCGACGTCGTCTTTGGCGATGGCAGCGACGGGAACGGCCGGCCCTTCGCCGACGACGCCGCGGCCCTCGCTCTCGTGCTCGAGCGCGAGTGGATTGACACCAAAGCGCGGGATATCCACGACCGTGCGACCACCGAGTATGCCCAAGGCCACGTGCCCGAAGCACTCTCGATCCTCTCGGCCGGCGCCGCGCTCTTGCAGGCGACCACGGCGGTGGCCACGCACAAGTCGTCCTGGGGCTTCAACTATACGCTCGAGGTGCACGCCAAGGCGAGCCTCCTCCAAGTACGACCTGTGTGCAATGGACCGTGGACCACGGATGTGCTATCTAGATGCGGTATCGCCGACGGCACCTGCGTCGGGCCAGAGCGGCCTTGCGACTCCAAACCGTGTGGCGAGGCTTTCACGACCGCCGCCGCTTCAAGCGCCGTCTGTGGCACCGGCAGGCAAGCGCGCTGTACATTCAGAGGTGGTGGCATGTCCGCACCGCCGACAAGGAGGCGATGCGCCTTCGACTCCAGGTGCAGAAACAGGCGTCTTACCTCTCGCTCTCAAGCAGCCATAGACAGCGGCCCGACGCAAGCTCGCGTACCTCCTCGTGCGGCGCATGCGCAAGGCCCACAAGGTCTTGCGGGCGAGCATCCATGCCTGGCTCGTCTGCGCCCTCGCGCGCCTGCGTCTGCGTCGCGCGATCCGCGCTGCGACCAATATACAGCGTCTCGTCCGCGGCTTCCTCTCGCGGCGAGCGGTTCTGCGCTTGCGCGATCGCATCGTCCGCGACGAAGTCGCCCGCAGCAGCCGCGAAGCCGACTACATCCAACGGTTCACAGCGATCCGGCTCGAGGATTTCCTGCTCTTTCTCCATCAAGCGGTATCCGGATATCGATGGCCGTGTCCGGTTGTGACAAAAAGGCGTGTAGGGGCAGAGCCACGTACACCAGCTCGCGCAGCGACTCAAAGACGAGGCGACGGCGCGGAAGCGAGCGCGCGCGCATTGGGCGCCCGCGGCCATGCGCCGTGCGGCGCTCGAGGACCTCTTTGCCTCGTACGACGTCGACGGCTCGGGCACGATCGACGTCGACGAGCTCCAGCATCTCTTTGACGAGCTCTGCATTCCGATGGACGCTGCGTCGCTGGCGCAGGCGATTCGCCTCATGGACACCTCGCGCAATGGTAGCGTGGACATGAGTGAGTTTTGCGCGTACCTCGAGGCGCCGCCGCCGCAGTCCAACGCCGGTCTCTGGAAGCTGCACGCGCAGCTCCAGCTCCAGCGCGTGGCCAACTGGTTCACGTCCGCGACGTTCAAGAACGAAGCGAGGCGCCGCCTTGTGTACGACGAGACGCAGCGACAAGCGCAGCTTCTACGCACCGAGTTTCGCATGACGGAGCACCCGCGCTTTGCCTGCCCCTACTGCGGCGCAGCGTTTGCCTTGTACCGGCCCTTTTGGCGCCATATGCGGCAGCGACAGTGTCCTGCCGCGTCGAACCGCCGGCTCGACACAGCGCATCAAGTCGACGCCGACGACGACTTGGCGGCCGTCGAGCAAGCACTCGTGGATGCGCGGCTTGTCGAGGTCGAGCGGGACGTCGCTCTGTACATGGCAACGTCGCCAGGGAAGGCCGACCTCGCCGCCGACGCGACGCGCCTTCAGCAGCGCTACCTCGCGTTGCGTCAGCGCCGAACGCTCCGCGATCTAGCACACAACAGCAACGCTATCTTAGAGCTCTACCACAGCTACGACATGGCGGAAACCAACGCGCTGCCAGCGTACTTGCCACTGAACTCGAAGAAGAGAAGTGACCCGTGCGTAGGTTGCTCGTGCCCGACATCGCAGCCGACGTGGGCCTTGGTCGCGCGGAGCTCGCACTGCATTTTGCCACCGACCACGCCGTGACAATGGACGAGGTCTTTATAGCCGTACGACGCGCCTACATTTCGCTCTCGTGGTGCACGCGGCTGCAACAACTGCTGCCGTCCTTTCTCTTCACGTCGTCGCGGCGACAGCGCCGGCTTCGACAGGCCGCCACGTGCCTCCTCTTGCGGGAGCAGGCGCTCGCCGAGGCATCTGTCCGAGCGGCCTTCCGGTCGGCGCACCCCCCAGTCCTTGTCTGTCAAGCGTGTAACACAGGTGTGCTAAATCCTCGAGTCCGCGTTGTCTGAGACGTCGTAGGTTTGTGGCATGACGCGCGAGCCCGGTTGCATCTCCAAGGTAACCGGCAAACCGTGCGCTCGGTGCTGAATACGCAGTGTAGATGACCGTTTTCATGCGCGGGATGCGTCGTACCGCCACCGGCGGAACGCGCGCATCCACCTGACGGCCACATCCACGAGCCGCTTGGTGCAGCTCACGCAGCTCTCGCAAGATGCGGTGCGCGCGCAGGCCATGCAAAAGGCACTGCGATTTTGCAAGCGCCAGGAAGGGCGACGCGCAATCCACGCTGTAACCAAACACCTCCTCACACAGCTCGCACCCCAAACCGCCGTGAACGAGCCGCGTCGGCTGCTCGATGTGGCCTTCCAGCTCGTCGACGTCGACCGCGTTGGGTCCATTCCCGCTGAGAGTGTTGCGCCGGTCCTAGCGTTTTTGCAGTGCACCGGTAAGGCAAAGATGGCGACGCTGCAAGCTCCCACCGAGCGCGTCCATCGCTCTACCTTGGAGCGCTGGGTGCTTCCACTGCCGCCGCCCAAGCCATGGACGTTCGAAGCGTTTGGCGCCACCGACGCGCGACCGCTCTGGCAACGCACGTGGTCGCAACGACGTATCTGCAGTCCAAGGCGACCTTGGATGTTGTGCCGCATGTGGACGTGCACGCGTACTTGGCGACACCCGTCGGGCGACAAGCGATCGCAGACGAAGAAGCGCTCTTCGGCGCGCTGCAAACGACAACGACGACCGACCTCACCGCGCTCGTCCTGCAGCAGCTCGACGTGGATCGCTCGCGGCGCATCCGCGTCGAGCATCTGGCCACGCTACTATACGTCCTCGGCTATGCACATGCTACTCGCACGGTGGCGACGCTCCGCTCGGCGGTGCCGGCGTCCGACGGCCATGTGCCATCGGACACGCTTCGGGCGTGGCTCACGGCCCACCCACCACGCCGCTGCATGCTCGGACGTCGCTGGCGACTGCGATGTGTGCGCACGCGCCTCGCCCGCGCCGTCGTGACGGCCCGCTACGAAGGCAGCGCGGCGGCGTGTGCCCCCGATCCGATCTCGCACGATGCGCTTCTCGTCGCCAAGTCGGAGCACTTTAGCAAGAGCGCAATTGGCCGAGACGCAATACGAACCAAGGTCGCGGAGCTCAAGCGGCTGGAAAAGGTCTTTGCGGCATCCACCAAAGGCGTGCGAGGCCACGCGTGGCGCTCTGCACGGGCCCGCTTCCTCTTTTGCCTCTTTGAACGTGGCCACGCCGGCGCCATCGAGCTCGTCGACGTGCCTTGCGTCTTGCGCGACCTATGCCATCCGTTGCAGAAGGATCCCAACGTCATGGCGCGCATGCTTCGATTCCTCAACTTGGAGGCGACGACCACGACCACGATCTCGGAGACGGCGTTTCATCGGTGGCTCGACACGGACGCCGGTCGAGCGCCTTCGCGGCGACTCGCGTGGCGGCCATCGACCAAGGCGCTCGCCACCGCCGTCGTGCGCTTTGAGCATCGCAGCGACCTCGGCCAGCGCGAGGACGATGTGCTCCCACTGCATGTACTGGCCAAAGCCGATATGTACTGCGCCAGCGTTGCGGGGCAGCACGAAATTGACGAGGAAGAGACGCACGTCCAGGCGCAGCTAGGCCAGCATAGGCGCAAGACACGCGGTCTCGCCGCGCTCGAGCACAAGGTCGCCTACGCCGCGCTGCTCTTTCGACTCGTCGACGCCAACCATACAGGCCGCGTCGCCGCCCATGCGCTCTCGACGCTGCTCGGCCTCTTGCAGCTGCCCAACGATCTGCCGCTCGCGCACTGCATCGCACGCGACGTCGGCGACGCGACCGGCCACCTCGACGAGGCGGCGTTCCTTGCATGGTACCGCGGTGCGCTGGACCGCCAGTCGCTGCGCACGCGCCTGCTGGCTGCGCTGCGGCAGACGCCCGTGCGCGCGATAGCCACTGCTGTCGTGGCCGCACGCTACCGCCAATCGCGCGAGCAGCCCACCGAGCCATCCGAAGGGTGCATGGCTCCATAGTACTACCTGTATCTACCATCATCAAAAGAAGAAGCAACGATATCTCCGACGCAGCTTCAGTGTACATTCGATGGCTTCTTCTTGACAGAAAGCGCTTCGAATTCGAGCGTGGGATGCGATGCCGGAAGGCACCGATACACTCGCGGCTTGCGTTGATGGGCCCTCCATGTTGCAAGTGGGCTAGCAATGCCCATCGCGCTCGCCGACCCGCCGCTGCATTGTCGCCGGACCAATTGATTGCCGTGGTCGAGTACACTGTACGAGTCCAATGTCGCGGACCCGGCAAGCAAATGACCTGGTGCAGCGAGTGGAAAGTTCTGTGAGTAATCTCGGCCCGCCGGCCTCATATAGCTGCTAGCTACACTCGGCTCCATATTCAAGTAGTGCATCTCTGTCTCATGGCGACGCCGACGATCTCGGACGACGGGTGCTTTTCGGTTGGCAGCAGCAGCGTGCCGATGATGAGCTTTTGGTCACCGAGGTCATCGGCCTCGAGCGACATTGACTACGTGGACGACGCGCAGGCCTCGACGCCGACCGACTCGACGATCGACGACGTGGTCCCGACGAGCGACGCCGTGCTGCACCATGGGTGGCTCTTCAAGCGCGGCCAAGGCGGCTTCTTCCACCGCGCGTCGTGGAAGGCGCGGTTTTGCGTCGTCACGAGCGCCAGTCTGCGCTACTACTCGCGCGAGAACGAGACCAAGAAGGGCGAGCTCGACTTGACGGGCTGTACGCACAAAAGCGTCGAGGTGCTGCCACGGAAAGCGCTGCGTAGCTCGCACCCCACGCTATGGCGCTTTGCCGTGCACACGCCCAAGCGGCGCATGGTCTTCTCCGCGTCCAGCGAGACGGAAATGAACGACTGGATTCGCTCGATTCACATGGCCTTGGCGCTCCAGAAGAACAACTTCCAGGTCGTCCAGCAGGTGCAGATGGCCGACCGCCGCACCGCGCCCATCATGTACATCTCGCAGCGGGACGGCTTGCGCCCGACCTGCGCGAGCGCCCGCGGCTACAGCAGCATGGGCCGGCCGCCCCGGCGAGACCCCGAGGTCGAGTTCTGAGCCTCCTCCTCGTAAATTAAAAATGGACGGTATCTATGCGTTTTTTAGTATTACCTTGTGGTTTTTATACCGACCGCATATAAATACGATCCTAGGAACGCGTTTTATTCCTTTCGACGGCCGACGCAGCATGAGCAGCGGCAACCTCTGGCAGAGCCTCCTGCGCGAGTCCTCGGAGCGGGCGCCGATCCCAAGCACGGAGCTGCTGCTACTAGGCCCCGCCGAGTCGGGCAAGTCCTCGATGCTTCAGCGCTGGCAACACCTCGGGAACAAGAGCCCCGCGGAGAAGCCGACGACCGTGCACACGGTGCTACCCTCCGAGTTTGCCACGTTCCACTTGCCAAGCGAGGACGACCCTGCGTGCCAGCTCAACGTCTGGTCGTTCAACACAGATCAGCTCGAGACAGAGCCCGCGCTCCTCGGTCTCGCCATCGACGTGGACCGCCTCCAGCACACGATCGCGCTCGTCGTACTCGACGCGAGCCGCCCCTGGACGATCAAACCGACGCTCGACACGGTACAGGACCACAGACACTAGATGCACATGCGCTCACGCTGTGCGCAGTGGCTTCCGGCGCTCGAGAATGCGCTGCAAGAGAAGATGCTGATGCTGGACAACCACAAGCGCGACGAGCTCCTCGAATCGACCCGCAAGCATTGGCTCGGATACGAAGAACCAGTACGTACGCGGGCATGCTTTGACGCCACCAACGCTCGCATGTAGGGGCGCTCGACCGCACCGGCCCTCTTGCCGCTCGGGCGCGCGGACAATGAGATGGTACATGCCTCCAAGCCCACCCACGTACTATGCTGCTGCTGCACGTAGCCCACGCTGCCCCACGGCGTCCTTCTTCACAACTGCGGTATTCCGATCGTGCTTGTCGTCGCCAAGACCGACGTACGCCGTCTGCTGTCTCTGACGAGGTCGTTGCATCCGTCGCATGTAGATCGCTCCGGACGACGCGGTGAAACAAGACTTTGCGCAATGGACGATCCGCGAAACCGCACTTGCCTGTAGCCTCCATCTACTTGCGATTTTGTTGGTCTCATGCGATAGCAGATGGCGCCGCGGTCTGCTACACGTCGAGCAAGACGAGCATCAATGCCGAGCTGCTCAAGAACTACGTCTTGCATCGCACGCAGACTGGCGTCAAGTTTACCGAATCGCCCAAGGTAGAAGAGACGTCGACGACTCTTCTCATCCGTGCATGTACGTAGCTCATCGACCGCAATGCGATCTTTGTGCCCAGCGGATACGACTCGCATGAGCTCATCGAGCAGAGTTTGGTCGGCTCCCAGGTAGACAAAATCGGCATCGCGACGCCGGAGCTACATACGCCGCCGTGTAGCCGCGCTGGTCCAAGACCCAAGCCTTTGACAAGATGTTTCCAACGCCCAACGAGAAGAGCGAAGACTCGGCACGGTCATTTCGACATTGCATTCCCTTGACCGTCGCGTAGGCTCTGCTCCACGCAGAAATCCGCGTCGATCCGAACCAGACCTGGCTCCGGAAGCTCGAAAAGGCAGCTGGCGCAGGTTGGCCGCACCACTATACCCTGTGTTGTCGACAGTGTATCTGTAGGCTTGGCCGATCTGCAAAAGAGCAGTGTCGAAGCCAGTCGCCGCGCCGATGAGCTCGCGGCGGCGCGCCGTGCCGAGGCCGAGACGCGCAAGGTACACGAGCGACGCCTACCTCTCGGTTGCCCATGACGTGGATTAGGAAAAGCACGACGTCAAGAAGGACACCAAGGTTTTGAGCTCTCTGGGCGCGGATTACATGTCTCGGAAAATGCTGCTGCAATGTAGGACGTGAACCCGAAACACTTGGCCAATTTCTTCAACAACCTCCTGAGCCGCCCCGAGAAGCAAAAGTCCGGCCGCGTCCTCCTCGACAAGTCCAAGGTAGCGCGGCCGCCTCATTTGTAGGTCTCTCACGCGCGTATGCAGCTGCCTGCCAAGGGCGTCAAGGAGCTCGCAGAGGACGAGCTGCGCAAGATGTAGTCGCATAGTCAGAGGAGTCTGTCTTGAGTTTATGCGAAAAAGCCCACGCGTTCTGTTCGGTATGTCTGCGTCGTATCGAGCGCGTCTTGGTCGGCGAAGACGCGGCCCATCGCTTCAAACACGTGCACGGACGACGAGTTGGCGACGTCGATCATGGCCTGCATCTCCTTGACGTCCAAGGCGCCCGCGCCGCTCTTTTGCATGCCGCAGAGCCGCTGGTTGGCGTCGATCGCGACGCTGATCTGCGCGCTCATGCAGAGCTCTTCTTCGAGGAGCGCGTCCATGACGAACCACCGGTCAATCTTGCTCAGCGTCATGCAAATCGGCCACGCGTCGAGGTTGAGGCGCGAGCCCGTCGCGGGGTCGGCGTCGACCTCGAGCAGCTGGTCTTCGTCCTTGTCGCCACTCAGCTTGATGGACGGGAGCAACGTATCGCGGAGCGCGCTGTAGATCGCCATCGAGATGACATCCGGGAGGTTCCCCGACGTGTCAAAGACCATGACATCGACAAAGACGACCCAGACGCTCTTGTTGGGCACGATCGCGAGGCCGGGGAGGTCGACGACCACGAGCCGCTTCATGCGCTCCGTGAGCTCGACGTTCATCTCTTCCTGGGCGCGGCCATCCATCTTCTCCGAGACTGACGGCGCACACTGCACGTTGAGCTCGACCCAGCCGTTGGCGTGGTCGCCGTGCGCCACCTCGACCTTGACGCTGGCCAGCACGTCGGTGCTGCCGCCCTTGAGCGAGACGCGGCTCGAGCCGTGGCTCTGGCTCAAGAGGCCGTTCTCCATGCGGAGGACCCGGCGCGCGAGCCGGCTGCGGCCGTCGGCGCGGACGTCCTCGGCGATCCCGTCGGCGATGAAGGCGCGCTCCGAGGGGCTAATGCGTAGCATGTTGCTGTCTCTCGCGACCAATCAAACGCAACGGATGTGGTGCGTCTTTCAAAGGTCCAGGTGCGCTTTTATCTCGAAAAGGTGCGTAAATCCAAATTCGATTCAACGTTCGTGCGCTTCTGTCGCGGCAACGCTGGCAGTGGTCTCGGCCGGCTGGCCCCATTGCAGATGCTTGGTGCGGACATGGCGCCAAAAGACATGCCCGCGCTCCGTATCGCGCAGCTGCTCCCATGCGCCGTCGCGTGCAAGGACCTAGAGGCGCTTGAATGAACGTCTGTGTGTGATGAAGTGCATCGTCGCACGACGGAGCGCGGGAGCCGGTGCTTGCTCGGGCCGGCGGACGCATACGCTCCGATCGGACTTCGCTCGTGCTGCAGCGCATTGTATTCGTACAAAAGTGGCTCGTTTAGGGCGTCGGCCACGAGGGCGCGCCGGTACAGTGTTTCCGCCTACGTCGCCATGAGCATGCGCGAGATGCAGCGTGATGTCAACCCGATCGATGTCATTGACGATATGCTGCTGGTACAAGGCGTAGAGCCCCAGTGCCTACATGCACCGACATGGTTTTTTCCAGCATCGACGATCGCTTTGTACAAGTGCGTTGGTCGGGTCAGCGATGACGCGCCAGCGGAAGCAAGCGTCCTCGAGCGGCGTGACGTCCCGCAGCCTCGAGTCCCGTTGCTTGGCCATTTGCAGCAGGCGCGTCGCGCGCTGCCGGTTCTTATTTTGCGGTTTTTTCCCGCTTACAAGCAGAAGCAGCGCGAGGGCCACGGACGCCAGCACGTCCCCAGGCGCGACCTAGTACGCGCATCATGGAGTACGGGCCAAGGACGAGCGACAATCGCACGCTGAGAATGGCCTCGAGGAGCCGATACGCCTTGTCCAGCTAGAAATACGGTGCAGCGCCCTCGACGACAAGCGCTCGATACCTCGTGGTACGCAAGGGCATGCAGCGCACAACGCTTCTGTTCGTCGAGAGGCAAGGTCAACGAAAAGGTTTGCGGGACGTTCTAGCTCCAAGTACGCGAGACACAACCATGCCAAACGACCCACCGTGTGAAACGTGAGAGCCTGCACGAGCAGCGGCAGTGTCACGCAGCCCACTGCGTCGTGGAAGCGGCGGCGGCGAACCAGTCGCTGCAACGCCCGCGCCGCCTACGACAGCGTTTTAAGCGCTTTAACCCAAACGTTGCACAACGTGATCTTGGCTCCACCACGTCGACCGCCCCCGCGCCGGGTTGTAGTAGTAGACGCGACCCGACGCCGCGTCGTACTGCGCCAGCCACTCGTCGGTCGGCACCTCAAAACGCACACCCGGGTACAGCCGCGCAAACGGCGGCGCGCACCAGATCGTCCCCTGCACCCGGTTGGTGTACACGCGCCGGCCCGTCGCTGGCTCGATCCCGTAGACGTACAGCGACTACGCGTATATATCACGCAAGCCCATCGCCAGCAGCCATACGCACCGGGAGACGGCGGCGAAAGTGCTGGCGCGCGAGGATCCCTCGGCATCGCGCCTGGAGCGTGCGCGCGGCGGCCGCTTTGAGGTTGCGCCGGGCCTCCGACGCATGCTGTTGTTGCAGCTACACAAGCGGTTGTCTCCCTTCTCTCGCATCCAAGATGCGACCTGCTCGGCCAAGACAACGTCCGGCAACATGGACGCTGTCGGCGCAACGACACCGTAGGTTGCCACGTAGAGCGTGAGCGCCTTAAGAACATTGTGGGCGCAGTGCTGGAGCGGGCAGTCGAGCGCCGACGTCAAGAGATACCGCGCCGGGCCGAGAGGCAACGCCGGCCGATCGAGGCGCACGCCGCAGCAGTGCCACGTCACGTGCCGTGCGCGCTGCATAAAGCACACCATTGCATGTGCCAACGATGCGGGCAGTGTGTACGTGGCAAGCGCGCTCGAGCTACATCGTATCAAGTTGATACTCCTGTAGACCCGATGCTGGAATGTCGCACATTGGCTCGTAGACGCGGAGGACATAGTCGTAATGGACACCCGAGACGCTGACGACGTACGCGGTCGGTGGCGCCCACACGACACGGTGCGCAAGGCGCTAGAGCTCGTCGTCGCTTAGCGTCACAGTGCACACGCGATATTTGTACCCGGCCACGACTGGCATGCGCGTCATGTTGGTGCAGCATGACGCGCTGGGTCTTTGTGTTGATGTACAGTCGCCGAACCACGAGGCGCAGCTGCTCGTGCAGCGTCGATCGTTGCACCTACTCGGATTGCTCCTGCGAGGCGTTGAAATAGTTCCACGCGACCTTGTCGGGCGGTGCGAGGTCGGCCCAGATCTGAGATAGAAGGGACGTGTGGAGCGTCGTCTCATACACGCGGCAACTCACGGGATCGAATAGCTCGAGGTGCAGCTGCCGGTCCTTGGCCAAGTCGATGTGACACCGAAAGACCGAGACGACGAAGCGACGACCGTCCACGTAGCCGCCAAACCGGTAGAGGAAGAGTCGCCGGCGACTCTTGAGACGCTGGAGGTGGCCGACCCACTCGGGGTGCATTCGGCGAAAGAAGCGGCGCCAACCGAGCCGATGCCGCGCCCAGCGCTGGAGCCGCACGCGTCGACCGAGCAGAAACTGACGCTGCAGCTCCTCGACGCGCCGACGCTCGGCCTCCACGGCTTCGAGTCGCTGGCGTTCGCGCAAAGCCGCGACCAAAACGACGTACCTCCCCTTTGCAATCCACATGCGCGCGTAGCGTTGCAGAACGAGCACCGTCCGACGTCGACGTCGCAGCTGTGCCAAGTGGTGCCTACAGGTCTACATCAATCTTAAAAGTGCACACTTTGTCGAGTCGACAGGTATTGGGCGTAAATGGCGTGGCCCCGGTACGCAGCCTGCAGACGCGTCGCGGCACACATGCGTCGCGCAAGCGCCTCCATTCGGTCGAGCTTGGCCTGCGATCGGTACCTCTCGAGTGCCTAATGCGATACTTTAGCATCAAGTCCCTCAAAAATGACGACCGTGGTCCATAGCGTCTTGCTGTGCGGGTCACGCGTTAGGTGCTCCAAGACAAAGGCGCGCAGCGGATCCGGCTCGATCCTTTTGCGGTAGACCTCGGCGACGACCGCGTTTAGTGCGGCCAAGAAGCCGTCGCGCTCCATTTGATGTTGGAAGATGGGACAGGCATGTTTGAAAAAAATGCGATCGAGGAGACCGAGCGGGAGGAGCTCGGGCGTCACGCCGCAGTCGCGAATGAGCTTTGCAAATTTCACAGAGTCTATGCCACCGCTACAATGGTCGCACGTGCGCAGGAGCCACATACCGACAAAGTCTAGTGCACGAAGCGAGCCGCATGAGCATCCTGCCGCCGTCATCTCGTATTCAAAGGAACGTACAGTTGGACGGGTACGTCTCGCAGAGCTCCTTGAACTTGGTACAAAGCAAGTCGGAGGTCGGCGTCGCAGCAACGTACGGCGTCCAGTCGAGATGAGCGCTCCAGAAAGCATTCTCCAGCGCGTCTTCGGGCACGGCATACGGGATGCGGACGCGGAAAAATGCAAAGTGCAATGGGGACGCCACGTACTCGATCGTCGGGTGTCGGACATAAAACTGCAGTTGCTGAAGCCAGCGCGGCCGAGCGTCGAGGCTCTACAAAGCCTTTCCATCGTGCACCTCTCGGCGTCGTCACTACGAGTACGTACGGGAGGTACGAGCCGCCAGAGATTCGAGGTCGACGGGCAGCTCACGGTATGACCGCGCACCGGTCGGCGCAAAAGACATTGGTAGCGGACGTCCAAAGGATCCAATGGCGCGGTCGTCGCTGGCGCCACAACAACGTCCAAGCCGTTGACGAGCCGAAGGCGACTGCCTGGCGCCAAGTGCGGCATCACCGACTCGGGCACCGGGCACGGCGCGTCGATAGAGCACAGCCATTCGTGCACCCGCGTTGCTTGCAACGAGGCAAGAAGGTACATTGGGATGGCACTCGAAAGCTCTGCGTCGTCCTAGAAAAAAAGGATTTTTCAAAAGACAGAAAAGCGTATGCACCTCAGTTCGTGAGCCTTCTTGTCCGTGCATCGCCTACATCGGTACAGGGTTCGAGATCCGCATCCTCATCCTCGCAACGTACGACCAGCGTTGGCAGCGACATGTCGTGGTACTTGCGCGCGTCCTTGAACCGCTAGTGAACCGCTTAGAACCGTCGATCCTTTTGGTATACGAAAGCAAACGTCGAGCTCGGTCGGCCTCGGTGGCAGTCGAAGACAAAGCGCTCTGTCTCTCTCGCGAGCGACCGCCATCGCGTCATACCCGCGCTGGCTCCATTGGTTGAGCGTTGCAATCAACGTCTCGCGCGTCTCGTCCGAAATCGGTAGCTGCACGCCAACACTTCGGACATGCGGCAGTGCCGCGACGTCGGGCAGGTCCACGCGAGCTCCCTACCACCCATTTCCGACGCCACAATCGCCAGAATGAACCGCGTACCACACGCAGATGGACTTGAACGTCCGCGGCAAAGGCGATGCAATCAGCCACGTGCCGCCGCGGCCCCGGCTTTTGCACCAGCACCACCAAAGGCAGCACGTGCGCGAAGCGCAGGCGAGCTTCGGTCGAGTGCGCGACGCGGCTGCCTCGGTAGTAGAAATGACTCGAGTCGGACGCGCGGAGACCGTCGCGGAGTCTGGCCAGCGGCATGGTCAGCGTCCCAAAGACAGCGCTCATCGAGATCATGCGCATCTCGGCTGCATCCACCACCAAGACGTAGCAGAGAACGGGGAAGCATGGCCGCCCGATACCGGCGCTTAGAGGGTTGAACGGCCACTCGTACGTGTGCATGGCTTGGGCAATGGCCGCGTGGAGGGCCAAATGCGGGTGCGAAGACGCCCCGCGCAGAAGCGACAGAACGCGATGGTTATCGCGCGGGAGGCTGGCCGCCATGCAGCGTTGCCCAGATGCATCGGCGACGGCAACCCGCAGTCCCTACGTGGACGATATGAGAGATAGGGTATGGAAGAGTCGGTGATGCAGGTACCTTCTCGGTGGCGTGGACAAGGGCCAAGAAAAGACGGTCATGGCGGCGAATGACGTGTCGAAAGGTGCGACGGTACGTGGCCTGCTGTACGGGGCTCTCTTGCTCGTTCGTTTGGGCGTCATAATGCGAGGTATAGGGCGAGATCACCGTCGCGAGGCAGAGATACACCCAGCTACCCAATGCAGCGGCGATGGCACTGATCTTGGCGACAGCAGCGAGGCGAAACGAAGGCTCTTCGAGGTATACGAGACAGACGTCGATCGTCGCCGTCGACAAGGGCGCGGCCTCGCCGTGCGTGAGCGTCCGTAGGTGGCCATGGAGCCGGTGGACAAAGGCGCTTGGGTTGCGCAAGAGCGTCTCGCGCAAGAACGACCATGTGAGCTTGTAGAACGACGGGTGCTCGACCTCGAAGAGGACGAGGTAGATGGCGCCGAGCAAGATGTGGACGCACCGGTGCGGGTGCGACGGGAAGCTGCGGAGAGCGTCCACGTCCTCGATGCTGAGCGCGTCGAAGCGGTCGTGCAGGGCGCGGAGGCTCTCGCCATCAAGAAGGTCACGGATCCGCGCCTGTGTCTCTTCCGTCATTCTGCCATGATGCGAATCTGAAACGGCGCGACCTCTGTGAATTGATACAATCACACCAAATACCCTCCATTCGTTGATAGTGTTTGGAAAACGTATATAGTGTGGATACACTAAATCCGGTCGTGCTATGCATGTCTTGTGGGAGGTTCAAAATGGCGACGACAGCACCGACGTGGCCAACGCTGGCATGGGACGACGTCCAAGCCGACCTTGATGCAATCCTCTCGACCAAGGCGACGGGTGCGCAAGAGGCGCCGCTAGCTTTGGATGCGGAGGATGGCAAGGCCGATCCTTGCGGCGATGAGCAGGCCAAGATTCGGGCGCTGGCGACCGAGATCTTCCGCGTCCATGCCAGCCTCACGACCGCGCGCGAGCGCATGCGCTGCAACGCGTCGCTCGTGCGTGTCATCCAGACATATCTCATGGCGTCCAAGATGGTTCGTCTTCGTCCGCATCGATGCATACGCATCATTCCTGGCTGTGTAGGATCCCGCCGACTCGAACACGAAGGCCCTCGCGCTGCAATGGCTCGCGTCCAACGCACACGACTGGGCGGTCACAACGTCGGACCTCGACGAGTCGGCGCTTCTCGACTGCATCCGCGACGACATCCTCCACGCTAGCACCAAGGACGACTTTTTGAAGCATTTCGAGTCGGCGACGCACGAGTCCATTTCCTTCCCCGTGCCCGCGCCGGCAACAACGGCGCCGCCAACATCGTCGCTCCTCGGCCCGGTCCCAGAGGTACGACGTACGACGCGTCCACATCGTCCCATGCTCTCCATCCTCCTGCAGGTGACGGCGATCGAAGCGTACCAAGATGCCAAGGACATCCAGCGCGACCAGATCCAAGTCAATGGCATCGTGTACCCTGGCATCGTCGGCTACGACAGCCTCGTTGCAGCGCTCACCACGATCATTGCGAGCGTGCATGGTATCTACCGCGAGACGTCTCAGAAGCTGCCGCAGTACGAAGCCATGGCCAAGCGCGTGCTCCACGTACGTGACTCGTTTCTGCACCCCCGAAATTTCGGATCATCGGTCTGTATAGACGATCAACCGCACCGAGTCGGGCGGCTCATCATACGAAGTGCTCAGTCGTTTGATGCCACCCATCGCGCTGCTTCGCCCCAACTCCAAGGACGCCAACGCCCTCGTCGTGGACATAGACGTTGGGCCGTACGAAGCGGAGGCGCACGTGTGGTGCGTCGGCCTGCGCGTCCGCCTCCGTACGTCGACCGCCTACGTCGTTTGCGACGCCGACGACCCGACCGACGAGTGGTGTGCCATCGACGTGGCCTATCGCAACCGCCTCGCATTTGCGTTCGGCGAGAGCCCGTACACGTCGACCTCGAATGGCGCGCGCGTCGATCGGGCGCGCATCTCGCTGTCGGTCATAAGTTAGAATTTACCATAGACGAGTGTGTCTAATCGCTGCACGTGCACGGCGAGGTCGCGGTTGCGGTGCGCCAGCCGCAGCTGCTCGTTGGTGAGGAGGCGGACTTCGTCTTTGGCGATCTGGAGTTCGTCGCGGAGCTGCGTCACCTACACACATATATCTATACATGCTTTGGTACCGACGACGCAAATACTACCTCGTCTTGCTTTTGCCGTGCGACCGCCTTCCACTCGTCGCGCTCGGCGGCCACCTCGCGCAGCTGGGCCGCGAGCTCTAGCCATGGCCATGCAACACTTATGCGCTACGAATGCGAGGTGGTACCTTGCTTCTCGGCGCTCGAGAGACGCACGGTATCGTTAGCGTTGGCGAGCTCCTGCCGAAGGTCGGCCTCGCGCTGCAGCGCCGCCTTGTTGTCCAGCTCGAGTTGCTTGAGCGCGCTCTCGACTCGCACGAGGATGTCGAGCTGCTCGGACGCGTCGTGTTCGGACGCGGTCCACCGCCGAGCGAGTGGGGTCTCGTCTACCGCTTGGCGCGCCGTAGGCTTGGGCACCTCGTCTACCTCGCAGCGCACCGTAGGCTTGGGCGTCTCGTCGTCGTCCGGGAGGCTCTTGGTGCTCGCAGGGCGAACGCTGCCCCAGCTTTTCGCGAGCGTCGGCGACGTGGCCTCGATCACCGAGAGCATGCCATCGAGCTTGTCGAGATCGAGGGGCGTCGTGGTCGCCACTTCCATTCTCTCATGACGTTGCTCGTGGGCGATGGCAGGGCTCGCGGCGTGCGTTGCCATGGAGCGTCTCGGCGTCTCGGCAACGTCGGCTTGCACCCGCAGCACCTTGGCTTGCAGCGAGGCCACCCATCGCGTACAGTGCTGCGGCGTCGGCGCCATAAACTCTTCGCGCGTACGGCGGCCATGGCTGGCGGTGGTATGAACCAGCTCAAAGCGCGAGCCGGCCTTCGTCTGCACCGAGACCACGTGGTCGAGCGCAATGCGGTACGTGCCAGGCAGCGCGTCCTCGACGTCGCACGGGTCCAGGAGCAGGTCTGGGCCGTGGAGGAGACACTTGTACTTGACCCACTCGAAGAGGTTGGTGCGCTCGTTCTTGACCTTGCGCTTGAGCGTCTGCTCCACGTCCGTGTCGTCGTCGGCCCGGCGTGGCATCGCATCCAATATCTTTATCCGGACAACCCGTTACCAACCGCTCGCTGCAGCCAGCGTTTCGACCCATATTCTGTTTGAAGTCGCCACACGAGATTCTGGATGACAGGCCGATCTGCTGTGTATTTGTGACCATTGACGCGTCGACAAAGATGACGGCTACCAGCATCGCGACGACGTTCGGGCATGCAACAGAGGTACTCTCGAGACGACAGCAGAGCTTGGCAGGCGAAGCAGTCACCTCCAGTGTAGCGCAGTGGTCGCTGCCTCTCCTTCCTGGACGTAGCGTCTTCAAAGAGTAGCCTGCTTGGTTGTCGTCATGAGATGTTGATGTTGAAGCGTCGATCGGCCCCGCTGGCAGGTTTCCTAACGCGTGACGCAGCGACGTCGTCGAGCGCTCATCTTTTACCGCAGAAGCTCACTCTTCCTCTCGCTGCAGCTTGCGATGCGCTTCCTTCAAGTGTTTTTCTTGATGGCCATCGTCCTTCTCGCGTGGGTGATGACCGTCGACGCGACCAACATCTCGGCCCACGAGCGCGATGAGCTCACGCGCGACTTGCGGCGCTGGCAAAAGAAGTTCGGCAACGACGACCACGTGCGCGCAGCCATGACCTTGGTGCGAGGGACCTTGACGACCGACGATCTGCTACGGCGCTTGAAGGCGTCCAAAGACAAGCTTCCAATGCTTCGTGCAGCCAACCCGCACGCGACCTTTAGCCACTTGACCAAGTTTGCGCTCCTCACCGACAAGGAGTTGGCGCGGTTCACGTCATCGCCGCGGGTGCGATCGCGTGCCAGTATGCCGTATGACGGCAGCGGCAGCGCGGCCACTGACACGATCGACTGGGTCGCGTCCAAGTGCGTCTACTCGGTGCAGAGCATGGGCGCGTGCTTTAGCGTCTGGGCCATTACGGCGATCCAAGCGGTGGCGTCTGCAAACTGCATTGCGACCAACGCGCTACTCTACATCTCGCTCCAAGAGGTGGTGAGTTGTGCCAACATGGGCGGCCCCGATGGCTGTCATGGCGGCGACGCCATCGCCGCGCTCAAGTGGCTCATCATGCAGCAGACCGCCTTGTGCAATGACGTCGACATCCCATACACCGCGGGCTCGTCCGCGTACGCGCCGACGTGCAGCGACAACAGCAAGTGCGCAGGCGCCATCTCGTTTGCCGTGAGCGACGTGGTCGAGAAGAGCGGCGAAGCGCTGCTCGAGAAGCACGTTCGCGTGCAACCCGTCCTTGCCATGGTCTCGGCGTCCATTGACACGTGGTTTCTCTACACCGGCGGCATCCTCTCGTCGTGCCCGCAGACAAAGTCGGCGTTTACCCTGCCCTT